GAGATCCAGATATCTTGAGTTCCAAATATTGAGTCCCAAACATAGAGTCCCGGATATCCAGTCCCGAAGCCCAAGATTCGAGACGAGACTTGAAACTCGAACATTGCTATGAGTTGCGAGTTTTGAGTCCCCACCGAGTCCTGACAATCGAGTCCCACAGCCGACTATCGAGTCCCAACCATCGAGTCCCAACCATCGAGTCCCGACAATCGAGTCTTGAAACCCGAGTCCTGACAATCGACTCCCGAAGCCCGAGATTTGAGTGCCGACCATCGAGTATCGAGTCCCCAATATCGAGACCCAAAACCCAAGCAGCCCGAAGCCCGAGATTCGACACGAAACAAATCAAAACTCCAAACACCACGACACTTTCTTGAATCACCGAGTACCGAAACCCCGAGTACGGGTACCGAGTCTTGAAACCCGAATCCGCACTATCGAGTCCCAACTACCGAGTCTTGAAACCCGAGTCCCGACAATCGACTCCCGAAGCCCGAGATGTGAGTGCCGACCATCGAGTATCGAGTCCCTATTATCGAGACCCGAAACACGAAGCCCGAAGCCGAGATTCGACACTCAAAAACAAATCGAAACAAAACTCAAAACATGACACTCATCAATTTTGGGAGTTGTTTTCTTGAATCACCGAGTACCGGGTACCGTGTACCGAAACCCGAAACCCCGGTAGTCGGTGAATGTTAGTGTCGTGAAATCGAATATCGAGTCCGACTATCAAGACCCGAAACCCGAATGTGAGTATGGAGTGCCTGACATCTAGTATCATGTTTGAGGAAGGTGGTACTAACACGGGTAACTACCTTTCTACTTCTTCCAATCCAACCTTGCCCATCCAACGACGGAATCCAGCATAAAACATGAACAGCATCCCTCATATACCATGCCCAGGCAATCCGATCCCCTTCCACTGCATGAACTGCGTGTCTGACAATCCTTCCCGAAAATGCAATCATGCACCCCGGATCATCCTTAACTCTAGCTGCAGGCTTGGCATACTCATCGAGCATTAGAATAATTCCCCACGCTAGTGAGAATATCGAAGCATTCGGAAATCGATGAGGGGTCTCGATGATTCGGGGTTTTCCCGATTGCATTATGGTGAGGCTGTTTAAACACCGTTGCCCAGTACTGGAGAGTCTCTGACATCTTCGGCAGTTCCTTGCTTCGTGCCTTTTCTCCGAGGCTCGCAAAGGCTTGCAACCCTGCCCATACTGCTCAGGATGCATCACCCTGAGTGCCGCTGTGGCAATGGCTGCTGGCCTCAATGGCTTTGAGGATTTCTCGGAGGATGGTCCCTTCAATGATGCAGATACCTCCGGATAGTGACTGATTCTATGGGATTGGTGAGTTTAACTACCGAGATCGCCATCTCATCAGATCCTACCTCGTGCCCCTGGTGAAACCATGCCGGAGATAAATTAATGCACCGGGAGTTAGGACATCATTTTCGAGCTTGGTGTGAACCACTGTTGATTAGTCCGCCAAATCCCATCGAGCTTTATGCTTTGTTCGAGCATGGGAGCTAGCAAATCCGAGGCCGCCCAAATTTCATTCTGTACGTACCATTTGATGTTCAATATCCATCCAGTCACAATATATATAACACACCTGGGTGGCATCGGTCAAGGCGTTCTGGGAGGTACCATGCGATGATGGCACCGGATGCATCAGAATTGTCGCGGGTATGTCGATCAACTTTGTGCCCTCATGGCCAGGAGGACACCTCTCGAGCAACTTTTCCTCTCTCTCTTCATTACGCCCCGTGTCCTTTGGGAGATCAATTTGCTATATCTTGCAATATCAATCGGCATCTGAACTGTGATGAAGCAATTTGACTGATAAAAACAAATTTTCCGAATCTGCAGGAAGACTCACTGGATTTTTATATGCCTTTATGAGCCGATCACCAATTGATCACAAGCCATCACCAGATCGTGTCTAGGTTTTGGAGAAGGTATAACTGGGTCTCCTCCTGTCTTCTCTGCATTGAATTTCTGTTCCGTATAATCACCATGCACATGAGTGACAGTCAGGGCCCAAGTGCGCAAGAGGGTTATTTCATCATCATCGGAAGTGGAAGAAACATCCATGATTGAATTGATCTTGTGAGATCAGAAGCTGAATCCTGAATGTCCTGCACTTGGTGTTAAAGGGGGTGGAGATTGAGAGGATCAGATAAGGGAGCCTTGGATGATCTGAGCTTTCAAAGAATCTATTTCTCTTATCATCTATTGCTCAATGAAATACCACATGATTGGAAGTCTGTTGGATGTCAGATACTCGTTTGTCGAGACCCGGGCCTCGGATCTCGGTACACTTCACTCGATTTTGATACCCAGGACACCATAGTTGGAACTTGTCTCGAATCTCGGGTGTCGGGTGTCGGGGTGGTCGGGTCTTGATGGTCGGGACTCGATATACAGGACTCGTTGGTCGGGACTCGATACTCGATTGTCGGGATTCAATGGTCAGGCGTCGGGTTTCATGACTCGGTAGTCGGGAACTCGATAGTCGGGACTTGATGGTCGATTTTCGGGATTCGATAGTTGTGGGCTCAGATATTGGTACACTTCACTCAATTTTCGGTGGTCGGAACTTGGCATTTGGCATTTGGTAGGCTTGGATGATGTTGGCTTTCAAAGATCTATTATCATCCATTGCTCAATGAGATACCAGATGATCGGAAGTGTGCTGGACATCACATATTCGTTTGTCGAGACCCGGGTCTCGGAACTCGGTACACTTCGCTCGAGTTTCCACTTCACCCCTTGCAAAGCTCCGTGCCATACAACATCATTAGATGACTTTGAATAATCACCTCCTTTGATTTGGATGATATACAAACTAGCTGAGCTCCATCATGTCTACAATTATCATTCTCCTGGGCCCACCCGTCTATCTTATATACCCCCCACGTCGGCCTACCCATCTATGCAATATATGTCTCCCGTCGGCCCACCTGTATATAATACATCTTTTACCACTCCCTTGGCCCACCCGTCTACAAAATAATATTAATTCGTCGGCCCACCCGTCTAATATGATATATATCTGGGCCCACCTGTCTATGTGATAACAAGCACCCTTGATATACCCGGCTATTTGATACATATCTACCTTGGTACACCCATCTACATAATATCCAACTACCTCGGCCGATCCGTCTATTGAAAATTCATGTCCATCGGCCCACCCATCTACTTTACATATTCCCCACCTGGGCCCACCCGTCTCCATCGGGAATAATAACACTCCCGGCCCATCCGTCACAGTCGAGGATATATCTACCCTCGGCCCATGGTCCGCTGGCCCGTATCATACGGGACATTATGCACGTCCGTCCACTCATATAATACAGAGATATGTTACTGCAATATGTGAGCACTTATCATTGTTTTTGACTTCGCATTTCTCGCCTTTATTCGCATTTTCCACTCTTCCACCTATCAGGTCAATATCATCCTCGAATGCCCTATCAAGGGCCATCCGCTTATGTCTTGGCGCCAATTGGCCCTTGACCTAGAGTCTATCAGACACAGTCGCGCATTATCCGCGCCTAATACCACTTATCATTCATCTCGTGTTAATATTTTCACCATGCATCAGCCGCTCCTCGCATATTCAGAGGATATAGATTCCAACGCGCCCAAACGCGATTGTGCGCGCAGCTCACGCGCACAGTATCTAACCATAGAGCACCCGCATGCGCCTTATATCGCCCCATAGGGCGCGCCTTCAACTTGTACCGCAAGGTGCAAGAATTCATTCCGCCATCAAGCCGCGTTTGAAGAAGATTCGATTTATACCCGGTAGGAAAAGATGTCGCAGAGTTAGAAGATGAAGATACCACCGCCCTCAGTCGCCTCAGTCGCCTTTTACCATCGCCTCACGCGCTTTTCGACCTGCAGCATCGCGCAACCTCAGATAGACGAAGAAGACCAGGAACGCACTGGTAGGAGAAGAAGTAGAAGAGCTCAACGAAGAAGATCCAAACGCGCCAGCCTTCGACCCATCCACTCCATCACTCAACACTCGCCATTATCATCCGCACCATCCGCTTTCCCCGCCCCGTCAATTCGCAAATACCATATACCGCCAAATATACTGTCATTTTCATAGGATATAGTTCGTTTTACCCTGGGTTTCGTCCAGTGCTTTTCATTTTCATTTTCTCTCATTATAACGTCGTCCAAAGGACTAATAACGCGCTGATATATACGCCTATAGAAAACCGCCTAGAAGAAAAACAACAAAAACAACAAAAAAAGACCATAGATTGTGCCCCGCCTAACCCAGTAGGATATCATTTTCTCCTCGAACGCATGAAGCGGCACCATGCACCTTTTTACCTTAGAACGCGCCTCATATGCGCGCAGATTTCCTGCACTTCGCGCTCATAGGGAGGAATAGATATTGACAGAAGAACGAAGAAGCCAAGTCGGACTTGGACATCCGCACCGTTTGCCGCCTCTTTTTCGTGTTTTGAATATAGTTTTACTCATGCCATTCAATCCCATAGCACCTATTACTTAGTGCGCCTAGTGGGACTCGGTTTGGACATGGATTGGATCGCTTTTGGACCGCCTAGCATCGCCTCATACCCCACAGACATATTGGACGCAGACGTCATCGCGCTATCATCCTCTCGCATTTCCTTGCACATTTGCACTTTGCGCTATCATCCCCTTATGCTTCCTCGCAGTTTCGCACTTCGCGCATTTTCACACGCTTCATTCCCGCACCTAACGCGACACATCCACGCCATCCTCGCACTATCAGTCATCTCAATAGCCGAGCACTCCTCGCACGACCGCCATTATCATAGTTCCGAGCACATATTATGATTCCCCTACCAGAGTCATTTCGCGCAACCCACCATATGCGACGCATTCTTGCGCTTCTGCAACACGTTCCCATGCCCGCGCACATCGCGTATTATCCGCACCTCATCGCACTTAGTCGCACTGTCATCCACGCCCATCATACTCGACGATCATCACGTACCCATATCATCGACTTCACTCGAGATCCTCACCAGACGCGCTCTGAGTGGGGACACTCAGTATTCAAAGTCCCCGGGAGATGTAGAGACTCGCGTTTCTGCAGGCTCATATGGGCTCATTTTACGAATTCTGACAACTGGCCTTCATGGCACAACTCGCACCATCATCCACTATGACTTCCCTATAGAGTGCACCACTTTCCCGCGGAATGCGCCATAGGCGCGACACTTTCCCGCACAACTGCGCAGTATTCCCGCGTGCGCGCCTTGCGCACTTTCTCGCGCTTAAGCGCACTATGTCGCACAGCATCCAGGAGCATCCATCCCATCATCCAACCAGTCCCTCGGTATGTCCCTTTTCGTTATCTGACCATATTTAGCATATTACACTTCCCATTTCGTTATGCACCCTTACTTTACATCACCTTACCTCATTTACATACTTAGAGTGCTCCCTATTCGGCTCCGAGCCCTGGGAGAGCGCTTAGGTAGAACTTACATACACTCATGTTCGTTTTACACCCAACAAATTCCACCTTAGCTTCCTACCACCACCTTCCTACCACTCAGTATCTATCACCAGTTAGCTCCATGCAATGCATGTGTCCATCATTGTTTTGAGGCCCTAGCATCAGTCTATAGCTAGTGGCACTATCAGTATCCGTCTAGATCCGCGCTTTCCCTCTTATCAGTCTCAGTATATATCTTTTACACCTGTGCACTGCTTGCACTACCTTCCCGCGCTCCGCGCACTTTCGCACTTCGCTTTCCCGCGCGCGCTTTCTCGCGCTTTCCACCGCCATTCACCAGGGTTGTTCAGCATCATTCCGTGGATTCCTTGCTTTCCTTGCTTCCCCTTTAGGGTCGAACGTTCTTGCATTCTGCGAGTGTTACGAACTAGGATGGGTCTGACGTATGGCTACTCGATAAGAGTAATCGGCCAAGGTCGGTTCAAGGCTTCAGCGTATACCGAAGCTTCAGAGTTTCTAAGACAAGAAGAGGAGAGTGTCCTCGACTCGAATCAAGTTCAATACGACTTAAGATTGGAGGTCTTAAGCGAAGGAGATTTCCAGGTAAAACCTAGTAAGATCAAAGTAAAGAACTACATAGTACAGGACGAGTTTATATAGTGAATGGTAACGACTTTAGGGCCGGTATGATGAGTCAGAGATAAGACGAGTCAGAGATAAGACGAGTCAGAGATAAGACGAGAATAGATCATCTAGCGACGGCAAGATGCGATCGTGATGTAATACAATGATGTAAGAAAAAAGAAATGAATAGGGGCGTACTCGACTGTAACAGCGAGTATAGCAGCTAGGCAGAGCTGAGACTCACTTATACTGGCTGAGCACTTTTCTTATATGTGCCTGCCAGGTTGTGATACCCACAGCGGTGCGCAACTACGCTTTGCACAGGCAGATATCACCGGTGAGGCGATCTCAACCTGGCTGGGCTGATATGAAATATCTAAAAATGCTCAACCAGTATAAGTGAGTCTTGGCTCTGCCTAGCTGCTATACTCGCAGAATGCAAGAACGTTCGACCCTAAAGGGGACTGCTACTGAACACAGAACCAGATGAAAGAAAGACCCTTGAAGTGCGATGGATGCACGAAAGCGCAAGAAGAAAAGCGAAGTGAGCGCGAAGCGCGAGAGAGCGCACTAAGGTAAGCGCGAGCGTGGGAACGTGAGCGCTAAGGCGCGCGTTGTGCGGAAAATACTGGATAAGGAAACGGATAAGGAAGCGGATGTGCAAAGCGAGTGCAAACGCAGAGCGAGTGTTATAACGAGCGCGGATAAAAGGTCTAGTATAGGCAGATAACAATAACCATTGGAAACACAAAGTGCGCCCAAGTGGTGACTACTACTCTAAGGTAAAACCCAATAGCGAGGGAAGTACAGCAAAGGGGAGTAATAATGATGGTGTAGTAAGTCAGCAACTTTATACTATGGAAATCGCATCGGAAGCGGAAGGGATAGGAGCAATAAGCGCTATGAATACGTAATGACATGTAATAACGCTGCAATGCTTGTTACAAACCACGAGGCAAGGCATATGACGTACCAATGAGGTGGATGGACATAGAGGGACGTTCCTGGATGATAGGCGATGCAGGGCGCTTAAGCGCAATAAAGCACGCAAGGTGCGCGTGTGGGAATGCTGCGCATTGTGTGGGAAAGTACTGCGCCTATGGCGCGTTTCGCGGGAAAGCTGCGCATTATGTGTAAAACGACTAGGGACATGATAGAAGTCAAATATAGCTGATGGTGCGAGTCGTGCATTGAAGGCCAATTGTCATGAGTTGTGAAAAGGTGCGAAATGTGCCTATATGTGCCTGCAGAAACGCGAGTCTCTACACCACTAATAATGTACAGGTTCAGGAAAAATTGAAACCACTGCTCCCAGTGCGACAGGAAAGTCAGTGCGAAAAAATGCAGTCCCATGGGAAACCACTCATTGCGCGAAGATTCTTGGGATTGTTCAGCCCGGGGTCAAGCCTGAGTATTATCAGGGCAAATCAGTTGTAACGAGTGAAGGAGAATATGCACACTTGGATAGTCATGTTATTTTCCGACAACCAGTGGACAGGAAGGTGAGCCAGTATCTTCTTTTCCTTTCGTCACGATGGCTGCTCATTGACACAGCTGTGACGCTGCTTCCAGTTGTGTATTGGACGTATTCGCGAGATTCTTGTATCATCCCAGGACGGTCAGACTGCAGATCATGTCACACTCCAGCTCTTCACATTTGCAGCTGCTCTGCACCCATCTCTCCACCTACCATGCATTGATCTTACTGATAATGAGATGGTTTCAACTGGTATAGTACGTTATATATGTGAGCTAATTGTTCACTGCGATCACCCCACAGGACATCATTTGTGCTGTCAATATCCAACATAATTGCCTCGATTCACAGTGCACAGACATCCAACAACAGCCTGTACGTCAAGAATGGATAGACACCTCTCAAACAAAGGACATAGTCAAGCACAAGTCAACGCCAAACTTTTTTTCTCAACGTCTATTCTATTCATAACTACGACCACATCCAACATGTTGTTCCCAATGCACTTCGTGAGACACCGCTTCGAGTTACCAACGTAGCTGAAGTTTGGGCCATGGCCATACACCAACTAAGAGACAAGATAGCATCAAAGAAAGGTGGAGAGATGTCCCAACTGGCAGGTAGTGGCGAGGGTATGGATGCTCAGCCATCTTTAGTGCCACCTTCTGCCTTTGATCATGCTCCGACTAAACCACGGAAGTCTGCACCTAAAGCCAAGGCAAAAACGGCAAAAGCGAGCGCAAGTGGTTCGAGTACCCAGGGAAAAAGGAAGACGGCACCTACGCAGCAAAATTCAGGAGCATCGGAGCAACATCAAATTGCCTTTGCACCACCAATGGAACCTCCACAGCACTTTTACTCACTTGCACCCCAGCCACCCCATCCTCCACATCAGTCTTTCCCTCCACCTCTGCCAATTCCTTCTCTTCCTCCCTTACATTCCTCACCACCACTCCGCCAATCTCCACCCCAGTTGTATCACCCTCCCCCGCAGTCATATTTCCCATCTCAATCACATACTCTTCCGCCTCTACCTGCCCATCATATTCACCCAACTCGTCAGCAAACACAAACCGTTGTGAAAGAGTAATAGTGACTAGGCTGGTTAGAAACTAGCGCTACTTATCCAAATAGGCGCGAGTGTAATATTCGACCCAAGAGGACTGCTATTGAAGCAACTCCCTTCAAATATGCAAGGGTAGCGACGATGCGAAGGACTAATAACCTATAGCGACCTAAGACCAAAAACCAATGAGTAGCGCTGTAGTGATCAGCGACTAGCGACAAGTGAGTTCCGACAGAGAAACGTGCATATAAGTAAGTAGCGCTATGCAAGTTGTCCTATGTGATAGCGCTATGCGACGTCTGACTAGCGACAGCGAGAAGAAATCAAAAGAAGGTAAGGCGAGGGATAAGGTATGATAGTGCAGGTGGAATGCCTGATAGCGACTAGATTATAGCTCGACTACCGACAGCGATCCCGACGTTGCGAAGATCAAACTTATGAAGGAACTTTAGCGATGCGCACTTGAAGCAAGTCAAGCGACACGCGATCAGAGAGATTGGCAAGAGCGGAATCGATTGCACCAAAACTAGGATATAGCGACTAAAGTGACTCCGACACCAGCAAAGGTCCGGGGAAGGGAAGTACTGTACTGTATGTAGGATGGGTCATTTTATCATACTGCATAGGGGTTTGGGATGCGTAGGCGAGTATAGTAGCAACACTGGCGAGGGCACGATGTAGCGACAGGTAATAGAACATGCAGCGCTGCGGAACATGAGGACACATGTAATAAGACCTGCGACTGATGAGTAGCGACATTTAAGGAAATATAACGCACCAGCGGAGGTAGGTGGACATAGGCAGGACATGGAAGGGCGGAACACCTAGACGTCGGACCGGGTAGCACGCTATGGGGGAAAAGTGGTTCCAAAGCGGATAGCTTGGGAGCTGAATAGCGCTGGTGACTAGCGTCTTACTCTTTTCTTCTAGGCAAGTCAAAATATGCCTATGACATTCATACGCGCCTAGCGCCGGTATGATTGTCACACTGTGCAAGATGCCCCAATGGATCCACTTTCTGTAGCGCAGGCCTCAAATCACTACATGACCTTGACGCCTTGCTTCCCTTCTGACCATCCACAGCTCCAGCAATATCATGATATTGGCTCTATCTCTGGACCCCCCAGCTCCTCTCATGCCCCACCATCGCACCAATTTCAACCTCTGATGTCTCCAACACACTATTCACCGCATAGTGTTGCAGGCCGCTTCCCACAGCCTCACTATCCTCCCCAAGAATCTCAGGTTCAATATCTGCAGAGTCAGCATCACTACCTTCAGTTTGGTACAGCGTATCCTGGAGGAATATGAACTCCAAAGGTATCCCACAGGATTCATTGCCGACCAGGGAGTCACTAATCCCACAGTACGCGACTTTTACTTGCAGGCACACAAAGACTCTCAAGCCATTCAAATTAGGTGTCTGTCGGTTCCCTGTTCAGATTGGGTGTTCGACCTCTTCCTCCATGTTCACTGTAGCTTGTTCCTTCTGCAGCACTGTTGCCCGCACTGGCAACTATGCTGTGCATAGTTAAATTATCTTACTGTCCGATGCATTGACAACCCATTTCCAATAGGCTCTCCTGTGGTTTTCGATCACAAGGAATATGAATACCAAAGTTTCCGGTGAGTTTCATATCTCTACAGCCAGACTCAAGCTCCTCATTTGCACTACAGGACCTGTCTTGGGTATCGATTTGGGTACAATGAACTCATGTGTTTCTGTCATGAAGGGGAAGACGGCGCGTGTGATTGAAAATTTCGAGGGTGCCCGGACTACATCCTCTGTTGTTGCATTCACGAAACATGGTGAACGTCTGGTCAGCCTACCCGCAGAATGCCAGGCCATTGTAAACCTGCCAACACGGTCTTTGCATTCAAGCGGTTGATTGGTCGGCGCTCAGATGATATACTTAGTGATTATCTCTTCCTTCCCATCATCTCCCTCCCAGCACCTTTCTCCACCCAGCCCTTATTCCAACAATATATCCTTTTTGTTGTTTGATACTCTATTTCTGCTGCTTTCATGGGCTTGAGAACATCTTGTGAGGAAATTATGATATGATGACTGAATTGACGCAAGCGAACAAGTGAGGCTTTAATTCAATCAGCCACCGAGCCAACCCGAACCTCTTTGTCAGTCAACCTTGAGCAGAACAGTGAACTGCTCCTGTGCAGTGTGTCCACATCCCAACATCATGATGCTCCAGCACTATCCTGTGCGGTGTCATGCATGGTATGGAACTCATACCATGACATTGATAGACAGGAAGTAGCTACAGAGAGTACACTAAGGTGTACCTCATTGTATTATTATGATTGGTTCCATTTTGACAGATTTACTTGTATTTATATTTCCAGTATGATAGTTTTCACCTTTCCCCTTTTCTTTTCATTTCTTTTATGTGGTTTATTCAGCCACCAGTGAGCCACCAAGATGTGTTAGTAAGCATGTCATGTGATAGGCAATATTCTGCTTTGTAAGGATCCTGCATGATTTGTCATGTGGCTTCCATTTGTTTCCATTTGTTTCTATTTGTTTCAGGCTCATTCAGCCACAGAATCCTTCAGTGAGCCACCAGATATGTTTGTAAGCATGTCATGTGATATGCAATAATCTGATTTGTAAGGATTTGTCATGATTGGTCATGCTTCATCATGCTTCGTCATGCTTCATCATGATTTATCATGCTTTGTAATTTTATGAACTTTATTTGTAAACTACTTTGTAAGCAGCTGATTCAGCACTGCCAAATGGCATGGTTAGTAAGCCAGTGACTTACTAATGCTGTGATGAGTCATGCTTAGTAAAATGGCCTCCCAAAAAGGTATAAAAGGAGCCCATTCTACACTGAGTAATAATAACTTCCCACTTTTCACTCTTCTCTCAAACCATGAGAGTCTGTAAGACTTAAAGTGCAGGCCAAGAGTGCCTTGAAGTAAGATAAACATCGTATCAGAGATTAGTTGTATACTACCTTACAGGGGTCGCTTATATAACAATCTATTTATAAACTACTTGTTGTGTGCTACCTTTCAGGGGCTGAGTATACAACACCAGAACAGCTTTCGTACTAGGCTTTACGTATTTAAGACAGACTTCATTACTTGTTGTGTACTACCTTACAGGGGTTGAGTATACAACACCAGAACAGCTTTCTAACTAGGGTTCACGTATTTTAAGACAGACTCTCTCTTTTTCAGGAAGGGAGACACAAGAATACGACAAAGTTGAGACAGACTTTCATAGGTTGAGACATGACCTACAAGATTGAAACAGATCTTACTATCAGAACATTAGGGAATCTACGAGTATTCCACCAGGGAACAACAAGAAGAGGACACATCAGTAAACCCTCCCAAGAACTCACAGTTATCTACCACGAAAACTAGAAAAGTCGTAGACCGTGTACTTAAGGACTGGCAAGAAGTCTTATCCTGTATAGTTGTGTTGTCACTATACACGCGTTGTACATAAGACCCTTAAGTAGTAAGACAGTGGTCCAATTCAAGTTCGAGAAGCACAGGTGCCCCATGTTCAGCAAATGGCTTGTTGGCACCACCCACCACTGTGCCTCGAGGCAGGAGTCCTTTGATTTCTAATATCCAGAATACCTCTCGACCTCCTTCAGTGTCCAGATCTGCAGGAGACATCAGTCATGCACGCTCGCCGCTTTCCCAGACCATAACTATCAATCATGGTTCTCAAGGTCAAACTGTCGTTCCCTCTCGGTTTGGTTCACCAGATGATTCACTGGACGAGCCTATTAGTACTGGCGTGCGTCGCCGGAGAACCTCTAGCACTGACTGTAACGACCCATCAATGTTTATGCCTGGACTCACAAAGCGACTCAAGTTGTATGCAATGAAAGTTGCTGAAGAGAAAGGCGTCAATGGGGATCACCTCGTTGACTTCATTGATGCAAGTTTTCTCTCAATGTTATCATGAGTTGTCCCTGATGCATCTTTAGACTGGAGGAATTGCCTATATGCTCATCGATATTAAGGCCACCTTGATGTTGTTGAGTGAGGCGAACAGGAAGTCTCTCCTTGCTGGAAACCAAGGAACTAATAGAATCCAAAGATTTCAAGGTACTTGTGTCTGACTGTATTAATCTATCGCCGACTTCAAACTGATCAAGCATAACACAGACAAGTCTTCAAAACCGCCTCACAGCTTGTGTGTTATCACCTAATCTCACTGCATACATCAATGACACGCTTGAACACGTCATGGTGCTTTCAATATCCTTCTGTACAAAAGTAGCAGCTGAAAAGAATGACAGGATTTTATCAAGAAAAACAACGACATATTCAAGATCCCACAGTTACTATTCCAAGACATCGAGCTCACCGCACAATTATCAACACTTGTCAGTGAAGCACTTTCTTGCATTCGCAGCAATGTAAAATCTAAGGTAAGTGTTGCAAAAAATACTTCACAGAACAATGCCAAGCTTAGACTGATTCAGCTGATGTCGTCGATCATAAAACGCTCGAGTATCTTAGACACCGCGAGATCACTGTCCCATGGTTGCCTAGAGGTTGATGTGTCACATTGGAATAGATACACGTTTTTGGTATGGTCTTACTCACTCCTGACTGTCCGTTTTAACAATGAGACCCCATTTGCAGCAGCGCTGCTTGCGCATTTTTCTTATCGGCACCAGTAACTACAGGACTATACCTCTAAAGGATATTTATTCTCCGTCGCTCCTTCCGTCGCTCCACCGAGACCTTCGTGTCAAAGTTGGTGATGCACTTGGCATCGATGTTGGATTGGACGACTTCGACTCAGACCCCATAGCTGAAGGTGGTGGTCAAGTCCATGAGAACGGTGGTCAAGTCAATGAGAACAGTGCAGACAGTATGGGAGGCGTTGAAGGTAGCACGAATGGTGCAGAGGCTGAAGATGACGGAACTGATATCAACCACGATGGAGATGGTGACGAGGATGAGCCTGAGAGAAATATGTCTGGCACAAAAGAGAAGTATGAACTCGACCCCGATGACTCAGGATTTGGGGGCAACTGGAAAGTGCACCATTTTCACGTCGACCAAGTTTTGGAGGTTCGTGGATGCCTCGCTCGAGGGTGTTCGCAAAATGGCAAAGGCGGAGGCAGAGGAACTTGGTGACGGAACACCAGTTGAGAATATCATCAGGAAGTAAGCTCCTCGCTACTTCCCTCTGCGGATGGTTACTCATTATTACGAAGCATCCTGGTCGAATATTTCCAGCAGGACCTCGCTGAATTTCCAGGGAGGAGAGCTGTTCCGAAACCTGTTCCCGGCACTAATCCTTTGTGGCAGACTGAAGATTCAGACTGATCTGCTTTGGCAGTGAATATGCTGGCTGCTTGTTCCCGCTCGATATCATTTGCACATTCTCTACATATCACTCGTTTAAATGCCATAATCATGATTGTAACTAGCTCCCTAGTAATGCAATGTTTTTTGACTGCTTTTCATACATTTACTGCCTCGCAAAATGCATATTTGATGTGACTGCATATGAGATTGGTATGGCATTGGCAAGCTGCTGACTATTAGCTACTCCGAGTACATCAGTAAATTCACACATTCCTTACCTTCCTTTTCGTCACTTATTTTCTCACACAAGAGCGCACAAGAACCATATCATCTCCTTGTCACAAGCTTCAACAAGTTCAAAAGCAGATCCCTTCCTCTTGTATTTAGCTTTTCTTCGCTTTTTTTTCCACTTTTTGTGCACTTATTTGAGAATGTATTGCATTGCAATCTTGATAGGTTTAATTTATATCCCCTTTTTCGCACTTATTTTCGACTTATTTGTGCTTAATCACTCTTGTTACGAGGAAAAAAACATTTGCATTTCAACCAAACAAGACTGACTAAGTAGGTAGCAAGAGAAATAAGTAGTAGTAAGTAGAATAAGTGTGAAACTAAAAATGAGACGGCGACAGCAACGAAACGGTGACAGCAACGAGACGGCGACAGCGAGAAAACAACCCAGGTAGTACCAGCTACTAGTAGTAGTCAGATTCGAGATAGTATTGGATGAAAACAAGAGCGAAGAACATTACCTCTAGAAAATGAGGGCTCGCTCATCCTCAGTTTCGTCATCCACCTCCATCCGTGTGCCACGCCTCTTCATGGCAAGGCTCTGCGCGAGCTCCGAGTTGCGGTAAACGACCGAGTCTGGCAAGCGGCTGATAGACGTGGTGTAAGCCCTGGTCTGCACACCCCAATTGGCATCTGAAAACGCCAATGGAACACTACTCTCTTTACCCGTTGACGGATTGATGTGCAGCGGGGTCTTGTTGTTTCGGCCGTTGCCAGCGGTGTCGATGTCGCTCAGAAGCATCTGCCCATTGGCAAAAAGTTTGATGGCACGTTCCATCTAAAACACAGGGTGAGTCAGCTGTATGAGGAGGAAAAAAATACATGCCGCTGCTGTAACGAGAGCGAGAGCGCCCTTCGAGTGTCCCGGCAATGTGTTGTTTGTTCCTGGCATGTTGACAGCGCCAGACGTGGCGCACTTGTGCTGCACAAGGACCTGCACAAGGAGGTCAGACTGGAATGGTCTGGACATCTCTCCGTCCTCTGAGATGTCCCCAAACAAAAAGCAGAGCCTTTCGAGCAAGCCCGATGCGAAATATTGACGGTCCTGATCGGTGTTGAGGTCCTCCTGCGAGATCATGAAGTTAGCGAGTACAACGAGAGCCACATTGCTAATGCTATTGCGCCACTCTGACAACCGCTGGAGGGTCTACAAATAAAATGATCAGATTTACATCATGTGCGAAAAAAAAACATACGAGGGCGATGACAGGCCCGTCTGCTGTAACCGTGTGTGGAATCTTGTCTTTGTAGACCGCGTCCCAGGCTGACTGCAAGATAGGACAGAGAATGTCATCTGATAGCGTCCATACTTCAGATAAATCGCCAACACAGCGAATGGCAGTAGGAATGAACTCCCTTGCCCACTTGTTTGCCATCTGACAACCCTTTGGAAGATGCTTCTTCCTGAATGCAGAACGCGCAATTGCCTTGGAGGGAGTGGCGATAGCAGTGGCGATAGCGCGATGGGAACCAGTTATAGTGGTAGTGGACGATTCGGACTTCAGCCGTTTCGCCGGAGGGGCTTTGAGAGTGGTAGCAATGTTGGTCTGACAACTCGCAATCAGTTAAACATAGAATCAAGCAAACAACACAAACCGTAGATGTCAACCGGTGCGTGGACACTGGTTCAAAAGCAGGTTCAGCCTTAATTGCGATCATACGGTCATTAGTGCTCTCCACGATTTCATCATCGGATGATAGCGACAATAAGTCGTCCTCGCTCAGAAGAGGTGGCTGTTTCCGCTTCTGGCTTGCAGCCAGTGACTCATAATCCACTGGGAAGGCGGAGCGGGAAGAGGGTTTTTGGGCGAGGGGTGGAGGTACAAGGTCAGAGTCATAATCCGCGGCCTGTAGCTCATGACTGGCATCGGAATCGGACTTATAGTCCCCCAGGGAGGCAAGCTGTGGAGGAGGGGGGATGTCGCCAATACCCGAATTCATGAAGATAATTTGGTCGCGGATATCAGCTGAGGACTTCTGCGCGCTTGGCATCCTCAACTGGATCAGGCTGCTCAGGTTCTGAGGTTGCACCGCGAGGGAAAACATCGTCAAGTGCTTTGGACGCGATCTGCAGTTTTCGTTGAAACTACATCAAATTTGAATCTAAATATGATCAGACTCACAGTTAAAGCCTTTTTGCCTTTGAAACCAGAAAGAGGTTTGGTGAACAGCTCCTCCGAGTCGTACTCGTCCTCGTCAGCATCAGACGCATACAGGCCCGAGAAAGCAGACCCAGCATCGGGAATACTGATGGGTGTGGACGGGGGTGGAACATTGCTGCTGATAGTGCTCCCTCTTGTGAGCTTAGAGAAAGCGGAGCTAGTACTAGCACTGCGTGAGTGCGTAGGTAGCAGCCTTGGAGGATGGCTTTGAGGCGTTCGTGGGAACAGTCGATATCCACCCCGGAACACGTCCAGCAAACGAAAATTTTTTGGGACTTGCAGTATCAGAATTATTTATTGCGACATCGAAGAAAAAAAGGGCAGTTTCAGTCAAAAGGAGACTCATAGTTACTAGGTAAGAGAAAGACTTACATATCAATCGTCTTGACGTTTGCGTCACGTGCCTTTGTTGATCCATCGATAACGACGCCAGCGTTTAACGCTTCAATCGCATCTCTCACCAGCGGTTTGGTGGCCTTTTTTCTCTGGGGTTTTGCTGCTACTGGCTCCTCCTCCAAGTCTTCATCAGTCGCAGGATGTTCAACATTAACACCAGCTGCTAACTGTCTGGCTCTACCCTTTTGACCCTTGCCTTTGGCGACAACAGGCTTATCAGTGGCGACAATTTCTGCTCCTGCTTGCCTACCATCCATAGTCGAGTCGGGGGTCTTCGAGGTTTTTTGCAGCCTTCCCCACTGGGCGTGCACGAGGAGGCTTAGGCTTAGGTGCGTCAACACGGGCATTCTCTTGATCAGCCTGCATCTGTGCTTGCATAGTTGCAATACGCTGATAACTTTCCTGCACAGCTTTATGACTTGCCTCCTTTGCCTCCTTTTCGCGCTGGTCGTCAGCGGCCTTCTGAACAGCGGTACGTCTCTTTCCCTGACTTTCAATCACGATGCGTCCCGGATGTTGAGTTGCATTCTTAGGCCGAGTTGCCATGCGCTGCGCAACTGTCTTGGGCTGAGACATTGTGTCGAGGGAGGGATTTGGAGGCTGAAGAAAGTTGGCGGCGGCGGGTTACCGGGAGTTCAAGGCGAGTTTCATTACATTTTAAATTTTATAGTTGATAGCTGACTCTGAATAATTCACGGACCCTGCTTAATAGTCTGACGTACTTGTCTAACTACTGTGAGTCTACTGCGACTGCCATAAACCTCCGGAGCATATATGCCAGCGCTTTTTCGGCAGAATAACAGGACCCACACCAAATTGAAATACCTTAGTCTGGTGAGTATCAACATTTACTAGAACCTGTCCGTCGGTATATTGACCTGCACTGGGGATATTTCAGGTATCAACATTTACTAAAACTTGTCCGTCGGTATCTGGTGAGTATCAACATTTACTAAAACCTGTCCGTCGGTATATTGACGTGCACTGGGGATATTTCAGTTCTGGTGGTGAGGTGACAATACTCACCAAAACCTTTCCGATGGTGGGGTGTCATTCGCAGGATGTTCACCAAAACCTTTCCGGTGGCCCAGGAACATAAAGTTCACCAAAAGTTTCTGGTGGTATGGTTACATAACTGTCCATGTAACCAGAACTTTGCCGCCCATTTTCATCCCGATGTGGCGCCAAAACAAGCAGAGTCTGGACCCGATATTAGAGGCCGTTGTTGAACCCTGAATTTTTCCCTAGTCTCTGCTTCGCTAGCCATACACTGTATCAACCCGCACTCCTCATACCATGCCTGGAACTCGCCCTACTCATCGTTCCCTTCGGTTTCCATGTTTATCTCCAGGCTGTATGCGCTGGTTTCGAAACGCCTCAGGCCGCACTCAACACATGCATGCGTGCCATCCAGTTGCACTTGCTCAAGATTTTCTACCAACACACCGCCTCAGTCGCCACCTCCTCCTGGTTTCTCGCCACCTCCTCCTGGTTTCTCGCCACCTCCTCCTGGTTTCTCGCCACCTCCTCCTGATTTCTCGCCACCTCCTCCTGATTTCTCGCCACCCCCACCTGATGTCTCACCACCCCCACCTGATGTCGATGAGGATCCAGAGTCAGAATTCACGGACGCGAGTGGGCGTTACTATCGTACGTATCATTCGCTCCTCAATGGTAAGTTCCTTTCAATCAGTGCCCTTTCATGAATTGTGACTCAGACACGCTCTTAGGACTGCCATGCACAGCTGATGGTGTATTTCTACCGCCTGGTACACCACCAACTCCTGCTCCACTGAAGTCTCCTCATGACTGGAGTCCATATCGCAGTGATGTTGAGTTTGCAACGGCAGAGTTTACCTTCAAGCAATGCCATATGTCTAACAAAGCTTCGGACATACTATTCGACTTGATGGCTGCGCAGCTATTAAAACACAACGACTCCCCTCCATTCGCGGACCACAAGGATTTGCACAAGGTCATTGACGCTACACAGCTTGGCAATGTCCCTTGGCAATGTCTCTCGGTTCAATACGCGGGGGAACGCCCTGAGCACGATACTCCTCCGTGGATGGGCAAAGAATATGAAGTTTGGTACAGAGACCCCCGCGTGATGGCACACAACATGTTGGCCAATACCACCTACAAGGGTGAGATTGACTATGCGCCATTTCGAGAGTATGATTCGTCGGACAATACACGCCGATGGAAAGACTTTATGTCTGGAGATTGGGCATGGCAACAAGCCGTACGTATTCAATACATTTCTTATAATTCGGGGCACACTAACATTTTATCAGGACGAGATATCGAAGGATCCGAACACGCATGGATCAATGTTCGTCCCAATAATCCTTGGGAGTGACAAGACCACCGTATCTGTGGGCACGGGTAATAACGAATATTACCCCTTGTATGCCTCGATCGGCAATGTACACAACAATGTGCGACGCGCTCATCGCGATGCTCTCGTTATCATTGGTTTCCTCTCTATACCAAAAAGTACGTGTATCAACGTTTAATATTGTGCCCTTCATCTGACCTATTGCGCAGCTACTAGGAAATATGCTCACGACGATTCGTTTCGTCTATTTCGCCGCCAGCTTTTTCACTGCTCGCTATCCGCGATTCTATCCACCCTGAAGCCTGCGATGACCGAGTACGAGGTCCTGCGTTGCGCAGACGGTCATTTTCGACGCATCATATTTGGCCTAGGACCTTACATAGCTGACTATGAGGAGCAACTGGTGCTATCTTGCACCGTCAAAAACTGGTGCCCGAAGTGAGCTCTTTCTTAATTCTACCTAACTTTTACTGACAATGTTTGTAGATGTCTTGCACATCGTGGTGACCTGGATGGCGGCGGTAATCTCCCACGCACTCGAGAGCATACAGATCTCCTCGTATCTGAACATATAGACTCAGATACATTGTGGCATGAATTTGGTATCGTTAGCGTTCTCGTCGTGAGTGATACTACCCACTCTCGTATTATGTACTTATTTATTTTGTACAGCCATTCACAAATGATTTCCCCCGAGCCGACATTCATAAATTGATATCCTTTGATCTCCTCCACCAGCTAGTCAAAGGCGCTTTCAAGGATCATCTTGTGGACTGGGTCTTAAAGTATCTCAAACTCACGCATGGGACCAAACGAGGAGAAGAGATCATGAGTGACATAGATCGCAGGTACGTGAACTCACTCATCCATTCGGCATTTTCTAACAATCAGTCAGAATTGCTGCTGTGGCATCATTCACTGGGCTACGGCGATTTCCCGACGGCCGTGGCTTCAAACAGTGGACAGGTAACGATTCCAAGGCCCTCATGAAGGTTTTCCTTCCGGCTATTGAAGGCCATGTACCTCAAGACATGGTGCGCGCATTTCGCGCTCTTTTAGAATTTTGTTATATTGCACGACGCGATGTAATTACCGAAGCCTCTCTGGTTCAACTCAATGATGCGCTCACTCGGTTCCACCACTACCGCAAGATATTCGAAACCACAGGCACAGTCCCTCACTTCTCGTTACCCTCGTCAACACTCGATGACTCACTATGTGGACATGATCCGACTGTTTGGTGCCCCAAACGGATTATGTTCGTCGATCACGGAATCCAAGCACATCAAGGCGGTCAAGGAACCTTGGCAGTGGTCTAACAAGCACAACGCCCTGGGTCAAATGCTATTGACCAATCAACGGCTTGATAAACTTGCAGCATCTCGCCTGGACTTTGCTGCTCGTGGGATGCTTGTCGGCTCTGTGTTATCAAGAGCTGTGGCCGCTCTCAGTAAGTTTTCATATTTAATCATGTCATTTTACTAACTCGATGTGCAGCTGTCGGCCCTGAAGATGAGCCAAATGCCCCAGTGATCGCACCAGAAGTCGAGGGTGAGGTTGACGATGGTGAAGCTGTTGATGGCCCAACTGTGCTCGCTTTTGTGCAGCTCGCGCGGACACCTCGTAAGTGATGCTCTCATGTGTCATCTTGAATACTCACTAAGGTTTTCATAGAACGAAAACGGGCACGGACTGTAATGGAGCTAGCAGATGAGGTCAATGTACCTCACCTGCGACGCCTTATCCGTTACTTTCTGTTCTCTCAACTCCACCCTAACGATCCCCGCAGCCCCGAGGATGTCCCCGCTGCTAGCTGTCCTCGGCATGATGGCACGCTTTATGTCTTTAATTCTGCAGCTGCGACTTTCTATGCCCCGAGCGATCCCAGTGGCATTGGCGGCATGCGACGTGAACAGATACGAGCTTGTCCACTCTGGCGGAATGTCGCTGCCCGTAATGATTGTGTGTTTGTCAATGCCAATCCAGACCTTGAAGGGATGAGAGGGCTCGAAGTCGCAAGAGTCAAATGTTTCTTTTCTTTCAAGTTTAATTGGGTCACATATCCATGTGCCCTCGTTCAGTGGTTCGACAAGGTTGGCGACTGTGCGGACGAGGATACCGGCATGTAGATAGTACGTCCAACTGTTCATGACGATGGCACCCCAAACTTCGCCGTCATCCATATTGACACAATTTACCGCGCAGCCCACTTGATCCCTGTCTATGGTCCCGACTTCATTGCTGACAACATCGAGTATTTTCACTCCTATGATGCTTTTCGCTCATTCTATATTAATAAATTTGCTGATCACCATGCATTTGAGATCGCGTCGTGATCACCAAACTTTGAGGAGACGGAGACGAAGACGACACTCCCCATCACACAACCCGACGACACGAAACGACGTTGTCATGCGTTACGACGAATACACCAAGACGTACTAATGACTGCGATCTCAGCAACAAGATCCAGAGAGCCGAGCTCATTGCAGGGACCGGGTTTGACTGGTGAGTTCTCAATTTTTGTTTGTTTCATTTTTCACTCATTTGTATGTGCCAGCGCTCGATCGCAACCCTTGTCCTCCACCCGCCTCAAATCAAAACATGTCCACAAGACGACTTTACCGATTCACTCGACTCCAACAATGTCGACTCCCAGAGACGCTGGATGTCTTATATCCCCGGCACAATTCCTGACTCAATGTCACCAGAGTTGTCTCTCACTCTAAATCGCTCTCAAGGTCAAAATCCAATGGTCTCCTTCCACCCCGTCATCTTCGTCACAACAGCCCCAGCAACCCTCGCTACTCCATATCCGCAGTTCGTGCCCAGTGGTATGTGCCCACCGCGGCAGCCTTCAGACACCCCATGTTCCCCTGCATGCTGTCAACCCTCCTTTGATGGTCCACTACCTGACACACCCATCATGGCACACACTATCCTCCCAAGACGTCCTGGCTGAACTTTATCTTGCAGGGCGAGCCACATGAGGGCAAGTAGACTTTTGCTGGTTCGCTGGGGAAGAACATTGTCTCCAAAGACGTGCTTGGAACGGAGAACAACCATGATGAATCAAGCACGCCGAACCTCATTTACGCGAACTATGCTGCTTTCCCTCATCTTGCTGCAGGGACTTTGGTTGATCTCAAGTGGGTGGCGTTCTTTGGAGCTGCTATGGTATGTGTTGTACAATAATTCGGTCGACATAAAATCATATGTTGATACCTCGCCTAGGCCGTCTTCCCTGCGTTCTTCTCCCTGAACTCGTTCCAATGATTCTAATATCAAAGTAAGTCAGCCGTTCGTTTAGCAAAATACATTGACTCACCTCCAGTCCGCCAGCATGCAGCTTACGCCATGTCGTGAACGCGTTCGAGCATCTCTTGATCCAGGCACCCGCAAAGAACCTTCAATGCCCTCCAAATACCAACCCCCACACTCCTCATAACCCCTCTCCCTTCGACTTCTGCTCCCCTCGCTTGGTTGCGCCTTCCTCGCGTGTAGTAGAGACGCGTCTCTACTACAACGCGTCGCTGATCTTGATGTGCGGACTGGACTAAGTGCTACGAACGATCGCTGTCAGCGATCAAATCCATCCGCACATGAGACACAGCCTTGGAAGACTTACCATTGCTGCTAGGTTCATTGTTTGTTGATCAAAGTGAGTTGTGTTTGCTAGTGAATGATATTGGGCTGAAGACAAACGAATTGTTCAGCCGCAGACGTTTTCTCACGCTGCTAGCTGTCGAGCACAGCGAGCAGCTTAGTAGTATTATTATTTATTTTAACTACTTAATTCAATTGTATACAACGCACTTGCACTTTTCTCACTTTCGCTACTTAATTGCTTGACGCCACTTGTAAGTGCTTGTGAAAAAATAATAACAAGTGACTAAGTACAACTAATTAGCGTCATGTCAGATATTTTCGCGACAAGTGACGAAAAAGGAAGGTAAGGAATGTGTGAATTTACTGATGTATATGAGTCTATGTCTGGCTGGTCTCGACCAGAGGTACATACAACCTACCGAGCTCGATATCTATACAAGATGGGACAACATATCCATGCGAGGTGTGGCATGCAATATATTCAAGATAAATCAATGTGATACTCATAATAGCTCCGGTTTCTAATGTACCTACAGTATTTCTATGATACCCTGGAACTTTTAAATACAGGCGTGTCACACACCTCGTGTGATAGATCAAATAGTTAAATATTAAATTGGTCGACAATACATGGTGAGAAAATCATATTAACGACATTTCGAACAGCTTTACCGCACGTTACTACTTTTGGATGTGTGGGATAGGATTTCAGCAAGCGACGGTGTAGGCAAAAGCCACTGACGTAGAGAATTGTCCAAAGTGATTAGCCGAAAAACTCGAAGAGAGACATGATCGAACAGACACAATCAATGTCACGTGATGTCAACGACCAGAGAGTTCGCTAAATTTGAGCTCGAATGCATCGATATCCCACCGTCAGATCGCTGCTCAGCCTTTATAACGCGCTTTACACCTTGACTGCATCAAATATTAATCCAGTGAGGATATGGCACCTCGTGGACCGTGATATTGAAAACGGCATGCCGAGGGGCCGCGGCTGGTACTAGAGTATATACTAATTATGAAGATGATTCAATGACGCCAACAACCTTCCTTCTTCCTGATTTCTGGGGTACGTATGACATTATTTGCGTCTGGCACGAATCCAACAATATTTGATCTGCAGGGGAGTAGTTAATCACTTGCAATTGGAGATCTAGTTGAGTTTTAGATTCTGCTTGTACTTGCCACTGACTCGAGTCTTAATGCGTGCATGTATCAATCGTGGCTGGTATCCATACACAATCTGTAGACGAATAAAGATAGCCGTTCCTTCGACTTCCTGCCATCTCCTGGAGTTCCATAAGGTTCCATAAGCCTCTATAACGCCTGCCCAATCCCAGTGCTTGAGCCTCGAGGTCAACACAGCAGCAAACAAGTATTGCCTCGAGGCTTGCGGTCAAGGGTATGGCCTGTAATTGTATTTAAACGACCATGCCACCCACGCTTCTTGTTGCTTACTTTACTCGAACTGATCATTGACTATCCGCCATGACTCGGAACAACAGCAATCAATCGAGGGCCTTGAGCCCAGTTCCTCCAGATACCACACCAGTTACTCGCGGACGCTCGGTACGTTGCTTATATATCGGTCCCTCAAACGCTGACCCTGATGCCCCATCTCTTTAGGTCCAACCGTCAAACAAAGTTTGTCGCTTTCTCAGGAAGGTCAAGGATGGTGTAAAGAAGAAGATTTCTGTAAGTCGATATACTGAGTTTTATTGAGCTCAGGCTGAGATCGTACACAAGCGCTCGAACCTGAATAATTCCGTGACACAAGGTGCCAATCCTCAATCGGTGGACACCGCACTTCAGCATGCCCGTGATGGTGCACATAAGATGAATCCACTTTTTGGACCCGCGAGATCAGTAGCGTCCGCAGGCAAAAATGCACCAGCAGCTCTCGATGATGCGGCCAATGTGGAGGCTACATATCTTCAACCCCTCAGGATATTCGACACTGTGATCGGGAAACTCACAGAAGTACGACCTGTCTCCCTCACCAGAACTGAACTAATACCGTTCCACAGGTACATCCGTATGCAAAGATGGCATTGGGTGTGTTGTCTTGTGCATCTACAGTACGTTTTATTTCGCTCTTATTTAAATCTACTGCTTAGTTGTTTTGCTTGCAGATAATTCTCGCTCAAGCGGATCGCGACGACGCGATACTCGGCCTTCTCAAGAAGCTGGGTGAAGTGTACGACTTCATGATGCAAGACGACACACTTCACAAGATTTCGTCGATGAGCACTATTTTGGGACAGATCTCTCAGCAGACCCTTGAATGCGCCCATTTCATCAGGGATTATTCGGAGAAGAAAAACTTTTGTCAGTCTCCAACCAGTTGTTACATTTAGCGGTTTTTCAATCTTATCATAGGGAAGAGACTCGGAAAGAACGTCGTCTCGGAAACAGACGACACGATAAAACGGTTATAACAATGTGTTGGATGCGCTCATGCAAAACTTCCGGGACCAAGTTACTCGCGACGTAGCCGTCTACATCCAACGTACAAGTAAGAATTCGGACGTATTCCTGACTCGACATCTATTCATACTTCTTCAGGCGAAATACTCGACCTCGGCGGTATGGCTTATGCAGAGGGCGCAGGACTGGACACTAGGAAGCGATGCCTGCCAGGGACGCGCACGGACATTCTCTCCAAGATCATGGGATGGATCAACGACAAGAACGATGATGCTCCACGCGTGCTATGGCTATCTGGTCCTGCCGGGACGGGTAAATCAGCCATTGCTCACACAATCGCTAGCTCGTTCATCGGGGTGGGCGGGCTCGGTTCTTGTTACTGCTTCGACCGAAACACGGACCATCGCCATAAAATGGTTTTCTCCACTATCGCGCGCGACCTGGCCGACCGTCATCCGGAGATGAGACGAGCGTTAGCGGATGCAGTCCAGAACGCAAATGCGCTCAAGACTACAGCGGATGTCGTACAGCAGTGGCAGAAGCTTCTTATGGAACCTCTAGGGAAGCTTTCCGAGTCCCCTGTGGGGCCTGTCGTGATCGTTATCGACGCACTGGACGAAAGTGGCAAAGCACTGGAAACACGCAGCAACCTTCTACGCATTCTTGCCGGTAAAATTCGAGACCCAACTATCACCCAGATCACGAAACTCCCGAAAAACTTCCGGACCATCGTTACTTCTCGCCCGCTCCACGACATAGAAGCAGAGCTTGCAGATGTTCAGCATGTTGAAAGGATATCCATAGACGACACCCCACCAGCCACCGTAGAGCGTGACATCCACGCTTACATATCGAACGAGCTGGAAGGGCTTTCGGATTTGGGGGATAGAGAGTGCGCAGCGCTCGCTAAGAAAGCCGATGGCCTTTTCGAGTGGGCACGTCTTGCTTGTAAATCCATCAAAGCACGCTCTCCTGGCTTATCTCCAATCGAGTCCTTCGATGCTGTGGTGTCCCGCAATCCCGCTGAGCGGGAACACTTGTTGTATGATATGTATCAGTTCAGTTTAACAGAGATCATGCGAATAGACAAAACTACGAATTCCATGTCTCAGCAGAAACAGCTAACGAGATTTCGTTCCGTGATGGGACAAATCCTCGGCGCATCTGAACCCCTCCCTTTGGCCTCCCTGAACGCCATGCGGCGCCATTTTCCAGATGAAAGCGAGCATTACGAAGTGCAAGTCATAGTCGAACATATGGGATCTCTCCTCGGCGGCACCACAAACTCATCTACCCCCATCCGTCCCCTTCATGCATCCTTCCGCGATTTCCTTACGGACCAATCACACAGTAAGGACTTTTTCATCGACGTGTCGAAAGTACAACACGACCTTGCTTTCGCATCACTTCGAGTGATGGAGCATGGACTTTCCTTCAATATCTGCGATCTAAAATCATCGTATCTCCCCAACTCTGAAGATCCCGGTCTGCGAGAACGAGTTGAAAAATGGATTTCCCCCACACCTATCCTATGCCTGCCGATTTTGGCCTGTCCACGTACAACCAACCCACTTCGATTCAGAACTCGCCAAAGAAATAAAATCATTCTTCGAGCATGAACGACTGTTCTTCTGGCTCGAGGTCCTCGGCCTTACGAATGCGCTCAGCGGTGCAGTCCCTGCCCTTCCGATTATTTCCAAGTGGTTAAAGGTGAGCACATGGTTATGAAGTGTCGATCACATGCTCACTAACGCGCAATCGTAATTGTAGGGTCACACCGGATTCGAAGATGCCTCATCCGCTGCAATGGACGTGCAGAGATTTATCCAACTCTTCGGCGTCCTCATCTTGCACAGCACACCTCATCTCTATGTATCAGCTCTGCCGTTCTCGCCCGTCAACTCTGCACTATCCAGCACGTTTTCTGCACGGTTTCCGAACACTCTTCGTGTGGCATCTGGACGTGATATCAACTGGACGGCTGTTCAGACTGTGATCACCGGGCACACTGATGACGTTCACTCATTGTCGTTCTCGCCGGATGGGACTCGCATTGCGACTGGATCGGATGATTGCACTGTGCGGCTGTGGGATGCGGCAACGGGGCAGCCAGTGGGCAAGCCCTTGCTGGGGCACACTGAAGCAGTTTACTCAGTTTCATTCTCGCCGGATGGGACACGCATCGTGTCTGGCTCGGTCGATAAGACTGTCCGGCTGTGGGATGTAGCAACGTGGCAGCCTGTTGGTGAACCCTTACTGGGGCATACTGAGTTCATTAACTCAGTCTCGTTCTCGCCGAACGGAACTCGCATCGTGACAGGTTCGCGCGATCAGACAGTCCGGCTGTGGAACGCAGCAACGCAGCAACCAATTGGTGAACCCTTACGGGGGCACACTTCTTCAGTTACCTCAGTCTCGTTCTCACCGGATGAGACTCGCATCGTTTCTGGTTCAGACGATAAGACTGTCCGGCTGTGGGAAGTAGCAACGGGAAAGCCAGCCGGTGAGCCCTTGGAAGAGCACACTTCTTACGTCACATCAGTCTCGTTCTCTCCGGATGGGACTCGCATCGCATCTGGTTCGGCTGATGAGACTGTCCGGTTGTGGGATGCAGCGATGGGGAAACCTGTCTGTGAGCCCTTGGAGGGGCACACTGATTGGGTTAGGTCAGTTTCGTTCTCGCCGGACGGAAGTCGCATCTTGACAGGTTCGGACGATAAGACTGTCCGACTGTGGGATACAGCTACAGGGAAGCCAGTCGGTGAGCCCTTGCTGGGGCACACTGGGTGGGTCTACTCGGTCTCGTTCTCTCCGGATGGGACTCGCATCGCGACTGGTTCTGGAGATAACACTGTCCGACTGTGGAACACAGCTACAGGGCAGCCAGCTGGTGAGCCCTTGCAAGGGCACACTAATTCAATCATCTCATTCTCGCTATCACCGGATGAGACCCGCATCGCGACTGGTTCGGCGGATGGTACTGTCCGGCTGTTGGATGCAGTGACAGGGCAGCCAGTTGGTGAGCCCTTGCTGGGGCACACTGATTCGGTTTACTCAATCTCATTCTCTCCGGATGGGACTCGCATCGCAACTTGTTCTGCGGATAAGACAATCCGGCTGTGGAATGCAGCAATGCGGCAGCCAATTGGTGAGCCCTTACGGGGGCACACTGATGCGGTTCAGTCAGTCTCGTTCTCGCCGGATGGCACTCGCATCATTTCTGGCTCGAACGATAAGACTGTCCGGCTGTGGGATGCAGGAACGGGGCAGCCAGTTGGTGAGCCCTTGGAAGGGCACACTGATTGGGTCGGATCAGTCTCGTTCTCTCCCGATGGGACTCGCATCGCATCTGGTTCGGCTGATGAGACTGTCCGGCTGTGGGATTCAGGGACAGGGCAGCCAGTTGGTGAGCCCTTTGAAGGGCACACTTATTCGGTCACATCAGTCTCGTTCTCTCCAGATGGGACTCGCATCGCATCTAGTTCAAGAGATGAGACTCTCCGGCTGTGGGATGTAGCAACGGGCCAGCCAGTTGGTGAGCCCTTGGAGGGACACGCTGATGAGGTCAATTCAGTCTCATTCTCGCTGGATGGCACTCGCATCGTTTCTGGTTCGGACGATAAGACTGTCCGGCTGTGGGATGCAGGAACGGGGCAGCCAGTCGGTGAGCCCTTGAAAGGGCACACTTCTTCGGTCAGATCAGTCTCGTTCTCTCCGGATGGCACTCGCATCGCATCTGTATCAAATGATAAGACTGTCCGCATCTGGTATGCAGCAATTGGGAAGTCATTGCAGGACCACGCCGAAGAAGACTGTTCAGCATACTCTCCACATAGCAGTTGCATCCCACATCCAACAGCGACCGTCCCCACACCCTACACTGTGAACAATGACTTCATTTCATTCTCATCAAACTCGACTCATGCACTTCGCGATACTGCTGAGCTACTCGCAGGGCACTCCCCATGATGACCGCAGGTCGACGTTCACTTTCCTTGGAGATGATGGATGGATGATGGGACCCAATCGTCGGCTCTTATTCTGGGTACCACCCAGCTTCACGAGAGGAATTTAGCTATAATCCTTGAACTGCATTAGTGTTACCTAGCGGAGGTCCAGAGCTGGATTTGAGTCGCATGGCCCATGGGACACGCTGGCAACACTCCTACGAGGAGTGAGTCTTCAGCCTTTTCCGTTCCTCAGTTGATTAATTTGATACCTCTAGCCCTCAATCACCATGATCTTGTTAGAGTAGATTGAATTGCGGAGATGCCAGAGACACTTCGTCGAGTACGATTTCAAGTGTACAATTAATCATGGTCTGTTGTATGTATATACGTAGCATTGCATTCGAATTTGGGGTAGTTTGAACATCATATCAGGAAGGTGACTGTGTAGCAGGTTTCCGAGAGCATGGAAAGATCATAGTCCAATGAATAAAGTTATCCAAGATGCCGTTGAGCGAAACGAATGGAGAAGAGTGTGTTCAATGCACCTCCCAAAGTGGACTGAAGAAACAGAAGATTGCAGCAACAGCGGGGGCGTGTTTGGATATTGCGGGGTCGTTTGACTTCGATTGCACACACAGGTTTAAGTGTTGAGAGAGCTGGGTCAATGGGAAAGAGCGTAGTTCATTGTGTACAGTACAACACGTATATATGGTAACAAGAGTACCATGAGAGTGATGCGTGCAAGGATATGCGACGCATGAGGCGCGGAAGAACATGTGAAATTTGAAGAAAAAATGGAAATGGGAAAATGGACGAGTGCCTGCCACCTGGAGGCTGGGATGAGCAAAGCAAAATTTGGCAATACGAAAGACGAACCTTCATTAATCTGGGCCCAGAGTCCAGACATACCAGATGAACCTAGTGTGGCAATGGGCCCGTCCTCCTTGGAACATCTCGAATGATCGGTTGACAAGTAAACTGCATCTGATGATTTTGCGCACGCAGTTCCGAGTCGAACTTCAAGCTAAGCTCAAGCGACAGTAGTAGTGACCAAACCGTTAGTTGCAGCAAATATGATCATAGTTTTCTCGATGCCACTCAAAGGTGACTGGCCACAAGTCTTGCGTGCATTTATCACTCACTGGTATGTCTGTGATTAGCATGATGGCGTTTTTCATAATTTCGAGGTGCAGGCGGGTATACTAGTAGGAATATCAAAGATAGTCGTTCTTTCGACTTCCTTGCATTTCCCGGTGTTCTGCCAAAGAGGCGCCCAGTCAATACAGCAGCAAATATTTGGGGTTTCCAGCCAATGGTATGACCTGTTATCTAAACGCCGAAGCTGGGACCCACCCTTCCTCTAACTACTTGTCCCACCCTACTTCGCTCAGACTGATGCTTCGTGTTCACATTAACTATTTCAAACGATGAGTGAACACAATCAATCAAGGAACTCAAGGCAAGATCCTCCTCCTGAAAACCACGCATCCAGTGAACCTTCCGCTGGTGGAAGTTCGGTATGTTTCTGATCAGGACCACTTCGAGTCATTCCACTTGAAACATCAACTCTGATGCATCCTTCATCCAGGGCAGACGCCGTGGCAAAATTCGTCGGTTTCTAGGAAAGGTTAAGAATGCAACTAAAAAGATTTCTGTGAGTCGACAAGGATCCTGAGTTTCCTGGAACAAGGCTCATGTGATCGTACAAAAGCACTCGAAGGATTCTCGCGGCCGTGACCCTGTTTTTCTCAACGTTGATTGTGAAGGTGCCTCACCGATTTCGGATATCAAGGTAACTCACCTTTTAGTTTATGCTCTCTCTATAAACTCTAGTGGTCGCGCAGGTTCAGGATACTCCCTCTGGTGCCGAACAAGGTGCCGATCCCCAATTGGCACTTCAGAACGCCAAAGAGGTTGTCAAAGACATGAATCTACTTTCGGGAGCTGTGGGATCTGGAGCATCCGCAGCCCAAAATGCATCAGCGGATCTCGAGGATGCATATAATTTCCAGGACACATATCTTCAACCCCTCAGGATATTCGACAGTGTTATTGGAAAGCTCGCGGATGTATGGGCCCATCCTCCAGCGGTTGGAACCGAACTAATCCCGTTCCGCAGGTACATCCATATGCAAAGATTGCACTGGGCGTGCTATCTTGTGCATCAAAAGTGCGTTTCGTCCCTCCTTCGCTTACAACCGCTGCTGAGCAGCCATCGGTGTAGATGGTCATCGCCCAATCAGATCGTGACCAAGCAGTACTTCGTCTTGTCGACAAGTTGGATCAAGTTTATGGCTTCATGATACAGGACGAGACGCTTGGCCAGATTTCATCGATGCGCGGTATCCTTGGACAGATCTCTCAGCAGACCCTTGAATGCGCCCGTTTCATCAGAGATTATTCAGAGACCAAGAGCTTCTGTGAGTCTTCAAGCTGTTACACGTTCCACATACTCAGTCTTCTGCTATCTTAACAGGGAAGAGACTCGGGAAAGACATTCTCGCTGAAACAAATCATGAAATTCAACGGTACAGCGATGTGTTGGATGCGCTCATGCAAAACTTCCGGGACCAAGTTGCTCGGGACGTAGCTATTTATACCCACCATACAGGTAAGGATTGTACCTCCTTCTGACGCAACAACTATTCATTCATCCTCAGGCGAACTACTGGACCTCAGTGGTATAACTTATGCAGCGAACGCAGGGCTAGATACCAGGAAACAATGCCTGCTAGGGACGCGCACGGAAATATTCTCCCAGATCACAGATTGGGTCAACAGCACTGGAGGCGACGTTCCACGCGTGCTGTGGCTATCTGGTCCTGCAGGCAAAGGCAAATCAGCCATCGCCCACACGATTGCTAAGTGGTTCAGCGATGCAGGAGGGCTTGGTTCATGTTATTGCTTCGACCGAGATCGAGAAGCCGACCGTCGCCATGAGAAGATATTTTCTACCATCGCACGTGACCTGGCTGACCGTGATTCGGGGGTGAGGCGAGCGTTGGCAGATACAGTTCAGCAAGCCAGCGCTCTCAAGACTACAGCTGACGTCATTCAGCAATGGCAGAAGCTTCTGATGGAACCACTACAGAAGCTCTCAGAGTCAACCGTGGGCCCTGTCGTGATCGTGATCGACGCACTGGACGAGAGTGGCGCGGCCAAGACACGAACCGACCTTCTTCGTATTCTTTCTGGTAAACTTCAGAACGCTAATGTTCCCCAAATCATGGAGCTCCCAAAGAACTTCCGATTTATCGTTACCTCTCGCCCGCTTCGCGACATTCAGAATGCGTTTGCGGGCGCTCAACACATTCGAAGGATTTCTATGGACGACATTCCACCAGAAGTCGCGGAACGCGATATCTACGCTTACGTGTCGAGGAAGCTGGAAGGGTTTTCGCAATTTGGGAGCAAGGAGTTTACAGCCCTCGCCAAGAGAGCTGATGGTCTTTTCGAGTGGGCACGTCTTGCTTGCGAATCCATCGAAGCACCCCCTCCTGGCTTATCTCCAATCGAGTCCTTCGATGCTGTGGTGTCCCGTGATCCCTGCTGAGCGGGAAAACTTGTTGTATGATATGTATCAGTTCATTTTGACAGAGATCATGCGAATGGACAAATCCACACATTCCACGTCTCAGCACAAACAGCTCACGAGATTTCGTTCCGTGATGGGACAAATCCTTGGCGCATCTGAACCACTCCCTTTGGAGTCCCTGAACACAATGCGGAGCCATTTTCCAGACAAAAGCGAGCATTACGAAGTGCAAGTCATGGTCGAACATATGGGATCCCTCCTCAGCGGTACCACCAACTCATCTACCCCCATCCGGCCCCTTCACGCATCCTTCCGCGATTTCCTGACGGACCAATCACACAGTGGAGACTTTTTCATCGACGTGTCGAAAGTACAACATGACCTTGCTTTCGCATCACTTCGAGTGATGGAGCATGGACTTTCCTTCAATATCTGCGATCTAAAATCATCATATCTGCCCAACTCCAAAGATCCTGGGCTGCGAGAACGAGTTGAAAAATGCATCCCCCCACACCTATCCTATGCCTGCCGATTTTGGCCTGTCCACGTACAGCCAACCCACTTTGATTCAGAACTCGCCAAAGAAATCAAATCGTTCTTCGAGCATGAGCGACTGTTGTTCTGGCTCGAGGTACTCGGCCTTATGAACTCGCTCGGCGGTGCCGTCCCCGTGCTTCCGCTTATTGCCAAGTGGTTAAAGGTGAGCGCGTGGTTATGATGTGTCAACCGCATGCTCACTAACGCGCAATCGCAATAGCAGGGTCAGACCGGGTTCGAAGATGCCTCATCCGCTGCAATGGACGTGCAGAGATTTATCCAAGTCTTCGGCGGCCTCATCTTGCACAGCACACCTCATCTCTATGTATCAGCACTGCCGTTCTCGCCCGTAAACTCTGTACTATCCAGAACGTTTTCCGCACGGTTTCCTAAATCTCTTCGTGTGGCATCTGGACGTGATATCAACTGGACGGCTGTTCAGACTGTGATCAGCGGGCACACTAGCTATGTTTCCTCAGTCTCGTTCTCGCCGGATGGGACACGCATTGCGACTGGATCGTATGATTGCACTATGCGGCTGTGGGATGCAGCAACGGGGCAGCCAGTAGGCAAGCCCTTGCTGGGGCACACTCAACCAGTTCTCTCGGTCTCATTCTCGCTGGATGGGACCCGCATCGTGTCTGGCTCGGCCGATAACACAGTCCGGTTGTGGGATGTAGCAACGTGGCAGCCCATTGGTGAACCCTTACTGGGGCATACTGAGTCGGTTAACTCAGTCTCGTTCTCGCCGAACGGAACTCGCATCGTAACAGCTTCGAACGATAGGACAGTCCGGCTGTGGAATGCAGCAACGCAGCAGCCAATTGGTGAACCCTTACGGGGGCACACTGAGGAGGTTGAATCAGTGTCGTTCTCGCCGGATGAGACTCGTATCGTTTCTGGTTCACGTGATAAGACCGTCCGGCTGTGGGAAGTAGCAACGGGACAGCCAGCCAGTGAGCCCTTGAAAGGGCACACTTCTTCGGTCAGATCAGTTTCATTCTCTCCGGATGGGACTCGCATCGCATCTGGTTCGGCTGATAAGACTGTCCGGTTGTGGGATGCAGCGATGGGGAAGCCTGTCTGTGAGCTCTTGGAGGGGCACACTGATTGGGTTAGGTCAGTTTCGTTCTCGCCGGACGGAAGTCGCATCGTGACCGGTTCGGACGATCAGACTGTCCGACTGTGGGATGCAGCTACAGGGAAGCCAGTCGGTGAGCCCTTGCTGGGACACACTGATTATGTCCACTCGGTCTCGTTCTCTCCCGATGGGACTCGCATCGCGACTGGTTCTAGGGATAACACTGTCCGTCTGTGGAACGCAGCTACAGGGCAGCCAATTAGTGAGCCCCTGCAAGGGTACACTAATTCAATTTTCTCAGTCTCGCTATCGCCGGATGAGACCCGCCTCGCGGTTGCTTCGGAGGATGGCACTGTCCGGCTGTTGGATGCAGCGACAGGGCAGCCAATTGGTGAACCCTTACTGGGGCACACTGAAGCGGTTTACTCAATCTCATTCTCTCCGGATGGGACTCGCATCGTAACTTGTTCTGCGGATAAAACTGTCCGGTTGTGGGATTCAGGGACGGGGCAGTTAGTGGGTGAGCCTTCGCGCGGGCACACTGGTGAAGTTAACTCAGTCTCGTTCTCGCCGGATGGGACTCGCATCGTTTCCGGTTCGAACGATGAGACTGTCCGGCTGTGGGATGCAGGAACGGGGCAGCCAGTCGGTGAGCCCTTGGAAGGGCACACTTCTTCGGTCAGATCAGTCTCGTTCTCTCCTGATGGCACTCGCATCGCATCCGCTTCAGACGATAAGACTGTCCGGCTGTGGGATTCGGGGACGGGGCAGCCAGTTGGTGAGCCCTTACTCGGGCACGCTGGTTCGGTTTACTCAATCTCATTCTCTCCGGATGGAACTCGCATCGTTTCTGGTTCTCGGGATAAGACTGTCCGGCTGTGGGATGTAGGAACGGGGGAGCCAGTTGGTCAGCCTTTGGAGGGACACACTGATTGGGTCGGATCAGTCTCGTTCTCCCCGGATGGGACTCGCATCGTTTCCGGTTCGGACGATAAGACCGTCCGACTGTGGGATGCAGCGACCGGGCAGCCAATTGGTGAGCCCTTGCAGGGGCACACTTATTGGGTCAACTCAGTCTCTTTCTCGCGGGATGGGACTCGCGTCATTTCTTGTTCATGGGATGAGACTATCCGGTTCTGGTATGTAGCGATTGGGAGGTCATTGCAGGACCATATCGAAGAAGACTGTTCAGCGTCCTCTCTACATGGCAGTTGCATCTCACATCCAACATCGGCCATCCTTACACCCGACACTACGAAGGATGACTTCATTTCCTTCTCATCAATCTCGACTCGTCTACTGCGCGACACTGCTGAGCTACTCGCTGGCACTCCCCATGACGACTGTAGGTTGACGTCCATGTTCCTTGGAGACGATGGATGGATGATGGGACCCAATCGTCGGCTCTTATTCTGGGTACCTCCCGCATCACGAAAGGCATTTTCCTATAATCCCCAGACCGCGTTAATCATTCCCAGAGGGCATATTGAGCTTGATTTGAGCCACATGGCACATGGGTCACGCTGGCAGCATTGCTACGAGGAGTGAGCCTCCTAGCTTTTCTGTTCCTCGCAGATACTCAATTTGATCATAGTAGCTCTTGATTACGATGATCTTGTTCTAGTAAATTGATTTGCGGAGAGGCCAAAGACACTTCGTCGAGTACGATATCGAGTGTACAATTAATTCATGGTCTGTTGTATGTCTATGTAGCGTTGTATTCAAATGTGGGGTAGTTTGAGCGAACGTTGTGTTAGAAAGGTAACTCGATAGCAGGTTTTTGAGAGCATGGAACCATCATAGGGTAGCGAATGATGTGGTCAGAGATGTGGCGGAACGAACTAATGGAGAGAAGTGTTCAAGATGCCTCCCAAAGTAGTTTCAAGAAACAGAAGATTGCAGCAGCGGGGGCGTTTGGCTTCGGTTGCACAGCACACACGGGTTTAAGTGTTGAGAGAACTGGGTCAATGGGAAGGAACGTGGTTCATTGCGTACAGTACAACATGCGTGGTAACAACAAGATTACCATGAGAGTGATGGGTGCAAGGATATGCGACGCGTGAGGCGTAGAAGAACATGCGAAATTTGAAGAACAAATGGAAATGAGGACGTAGATGAGCGCCTGTGACGAGCAAAACACAAGGCAATACGAGAGATGACTCTTCATTAAGGAGTATAATATCGGGCACAGACATACCTGGTACGACAACTTGTGGGCCCATCCTTCTTTGAACATCTCCAATGACTGGTTGGTGGGAATGACGAGTAGGTAACAGGAAGATGACTGGTATGCAGTTGCAGGAAACTGCTCAGCTCCTGCATCTTGTCTGCATCCAACCCAAATTTCTGTCAGGTAAATATGAGACTCCGTCCGGTCAGTGGCTCATTTGAGTGTTAACATGTTGGTCCAAGGCGCGGGTCGATTCTCGCAAGGCTGGAAGAAACACAAAGTGAGGTCGAAGAAAGATCGGGTTGCAAACTGGTCGTAAGCGCCAGGTCCAAGCTTGTGTTGTAGATCCAGGGCGTGTGAACTTCTGAGGCTTACCGCCAACCTTATTTTGACGCCCTAACTATGTCGTTCCCTGCACCTGCTGAGTTTCGGGTGTGCTTGAATACTTCCGGATATTGCTACAAAATCTGCCAACTGCCTTGTGTAAGGATATGATATTCTCTACACCCCGACCAGGACTTCAAAACAAAAACGCTCGAGCCAAGCGCTCGAACCCATCCACGTGACTCACTGATACGGAAGGCGTTACCTTCCGTATCCGAGTCACGCGGATACATCCCTTTGTTCCTTACGCTCATTATCTCACTGTCGTCGACATCCAGCACGGCCTTAGTCTCATCATTACAACATACCCTTCATTGACAACAACCTTCAACTCTCCTTATCTCGTTATTCTCATTTGTTTTCAATTCGCCGTCTCCAAAACTGTCACTACTACACAACTCTCGTCAATTATAACATTCAGACCGCCACTCATTCATAATCTTTTCGTACTCTCCATTCGTGCCTTCTACACTACCCTGCCAGGCTCAGCACCACTCCCTTCTGCCTCCGTTTTCTCATAATCGTTCGGTCAAGATATACCCGAGGACCCTTGCCGTTTCGCACTTATATACAGCTCATGTACACTCATTTAGCAGCAAATCCTATATTCAGATACCTGCTCAAAGAACGACCGAAGCCCTCTCAGAAAGTCCCCGTCTCCCGTCCTAGTCCTATCTATCTTCGTGTTACCTACTAACGCGTCTCTCTTCTATCTCGTCTCGTTCGCTTTCCCCTTCGAACTCATAGTCAGCCTTACACTTGCCTATACCCAGGCTGTACATCATCCCGTCATCAAGCCTGGGCCTGAAGCTTGAAGGTCTGTCACTCCATTTCACCTTAGTCTTTGTTGTGCTCATCTCGCTCTACTTACAGTCATCAGCCGCAAAAATATCAAAGTCCCTTCCGAGGGCATTCCCACAAGATTTACATATTCCACATTAATGCGCGAAGCTAGTACTGCTGCTTTTCGTTGTACTCGCGCATTGCCTGTGAACGCGGCATGTATCATGCACCTTGTCAGTCTACCAGACGCAATCGATTATCGGACTTGTTGAGCAGGGCCATGTCCAGAAATGGTCCCTGGCCTCTTGCCCGAGAAGTCCACTTGAACACCTCAAGTCGACGAATTCCAACCTAGTTCACAAGTTCTCGGAGCTTAGCAAGCGTCTTCTGACGCTCAAATGTTAGCACAGACCGAGCTGCTTCTCACCGCTAGAATCTAGAGATACAATATCATAGGAGATTTACGCGGGAATCGGGTGCGGTTCCTGCTCGCACCGTCGTATACAGAAGTGCAAGCAGCACGTCACGACTCACGGCCCAGTTATGATGCATCATCCTCATCGTGAGTCAACGCTCATGGGCACTCGGCTATGCTACGTGCTCCGTGAAGGCGAAAGTATCGCTCGAGCAGAGAATCGGTTTCGTTCATATTGGTGTGTGGTTCTATCATTTATGTTCACGCCAGTATTGCCGTCGTCTGCGTTGGTGCTGCCCGGGGCCCCGGCCCGAAGGTGATCGCCTGTTTCAATAATGGTCACACATGGGAATTATGAGTTCACCTGGGACATGTAATTCTTGCCCTCGACGAGTTCCCATGCCAGAGATATGGGTGGCTTTTATTACTAACTTGAATTGAATTTATGTCGGACAACCAGGAGACTTGACTCATTTGAGTGGTCAGTGATGACATGTTGGTACAAGGCGCGGGTCGATTCTCGCAAGGCTGGAGGAAACGTGAAGTGACGCTCGTAGACACTCAGCTATGCTACGTGCTCCGTGAAGACGAAAGTACCACTCGAGCAGAGAATCGTTTTCGTTCATATTAGTGCACCTCAACCTCACTACTATATAACCTAATAAGGATGTCGTAGGGGGGGGGTATGACATGCTAATTAGCAGCGGTTCTCCTAATTCTCACACCCCGCCAGTACCACCGACAATAAAGCCTTAATTCCCTTTCAGGATTTTCCCAGAAGGGAAGCTTATGCGAGTAAGTTACGAGGTACGGCAACGGAGACTGTCCCGACTATTGCCGCCCTCCTTCGGGAAGCTCCGCATTACGCTACTCGCTGCCTAATCAGTGTTGCTCGCTGTTGTCAACGATGAGCAAGGCTAAGTCCTTCAGTTCTTCACCGTTTTTCTTACTGCTTTTTTATTCTAGCTCTATTTCTAAATGCGCACACATTTCCAACGGTCAGCGGCACTGAAATGCCCTCGTCATTGCCTTTCACGATGTACAAGGTATGTTCAACCAGCACGTGACTATGTTGATATGACTAACACAAGTCCACGCCTAGTAGCCTATACGCCTCACTGCTGCCATCGCTGGCAGGCGAGGGCGTCTTTCTCCTCTTCCCTACCACACACGATGCCCGCCTCAAGGACTTCTCGCTCTGTGCGCCTCGTTATTGGGTCCACCAGGTCTACCACAAAGCTCAAATCCAGTGTCCTGTCACAGACGCAGCAGGTTGAGGATCGACAACGCAGACAAGAGCGGTACAACGCCAACATTGCAGGTAAGTGTTACTTCCTATCTACGCTGTCTATATATTCACACTGGGTCATAGGGCTGAGCACCGAATCTCAAACGCTACTTGCAGACATGCAACATGAAGCTGTAGACAGCACGAGCGCAGGCGCGGATGATGTTATGGGCACCATGGACGACGACTTTCAATGGGAATCGGTCCCCGATGACCTCAGAGATAACGACACATTTATGCTTGCTGTGCGAGACATTGTCGGTAGCCAGTAGGTGCTTTTTTTCATTTGTGCAGCACTTATTCACAACTTCTGCAGGTGGCGTGTATACAAAGATAGCCGTGGATGGCGGGCAACGCCTTGTCCGCCTTCACGCAAATTGGGCACCGATCATCAGCGCACTCACTTTCCGGGTACCTCAAGTGGAAGTATTCACCATCTCCGCCTTCAAGTGAACCTAGTCCTTATGATTTCTCGATTGATGTTATCAACATTTACACGCTTGACACTAGCACTTATATTCACAGTGCATCCACCATTGAAACCCCTGCAGAAGCACTGGTCTTGAGCGGTTATCTGGGTGCTACTCCCCATTCTCCAACCATTGCCATTCTTTGTCAACACTCGAGCTTTACAGGCGTCTGCGCCTGCGTAAACCTTCACTCAGCGTTGAGGCGTTCACCAAGGTACTTTGGACAGCACGAGCGCAGGCGCGGATGATGTTATGGGCACTATGGATTGTGCGAGATTCGAGTAAGCCTTACATGTGTTATGATAGAACTATTAGATACTCATCAGTTTGTACTTGCATAGTTTTGCATTGGGTTGTGTTTAAATACATCTGTTTCTCAGCAGACTCTCGAGCTCGAGTGCTGAGGCCGCCGTGTTCCTTCTACCTAATGTCCTCAATGCAAGACTCATATTAAATGTATTGCTGCAGTGTTATTACTACTAGGAAATGTAATACCAGGATTTTCAACTTGAAGCAGCCTGTCCGGACTGATTAGCGCGCTGTTTCGGTCCTCGCTTTTTCCCTTTATCTGAGCGTGTCTTGCGGGATTTCTTAGTGACAGATACCTCGTCCCCTCCCATGCCCGAAATACCCGAAATGACATGCCCAAAACCACCTTCTACTTGCTCGTGGCCTCGTTTCCTTCGGATAGGTGCAGACTCTCTTGTTGTAGGTACAGACTGGGACTCAGTGTTCACTGGCTGCGAGATAGACAAGAGGAATGGATCGATGTTCGCTAGAAAATGTCATTGTCAGCATCACCCAATGTCATGACACGAGGATAAAACACCTACTGTTAATCCCGCCTTCATCTACCAGTGCATTCCCACCCTCATCTGCCAGTGCATTCCCGCCTTCGTCTGTATCATCTTCTGCACTGCGCTCCAAGGTCATGTTGAATCTGGTCTCTTCCCAATCTCGCCACTCGGCAGCTGTAAACTTGCGAAATTTTGTTGCGCCTGTCATAAATGCATTGTACACAGTCTTGACCTCTACCATTGAGCCGATGTCCCCGGGACTTGCAAATTTTTTCAGTGGCCAGTTTTCAAGAACCACTCCATGTTGCGCGGTAATGTTCTCGTCGAAGTTGACATAGTACATCCTGGAGACAGGTACCTGAGCCGCCTCACGGAGCTTTTCCAGGATAAGCGCTGATGTCTTGCTCTTGAGTTGAAGGAAACTCTGCTTGTAGTTAGAAACAACACCTATAGAGCCGTGAATCAAAACATGAGGTTAATAAATAAATAATTCATACCGGTGACGCCAGATGTACAGTAACCTTCGAGACGTGTTGCGAAGTTGGAGGGTGTCTCTTTGAGAGCAAGCTGGAAGAAGTCCCCAACACGATCATCCGAAAGGTAGACATAAGGACGGTTATAATGGTCCAGGTCACCTCGAACAGTGATGAGGGCAGTATGACACCCGGTCCTGGCGGAGAGAGTAGCGAGCTGTATACAATATAAGTGCATGTCAAAAATCGCTGCTTCTACGTACCATTTGTGTTGCGGAATCCAATGTAGCGCGAATATCATGGAAGGCATTGATGGGGACATTGTGACTTGCTAAAGCCTTATTATTGCGATGATCTTCTAAGTCTTCCATGAGGCCTTCAGTTGCGTCAATCTTCTCTTGCTGTGACATAGCATTCCATTTCGCAGCAATATCACGCCCAGCCTGGGTAGCCTTGACACGAGGTTCATCGGGTGCTCGCGCTGTAATAAAACATGTCAGAAAAATTGAGCAATGTGTTTTAAAACATGACTGACCTGCGTTCATCGCCTTGACCTCAGAACGAAGAAATGCATTCCAACGGGTTGCTTTTCGGCTCTTCTGCTTGGTGTGCGTCCGTTGTAAAATTGCTTCGAAATGATATTCAACTGTCCTGTGAGGAAATTCTTCATGTAATTTGACAGCCTCTTGCATAACCATATCCTGAGAATCCGCAAGGGCATCCTTATATGCGCATTTATTAGCCCTGCATTTCTCAGCAAGCACCTTCTTCTCAGCTTGCGTGCGGAGACGTGCTTTGCGTTTGATGCGATGGCGCCACGGTGTCCGCGAACTAGACTTGGTGACCTTGATGTAACGCTGGTGTCGAGCAATGTCTGGCATTATTGAAAATCACAACAGCACGAGCAGGAGGACAACACGGATGAGCGTGGGAATGCAAGCAAACGAAAATTGTACTATAGGCATTGTAAATGACGTTAAAGGCATGGTAAAACATTGGTAATCTCATCTAGATGATGTCGCCGTCATCCAGATAGATGTCATGTCCTGAAATCAACTCGAAAATATATTCGGCCTCCAACAGAGGCATTCCTCTAGCGCAGATGTAGTTAGTGAAATCTTGAATAGAATATCCTTCCCTCAAAGCATGAATGATGCTCCAGATGGCTGAAGCTTGGTAGCCATGTGCAAAGAGATATTTTTCGGCCCGCAGGACCAAGGACACCAGTGGGAGGTGAGTCTAAGTCGACAATATCGGATTCTCCGACGAAAACCGTCCCCGTGATGCCAGAAAGCGACCTGTTATAGTGGCGGATGATGGGCTGCGATGAACTGTCAATAGACTGAGAGGCGGATTGCACTTGAAGCTGCTCAAATTGAGTTGAAAGCTGTTGTAACCCTTGTGAAACAATCAGAGCGAGTCAGCGGAATGAAAAATAACATACCCGTAGATTGAGGTACCCTGTGCTGCCTTTGAGACGTGGATGGTTGGCACATCGTTACAAAAGCCCCAGTGTGGCGAGTCAAATAAGCTGCAGTCGGCTGAGATTCGTTGTCATCACTGGCAGGATTGTCCATCCCCTTGAATATCATGAAGCGGAGAGCCTCGATTAGCGTGTTGAATTTACGGAACTTCCTGATTTCAAGGCCGTTGACCTGCGCAATAGCCATTGACCTGTAACATTCAGAGGATGAGTATGGTGCAGCAGTGCGTGAGTATCATAGTTGTGATATTACATACTTATCCAGGAAGATACTGACTTTCCGTCCGTACACAACACTGTAAAACCCCTCGTGATCGGGAAAAATGCCTGCGATGTCCTTCGATGCAGCCAAGGTTGTGAAGATAGCACTGGGTGAATTCCTCTCGATGAACTTGATGGTAGAGTTCTGCAGTCTCAAGATTTTCTCTGCTTGATCCCGTGAGTGGCACTGAATAGCTAGCGGAAAGGGAGATGTGTCGTGTCCGGATGCGATGAATGGCCTTTCAAACCAGTCAATGAGATTCAGAGAATGATCAGAGAATGATTGATTTAACAGGAACTCACCAGGATTCCTTTATGCCAGGGGATGGGCCACCAAGGACAGTTACTAGCGCCGTTGACAAAGACATGGTTGAGTGAAAGAGAGTAGTGTAGTAGTTGCAATCATTGCAACTGATCAAGTGATGATTGGTGGCGGCGGTTGGAGATCGGCCATACGACTACATACAACAATAATCACTGAATCCGAAGTGCACCGCAGACTGAATTATTGAATTGAATACACTACATCTACTCCGTGTACTGAATTATCGAATCGAATACACTACATCTACTGTCTGGTGTGTTCCCTCGAGCCTTACATATTTCTCTTGCTCTGTAGGATGATCCTGGGGTATATATATAAGTAACTCAAGTCGCACCGTTTGTTGTTTTCAATGTCACAATATTATCGTGACTCCATTAATCATTATGCATTGTGCAAAGAAAGTATGAAGCGTTCAAATTGCTACGGTAATTCAGATATGTAGTTGAGTAGACCGCCGACTTCACCAGCAATAGCGTCATCCTCCTCGAGTCCTGCGCAATCATCATTCTCGTCATCTTCAGCGCTCTGATGCTCTGAATTTACCAATGCCTGCAAGTCCACAGTGACTTGGACATCATCTGGAGCATTCTTCCTGACACCTGATGTTGTGGAGCCAGTGAAGCTGGCAAGTGAATATAAGTCCTGTAAACGAGCGAGTATGTGAGCATTGATGCGCCGCCGGCGTTGACAAAATTCTTCAAGTGCCCCACATATCGGATCGCTGGCATTGTTGGCCTCCAAAATGACCCGGGTGAAGTGCACTTCCTCATCAACGATAGCAGTGTGCAGTCGTTGACTTTCCACATGGCAACGCTGAATCTCTTCATGTGCGCGCTCAATGCGAAGGCTCTGTTTCATAACTTCACGCACCGCCGGTTCAGCCCAGCGTCTGCTGCGAATGTCTTGGCGTGTCTCACGCAAGAGAACAAACTCCTCAAGAAAATTATAATGCGACACTTTGGACCAGTCCAGCGTAGGCGCTGGTGGCTCAAGGGCAAGGGCAGCTGCATTATAGGACTTGACAGCATTTTGAATGGCCTTGCAACGAGTTTGCAAGGACTTCGCGATATGAGTGCGCATCCGATAACCTTCGGAACGATGACAATGAGTATGTAAAGTCATACATGAAGATTGAAATTCATACCTGTTTGAGAAATATTGAGTTTATGGAGTTCGAACAACCGAAGTACTACAAGCCATTGAAGATTGTCAAGCGCGCGATGATATTCACGCTGTGACATATACTTCAGGGTCTCTAGGTACTCGCGATCAGTTGGTTCCCATCGTCGGGTTACGCCCATCTTCAATTCAAGTGCAACAACTTCTTGTAGTATCGAGTCATATCGTTGTGAAGCTTGTCGGCGTCGTGTCTCCAGCCTTCGAGTCTGGGAGAGGTTCGTAGAATAGGAGGAGGAAGTGCTGGTGGGTATAATGAACTCGTAATTCATCGGCGTGGCATTCAGGAACATTGCAGAAGCGGTTTCTGAGGTCGCTCTGAACATGTCATAAGATTACGAAAGATTAGGATAACGTGATACATACCTTGCTTCCCTGAGTTTCTGAAGCAGCTCAACATACACAACAGCGTGAACATCCCACTCTGCCTCCTGACCTGATGTTGCGAGGTACTGTGATTGTTCTGTAGACCACATCTTGAGATCGTCGTCTGAAATGCTGAGCGAAATCTTGGCTTCTCGGATAGCAGTTCCCTGCTCTTCAATGATCTGACACGCTTGAACATAGTTCTTGTAGAGCATATTACCGAGGTTGAGATACTTGTCTTCGTCCCACTGTTTGAAAAAGGAGTCTATGGAGACACGACGGTTGTATGCCGAGGCATAACGAGTGACAGCGGCAAGTTGATTGGACGAGCTAAAAATACGCTCCATCGTAGCAAGATCTTCGATTCCCATGCCCTTGATGACGTTTGGGTGGTTCTTGTCTTGGCACGCATAGCTGTGGGTGTACCCATGAAATGCGTCAACGCACATACGATATTCAGCATCATCAAACTTCTGCGCTAGCGAGCTAGAGGCAATGGTAATCGCAAGCTTGCAGCCCACGTCATATCCAACCAAAAGACGTGATCCGAGAGTCTCGAGAGCTTTACCAACGATGGCAAGTGGGTACTTGAAACTGAATCCACAGATCATGAGTATTTAGACAACAGGTAGGTTCATCAACATACAGTTCCCCACTGCGAACCATATCAGCAATCCAAAGTACAAGACCATGACGGCAAGCGCTTGCAAAGATTCCTGTCTCTTCGAATATTCCCCATGACTTCTTCTTCGCATCCGCTGCAGCAGCTTTCCAGTTGTCTGTGCATGCTGACGTAGCTGGTGACGTGTTCGTAAGTTCAGGGTCCTGCCCAGCGTGCGTTTGAGAAGTAGGGTTGATGGTCTCGTCATCTGATGACAGTGTGTTGGATTGTGATGCATGCGCGTTGATGTAGTCAGGCTCGAGGTAGTAGTCACTGTTGAATATGCGTGTATCACCGACTTGACGACCTCCCAGTGGTGCCATACGGGACAGCGAGTTATTCCCATCAAATACTATCATTCGTCGGAAGACAAGTTCTGGCTCATCCTTCAGCTAAGAATTTACATTAGAATATTAATATTCATAACAGTGTCGTTGATTACATACCTCGTACGTGCATGGTGGACATGCATTAAGCACACGCCAGCTTTCGGAATCACGTCCAAGGGTCTTCAATACTTGAACATCAATGTTGCGGTGGATTGTGAGATAGACGTCGAAAGCATCAGCAAGCGCGGTACGATATCTCCGGCGATAAGGCCACTAAGCTCAATATCAAGTACAACACTAAGGAGAATGTAAAATATACGTACATGATACAGGTCGCAAAGTACCTTGGTGAACGCCTCAACGCTGAGTGAAGGTTTACGCAGGCGCAGACGCCTGTAAAGCTCGAGTGTTGACAAAGAAATGGCAATGGTTGGAGAATGGGGAGTAGCACCCAGATAACCGCTCAAGACCAGTGCTTCTGCAGGGGTTTCAATGGTGGATGCACTGTGAATATAAGTGCTAGTGTCAAGCGTGTAAATGTTGATAACATCAATCGAGAAATCATAAGGACTAGGTTCACTTGAAGGCGGAGATGGTGAATACTTCCACTTGAGGTACCCGGAAGTGAGTGCGCTGATGATCGGTGCCCAATTTGCGTGAAGGCGGACAAGGCGTTGCCGCCATCCACGGCTATCTTTGTATACACGCCACCTGCAGAAGTTGTGAATAAGTGCTGCACAAATGAAAAAAGCACCTACTGGCTACCGACAATGTCTCGCACAGCAAGCATAAATGTGTCGTTATCTCTGAGGTCATCGGGGACCGATTCCCATTGAAAGTCGTCGTCCATGGTGCCCATAACATCATCCGCGCCTGCGCTCGTGCTGTCTACAGCTTCATGTTGCATGTCTGCAAGTAGCGTTTGAGATTCGGTGCTCAGCCCTATGACCCAGTGTGAATATATAGACAGCGTAGATAGGAAGTAACACTTACCTGCAATGTTGGCGTTGTACCGCTCTTGTCTGCGTTGTCGATCCTCAACCTGCTGCGTCTGTGACAGGACACTGGATTTGAGCTTTGTGGTAGACCTGGTGGACCCAATAACGAGGCGCACAGAGCGAGAAGTCCTTGAGGCGGGCATCGTGTGTGGTAGGGAAGAGGAGAAAGACGCCCTCGCCTGCCAGCGATGGCAGCAGTGAGGCGTATAGGCTACTAGGCGTGGACTTGTGTTAGTCATATCAACATAGTCACGTGCTGGTTGAACATACCTTGTACATCGTGAAAGGCAATGACGAGGGCATTTCAGTGCCGCTGACCGTTGGAAATGTGTGCGCATTTAGAAATAGAGCTAGAATAAAAAAAGCAGTAAGAAAAACGGTGAAGAACTGAAGGACTTAGCCTTGCTCATCGTTGACAACAGCGAGCAACACTGATTAGGCAGCGAGTAGCGTAATGCGGAGCTTCCCGAAGGAGGGCGGCAATAGTCGGGACAGTCTCCGTTGCCGTACCTCGTAACTTACTCGCATAAGCTTCCCTTCTGGGAAAATCCTGAAAGGGAATTAAGGCTTTATTGTCGGTGGTACTGGCGGGGTGTGAGAATTAGGAGAACCGCTGCTAATTAGCATGTCATACCCCCCCCCCCCCCTACGACATCCTTATTAGGTTATATAGTAGTGAGGTTGAGGTGTATTAGTGTGTAGTTCTATTATAATATGTTCACTCCGGCATTGCCGCCGGCTGCTTCGGTGCTGCCCGGGCGGCCCGAGGGCGATCGATAATGGTCACACATGAGTTCACCTGGGAGTCTGGGACATGTGCTTCTTGCCCTCGACGAGTTCTCATGCCAGAGATATGGGTGGCTTTTATTACTAACTTGAATTCAGTTCACTAACCTTCCTGTCCCCACTTTCATACAACATTCGTATGTTATGACTGAAGTCACAGGAACTGTCGATTTCCGAGTCGGAAAAGAGACTTACAAGACCTGGTACAAGGTCGTCGGAGACCTAGGATCCGGCATTCGACCTCTTGTCACTCTTCACGGCGGCCCAGGCATGTCTCACGTATACATGCAGTCGCACGCAGAGATTTTCACGAGATATACTATTCCCGTTGTTTTCTACGATCAGTTAGGCACTGGGAGGTCTACGCATATCACTGACAAGGGCGCCGATTTCTGGACGCCAGAGCTGTTCATCAATGAGCTCGATAACCTCCTTGCGCACCTTGGAATCAAAGATGATTTTGACCTTTTGGGCCATTCTTGGGGAGGGATGTTGGCAGCTGACTACGCATCGGCGCAGCAACGCCCAGGTCTTCGCCGCCTCGTCATCGCTAATGCTGCCCCATCACTTAAGCTCTGGGAACAGAGTATGCATCATTGGCTGAACAAATTTCCGGAGGATTTCAGAGAGATGTTGAGAAGGCACGAGAGGGACGGGACGACCTCATCAGAGGAGTATCAACGAGGAATGAAGGAGTTCTATAACAAGCACACGTGCCAAGTGATCCCTTGGCCGGCAGAGCTTGATCAATCTTTTGCGGATATGGATGAAAATCCCACTGTGTATACTACAATGTAAGTATGCCGACGTGCGACTGATGGCTTATCAGTGTATGCTTACTCTAAGCACGATCAGGTTCGGAACTTCCGAGTTCAACCTCACGGGGTCGATGATCACTTGGGATGTTACCGATCGCCTTGACAGAATTTCTTGTCCGACGCTCGTTTGCAATGGTCATGAGGAGGGTGCACAGGATTTCGTGGTTGAGCCTTTCATCGAGAAGATACCCAAGGTCAAATGGGTGAAGTTCAAGAAGACTCACATTCCGTTCTACGAAGATAAAGATTACTATTTCAAGACTATCGGCGCATTTTTGATACCAACCTGAGTCAAGTATGGTTTCTGTCTCCTGTGTACATCATTTAGTGTCGCCCCGAACGTCACTGAGAGGTGTCTGATCTTCACGCTGAAGTCGCAGTACAGCCAAAGAAGTTCGTCCGAAGGATAATGATGGAGCCCACTGAGCAAAACGTTGACAAACTCGTTCGGCAATAGCTGGTAGATAAGCTGCGAAAACCATTCCTATGTTGCAACATTTACTCGTCTATCTTGTACAAAGTATTAATCACGTATGGTATGAAAGACATAAAAGCGAAAAGTACATTGATAGTACAACAACGGTTTCCGAACACTTGTATGCTTGAGTTTACGTACTCTCCGCAACCTTCTTCTTGATGACATCAACCACACCAGGCTCAGCAACAGTGCTAAGATCACCGAGTTGATCACCTTCGCCAGCGACGATCTTACGCATGATGCGACGCATGATCTGCATTGACACGAGTCATTAAACGATCATTGAGAAGGATACAGGCCTGGACTTGCCTTTCCGGAGCGGGTCTTGGGCAGATCACTGACGATGAAGATCTTTTTAGGTGCCGCGAAGGGGCCAATCACCTTCCTAACTTGGAGCACGAGCTCCTTAGCCAGCGAAGCCTCGTCATTGTGATCGTATGTGAATTCCCTGACACGTGTATCTAAAGTCAATCGTTATTCAACAAAAGGACAAAAAAACTGACGGTTTAAGTGTGACGAAGGCAAATACAGCCTGTCCCGTCAACTCGTCAGCAGTACCGATGACTGCAGTCTCGGCGACACCCTTGTGCATGATCAAGGCGGATTCGATCTCAGCAGTTGACAGACGGTGTCCAGAGACATTGATAACATCTACAGAATGGTCATTACAGGCGGGACATCTTCCAAAGGACGTCCTCACCATCAATACGGCCCTTGATCCAAATGTAGCCATGTTCATCGCGTGCAGCTCCGTCTCCCGTGTAGAAAAACTCCAGCGTATGGCTTCATGTACGTCTCCAGGTAACGGCTGTGGTCGTTGTATACAGAACGGGCAATTGAAGGCCAAGGTTGCTTGATGACGAGAACTCCCTCGACGTTGTTTCCTTCTAATTCCTGTGAAACATTGTCAGTATCATAATTGAACAAATGCATTAATTCGAGTACCTTTCCACTAACAGGGTCCAGAATAGCAGGTTCGATACCGAAGAAGGGAACAGTTGCAGAACCAGGCTTAGTCTCAATCGCACCGGGGAATGGGGTAACGACGATCGATCCAGTCTCAGTTTGCCTTGAAGAGGATACTGAGCCCGGTCACAGATACTGCATGAATGCACTTACCAGAACGTATCAACGATAGCGCACTGCTTCTTGCCGACATGTTCGTTGTACCAGTTCCAGGCTTCGGGGTTAATAGGCTCACCGACAGAGCCGAGGACACGCAAACTGCTGAGATCATGGTTCTCTACGTGCTGAGCGCCGAGTCTGCGAAGGAGGCGAATGGCAGTAGGAGCAGAATAGAACTGGGTAAGCTGGTGCTTCTGGACGGTCTGCCAGTAGCGGGATGGTGTGGGGTAAACTGGAGTTGATTCAAAGACGGTGGTGCTGACTCCATTTGCAAGTGGTCCATAAACAATGTAGGTATGTCCAGTAATCCAACCGATATCAGCCATGCAGGCAAACTTGTCATCTGGGTGGACATCGAAAACGTATTTTACAGTAAGGGCGGCGCAAAGGAGGTACCCGCCAGTGGTATGAACGACACCCTTGGGTTTTCCTGTGGATCCAGAAGTCTAAACATAGATTGAAAATCAAGACTAGGCAAAGATATATGGAAAGGAAACCACTGACGTAGAGAATAAAGAGCGGGTCTTCTGATGACATGATCTCGGGTGGGCAGTAATTAGGGACTTTGGCAGTCTCCTCGTGCCACCACTTGTCCCTACCATCGACCCATGGGACCTGGCCACCGGTGCGCCTGAGAACAAGGACATGTTCAACGGCAGGGCATTCCTTGAGAGCAGCGTCAACGATTGCTTTGGTTGCGATTGACTTGCCACCACGCCTGCCCTCGTCACTGGTAAGGACAACACGCGACTTGCAGTCTTGAACACGATCACGAAGAGATTCTGCGCTAAATCCAGCGAAGACTACAGAGTGGACAGCACCGATCCGAGCGCAAGCGAGGAAAGCAGCAACGGATTGCCAGGTCATTGGTAGATATACAGAAACGGTATCGCCCTTCTTTACACCAAGAGCTTTGAGGACGTTTGCGATAGAGCAGACCTCGCGGAGCAGCTCCGCATAAGTGACGAGGCAGCCATCCTCGGGTTCATCCGCCTCGTAGATAATGGCGGTCTGATAGATAGTATAAGGTCATGAAATGGCGATAAGAAGGGCAGCATTTACTTTGTTTGGGTGTTTAAATGCCCAGCGATCGACACAGTTGTAAGATGCATTGAGACCGCCCTCTGGGAACCAGACGATATCACCGGTTTCAAAACCACCGGCACGCACAGTCTTGAATGGACGGTCCCAGTGCAACGTATCATGGGCCATCTAATGTGTCCATCAGTAGGCGCGACATGAAAAAAAGTGAATCGCGAACTAGCCTTTCTCCACCAAGCATCAGACTCGTGGCCGAGGGTTACCGCATGGGAAGACTTGTATGCTGCAAGATCGGGACCGACGTGAGGAACTTTTATGCCAGCCTTGAGGCGGGGAGCAACGGGATGAATTGGAACAGTATCTTCAGACATGATGATGGGCGGGAGTTGATGGCGGTCGATTGATCTATCTAAGTCGCCCCTTGCTTTTAAGGGCACGCGGACATCCGACAACCCCACATGTCTTTATTTTGGTTCCTGCACAGCCACAATCCACTTTCGGGTGTTGAAAACGACTAGTCAAAATCAAGCAGAATGTCTGACTGGAAAGAGAGTAATACTTATTCGAGCCTCTTCTTCCTTCTTGCGATCATCCTCATGGCCCGTTTTAACTCCTGGTTCCGCACTGGGTCCGCATGAATAAGGTATGGTTTCGTGGAATGAAGCTTAACCCTATCGCAATACGTGAAAATTGCACATACGTACTAACCCAGAAGGCCAATGGACTCTGGACACACAACAAACTCGCTGACAGTGAGCAGATTATGCTACTGCAGCTTGGCACCTCCCAGAAGTTCGTTAGGCTTGCTCTAGTGGACTACCAGTTGCGAAGGATTGAAGTCTCGACGATTCAAGTTGGACGTAAATTTCACGCCCCGATGGCGCCGCATGCGAACAATGTTGATGAACGCTTGGCATTTAATTTGAACCTAACAGCTGCCGGTCCAAGGTACTTGTCATTCTTGGCACAAACTTGAATACCAGACCAAATGTCAGTTAGATCTATCACATTCACTAGGACTTGAGGAAATCTCAGAGGTTTTGCATCGGACATTTACGGACTGCATGTTTTCTGCGACACATGGCACCCTGGCTGCGACGGCAGCAATCACCTACAGATCAGTGACTGATATACCACACGTTCGATCTATATGTACTGACACTTGCCTGCCTATGGCCACTGTGACCGTGACTCAAAGTTACCCCTTGATACCCTTCTGTCTCAGATTAATACTCATTCCATCGTTTACTATATAACCGGTTTGTCGTACGTGTTTTCTTGACCCCCAATTCCGCGTCTGATGCTGTCGAAAGCATTTGTATATCGTCGGCTTTAAGCCCGGACACGATCAGTGTCTGTATGCGCTCTTTACATCGATCCCGAGTGACCTGCTCTTCGGTTTGTTCTCGGATGATCGATGGTCTTCGTAATTTCTGCATCGTGATCACTATCCCTCGGCCGACTTGGGTTGATGGCTGCATGGAACTTCGAAAGTGCTTGGAGTGGTTGTATGTAAGCGCAAATATCGCCTAACCATATCCTTGACGCAAAGTAGCGTGAAGTCCACAAGCTTGTTGACCTTTGTGAACTAGTGACCACTGATATTTGACCTACAACTAGGTTGGAACGAACCGCACGGGTCTCCGCAGGCTCCCTCGCTGATATGTTCTACCTCCAATACCCCATATTCATTAATGTTGTGCGTCAGGACCCCGGGCTAATGTCGCCGATGTGAAATCGCACATCACAGCGTTGTTTTGCGGCTGGACGGCACACAGATGGTCAACCCGCGTTCAAAAAACCGAGACGTCCAGGGAGCATTTTTGGGGGCTCCACAGATCATATTGACACAGCAAATACATAACGCGATTTACAAAGCTGGTTGCCGAATTTGAGGATTAGTTGCGCATTGCTTCAACCCGCCCCGAACCAGTGCCGGTGCCGATGATCCTAGTCGGGTTATCTGCATCCACAAAATTCAAATTGCATGCTTCGGTTAATTATGGGAACGAATTGACACTGGAATCTGTTCTGCTACAGAGCCGATATGCTTCGGTCAATGATCACAAGCGCAATGGCGATCGTATCATCCACGAATTTGTCCATGTATGATTTATCGTACACGTCGCAAACCTAGTCAATTGCATTGTTAATCCCACGAATTGATTCACAGCCAGATGAATGTGTGATCCAGACTGCAAGGACCAGGTGTGAGTCGTTCTGCGGGGAATGGTTGAAGAACATTTGATTATTTTTAAAAGTCTGTTACAGTGTGTTGCATATGAAACTGCAATGCGAATTTTTGAAAAATTCGGCCTCGCTGCCTTTACCGGGGCTTTTCATCCAAATTAGGCAAAGTAGTGTCATACTTTCCGCACGCTTGACCACATTTAGACACAAAAGTCCCGGTAAAGGCAGTGAGGCCGAATTTTCAAAAATTCGCACTGCAGTTTCATATGCAACACACTGTAACCCGAGCCCCATTCTCATGCACCGTTGGGTTGTAAGAGCCCAATGGCCAATTGAGAGGCGGACTATCCTCGACCTTTTTGAGGTTCGTGATCACGAGCGCATTTGGATTGTCTTGGCTAGATTCGATGAGGAAGATGCTTGTTAGATAACTGAATCATGTATTGCCCCCCTAGCTCCGCCATGACCGCAAGTGATCGTGCTTTTGGTCTTTCGTCCCAAGGCACATTGTTCGCATAGACAACCACGGGGACTATGCATATAAATGAGACATGATGCGAACGGTCATTGTAAGGCGGAACCGGAAATCATTGGTGTGATATACAGATGGCCTTTTATCAACTTCGCATGGTCCAAGTCAGTGTCAGTTCCAGGCTGCCTACACTGTGAAGTCCATGATAAGGCTTGCCTTGTATTCGTGATGGAGTTCCGACTGGTGGGCCTTCAAAACAGCAAGTGCTTGTTCTGCTTCAAGGAGGTGGATGACAGTGAAGTCCGCCAATGCCAGTGCATTGAGAATGTTTTCGAATCTAGTACTTGGTGGATGCGGACTGATTTCCCTCGCACAAGGACTGCGCTACCAGACATGTTGAATGCTTTAGAAGAGTAAGTACACTTTCGTGACAACGGAAACCCACGATAATCATTCACCTTCAGATATTCCATCGCCAGCCGTGCCGCCGTTAGAAATGAAGTCAAGATGTGATAGAAAATATTGAATGTGGTAGAGCTGTCCGCAAGACAAATGTTCGCCGCTAGAAGCCAGGAGTAAAATTAGAAACGTGATCATCAGTACTGCTGAACTTCTGAATAACAGAATTTGAAAATACACTTGGAAACAAAATGCGTTTTGGATGTAATGTACCAGGACGAGCTGAAGGATCTGAGAGCATGTAAATATTGAAATATTCATTTGAGCTTTACGAGTTTTTTGCAGGCGGCGTGTTTGCCCCTACGTACCCTCGAACAATTCAGAAACTGCGTTGGGCGACAACTTGGACCAATACAGAGGCCTATGAGACCATGGTCAGGCGGCGGACAAGTACTATTATAGTAGTAAGTACTTCGTGGAAGTTTAGTGCTACGCTTCATTTGAAATTCCGCACCGCGACACGCCGATTTACATAAGGTCACTTGGTATATTTGGTAGTATTGGTAGGACGGTCGCGACCAGCTGGTCCCCGCGACTCGCCAGAGTGCTTGATTCGATTGACGTTAACTCCGATTCTGCATCATCATTGACATGTATACTGTGCTTGTATGTTTTATCATGCATAGCCCGGTCTTTGAACGCTGTGTTTAGAAGATCTTCTTAATGCACGGCATTAATGGCGCACGTCCAAAGGAAGATGAATCTTCCTAATGCGAGGCACGCGCAGTTGGACTTTGGTTCTGGAGATTATATATTGATGTCAGAACTCATCATAATACCTTCTCATGAAGAATTCCCCGTCCACCATCACAGTGAAATACTGAAAACCCACCAAGTCTACGGCCTAGTTCACGCACGCACTACATACTTTACTATACATGGTTTTGCTGCACACACAACAGACGATCAAGGTATGAACGCTTAGCGCCCGATCTTTCATTCTCAGAACTAACTGTCGTGCTTCGTTCACAGTATCTCCGAGGTTTGTTGTTGGTTTGTTCTCATTCTAGTCTGTACTCAAAACACCGAAAAAGTTGCACCAGCCGCGATTTGGGTGAGTTAGGCATGTACTCTTCTCGCGAGTGAATGTTGAAAGTTTATCGTCTTCACTAGGCACTCGATTATATTTTGACCCTTGAACATGAAATCCATCTGTTCAGCACGACGAGCTGCTGGAGCCTTGCGATTGTCATGTTTATCCTAGCTAGATATGCTCCCGTGGTATGGATTATCAGCGAAATATATGGTGAGCAATGCACTTCATTATTGGGGAAAGGTTCTCAGTAACAATGGTCTGTTAGTCACTCTTGGCCGACATTCAGTGGAAACGGTATGAACTCTCTGAACCGTACTCAGCGTATGTTGATACTAAGTAATACAGTGCTTGACATCATATCAGGCCAGTGGGGGTAGGTCACCTCGCGATCGCTAGTTCTACGTCATTTAATACATCCCAGCGTCCTTACTTCTTATCATGTTAGCCGCAGAAGGTTAGCTTGTTCACATCAACAAAGAAAAACACTTACGTTTCAGGCCTGCTTCTCATGCGTATACTTGCCTTATGGCATAACAACAGGAAGATAAAGCTATTTTTATTGGCGAGCTACTTGGTAAGCGTTTTGAGCGTTTTGTTGTCCCAAGTGGTGGTTTAATGGAGCTCGAAGCTTATGGTTATCTGCATGTTCATTTGCGATGTACTTGCGGAGTTTCTGCTCCGAAGCGTATGTGTGCCCGCATCGACTCTGAGCGTTTTAGAGGCTGCCACGGAAGTGGAACGCCTGGTAATGGGCAAATTTATCAGTGCAGCGCTGTTTGAACTCGGTGAGCGAATCAGGGCCCTGCCTCAAGTTAGCTCTACTGACGGATTATGTGCAGCGGTGATCACTCTTACAATCTATCATTCGATACAACTACGCTCTAATGGCATACGCTCCATCGGTATACTAGCGTCAACATTGTTGAAGGGAAGTTTGCTATATGCACTGTCGCTTCTTGGTACGTCATTCAGTTTATGACTCCTTTTCTGTCTCACTTGACTGTGCTTCAAGCAATTTCTGTTGTAAACATAGTTTCTCTTGCTTTGCCGGTGCGTAGTTTCCATGCGCCACGCTAGGGTAATATATGAATTTTTGGTACAGGTCTCATGGCAGGGGGAAGGTGGGATTGTAGATGTGTAAGTGGCTGCACATTGTAGCATCCAGGGCTAACTGACAAGCTTTCTTGACCAGGTTCCAAGGTGTCCTACATGGTGTTTTGGCTTCGCGCATTCTTTTTGATCTAAGGGATCTGGGGAATACAAGTCAAGATGACTCGGAGGCACCCAGCTATTTATTCACCTCGTATATATCCCTTCCTCGCACTCAGTGCGTATCACAACTTGAAACGATACCAATGACTGTCTTACATGCCGAAAGCAATACATGATCATACCTCACGTACAACATCAAAAGTATCGCACGTACTGCACGTCGCAATCTCGAAAAACATGCTGACCGCTCGAATAACCGCACCCTGCATGTCTCGTCCTAAAATTAATGTAGTTGGTGCGTCTCATGTTTGTCGTTCGACGGATGATATATTGAATGATCTAGGATGACGTTTTATATTCACAACCGGATATCAATATTTCATTGATCAGATGTATTGGCGGCGAAGATTGATGCGTCACTATAGCGTCAATTAAGTGCATCAGTACCTATCATTACGCTCTTCTCCGTCCATTCTCCCTGTTATGACATCATCTTCATGGTCCGTTGACGTTATAACTTCCGGATCCGCTCTGCGTCCACAGGAATGAGGTATGATTTCGTGGAATAAAGCTTAACCGGGCGTACACATGCGGCCATAAGTATGTGAAAATGATGCTAAAGTTCACAGGAGCTGGAAAGCATCACTGGCAATGGGCAGAATGCGCTGTCGCACCTTGGCACTTCGCAGAACGCTGTTTGCCATGCTCTAGTACTATAGCGACACACGTGGCACGCATGCCATGTGTGGGAGGTTGTAATAGGTTACATATAACCCGATGATCGATGAATGCTTGGCCCTTGCACATGAGCGTGCCTTTCACACATCATGAATATCGCTAAGGCCATCTCCAGTGGAGACCACCACTGTTGATGTCCCTCCCGTATCACCTTCAGTCGGCGCTACTGGTCTTTACGCCGTGCCTCGATTAGGCTTACAGCCTTGACTAATGCTCAGCAGATACTCGAACCACACCAACTCCTACGTATAAATGAGACCATACACATACATACAGTATGTAATGCATGTAATGTATGACACAGGGTCTTGCCCATGCGGATAATGGACAGTGATTCAAAGAAAATACAATGTTGATCCGATCAAAGTCCAGTAGTGGACAATATTTTTATGCTTCCCACACTTCACCGCCGCTCTGCTTTCCCTCCATGTTGAGTAGGGAAATTTCGTCGGTGTTGCCACTTTTCAGCGCACTGGAGCTAGTTTCAGGGAGATCGGTCAACTTGATCGTGGTAGTTTCAACGCCTATCACAGTCGTGGCGAGAGGGTCGATAACACGGCGCCTCTTAGGCTGTGATCCGAAGGTTATGATGGACGTAACTGTCCATGGTGTTGACGAGGATGTTTCATCATCTGTGCTCAAGCTCAAGAGGAATGCCACGACCACGCTCAAGTTCGCGACGATCAAGGATACGGAAGCCTAAAAGGCGATCAATAATACCTGCGGTCTGAGCACTGATAGTACTATACCTCAACCATAGCAGCCACTGCCTCCTTTAGCCCTCCATTGGATAAGACGTAATATGCATGGGCAAGACTAACAACGGTGGTGATTGCTGACGTCGAAAAGATCGCGATTATCCGGATCTTCTGCGCCCTCGTCAACCTGACTTTATAGATGAGGCGAATCGGCGCCAAGATAAGAATGGTGTCCCCGAAAACGTCGGCTGAAATGTTGGTCAGAAAATTATTGCATGGTACAGGCTATTGACTCTCACTGATGATCTGCGCTATTGCAACGTTTCTGCCGAGATCGCACTGCGGGCGCGGCTGTGTTTTCCAGCCGGGCTCAGATTCACAAACCCACCACACTTGTGCAAAAAGTACAGCCCATGCAATGATGAACATCACTTTAGCATATGTGAGGGCCCTCCTGAGGGATCCTGGGATTGTGAGTCGTACAACTGTTAACAGAATTGATATCCGGGAACACCTATCATAGGTGTGTATGTCAGTTGCGCCGCCTTAACATGCCGCCAGAGCCGTACCAAACAACTGCATAAAAGAATTGGCAAACCCTAGTGCCGAAAGTTTAATGTCTCTTCAGCATCACGGTAGAAGAAAACATACATGTAATACAGTGCTACCATCGTGCCTTGATTAAAATTTCCTGGGGGTCTTTAGGAAATGGTATGGATCATACACAACAAAACGAGGCTCACCAGAGTCTTGTAGATACAACCAATCGACAACTAATAGGGCGAGAATGAATACCATGCCGAAGATTGCCCATAAGTCATCGAGCCACAGACGTCCTTGTCGTACACGACAATACAAGCGGAATGATGTGACAGTGATCGCCACAAGAGGTAGGACCATGTTTACGACTTGGAACGAGTGTCAACCGCAGCAACGCAGCAAGTCAAGTCAACCGGATTTACCTTCTGTCTGAATAATGGTGGGGCCCGAGGACGACATCACGCGGTTGTTCTTGCAAATGGATATGGCTGTTTGATTCAAACAGCATATATAGGTTCGTGCTATAGGTTTATGCTTCCGCCCGGCGGCATATTACGAGGGCCGAAGCATGCGGCAAATAGAACGGCGTAAAGCCATGCCTCTTGAGAAAAGTCAGTTATGGCATCATGAGATTGGCTAGTTCAGAAGCGGTGTTAAGGGTCATAATTGCAATTGCAGCACATGTGAATGCACCGTTATCATAATAGGAGGTGGTCGGCGCTATTGCTGGTGACTATGATGCTTTCAACATTGGCGGATCTCATCATATAATTATATTGAAAGCTCAACTCGGGATCATACCTTTTGAAGTTCGAAACACGGAAGCAGCTCTATTGAGGGCGTATCGCACTCGTCTTCTTGGTGCAGTGCTTTAGCGTGGAAAAACTTTCATTTCTGGGGCCACTTGATTGTCACAGATCAGAGCACTTACGGAGTATCACAATATAGCCTCAGTGCTCAGTACTCAGTTCTTGGAGAATCGTGGCGTCATCCATTTTCATTCATTACGTGGGCCACGGCAAGTTCGGAGTAGACTAGCAGTGCAACAGCTCATTTGTGACTGGAACGACTCGTGGGGATTCAAAAAATGTAGAATAGAAGATGGCAGTGTAGCTTGCTCGGGGTATGTATGTGGATTTTATTCTCGATTTCTTTGAGCTGAGGTCCGTGTTTGTGGTGATGTCGACGTCGTTGGTTCGCATGTGAGTTAAAAGTTTCTTCTGCCAAGAAGTGTGACCAGCTGAATGAGGGTGTGACGTGTGACACCTTGGTTTGTTCTGCTGTACATCATGAGCGCAATGGCACCAAGTAATATTTGTGGTCGCCCCACAAACCCCACAGAGCTCAAAGTTGTTTTTGATTTTACTTCTGAATTCGTCCGGAAATATGTTATCTCCTCTATGTTTTTGCCATGTGTCACACTGTTCGTTAACCTCAATCTTCAAGTTAGGGTGACGAATTTCAAAGGTGCGTCTACAGTACTCGCTAGGTGTAGTGACCAACGCCGCTATGATATGGTCGCGACTCGGAGTGAGGACACATGAGCATCGTGACAAAACGTTCCCATCTTACGTATACCGCTCATATTGATATGAATCATACCGCTCAGAACTCGAATAACCATACCTGGCGGACAGTAGCGGCGCCCCTGAACGACCACACACCCCCGGTATGATGTGTGCAGACCGGCCTGAGCTGATTGTGATAGTCCCTAGTCTATTGGAAAATCTATACTACCTTGACATCGTGTTGGATGTTCTAGTCAGGAACGTTCGGTATCTCCGCAAGTTGCTTTGTTATTAGTACACCCCTTAATACAACTGCTGCCATATGATTCCTTGATATGGTGGCCGCGGAAACTACGGAAGGATACCGTGACAATTCTGCTCCTGCTAAATAAGAACATGTATACTGTGAAGATTTGATTTGTAGAGACATAGCCATCGATGCCTGCAATGATAGCAGTAGTTGCACTGCACATCTTCTCCCTGCGCGACGGCTTTTACCTTGGACAGTTTCTTCGCCGACCACACAGCAAGGAATCAGTGTCATGACAATGTCTGCCTTCGTTGATGCTGATGCCCGGAGGCCGTTGATGATGCTGATTTGTGAATGATGACCAGTCCAGATGTATAATCACAGTAATAAGTACAACGTGTTAAGTAACACAGCACGGCATTTTGGCTGTCCATAGCTAGCAGCGGTGATATGCAATCTACTTGGTAACAAATGCCAAAAGTTCCTCGACAACCTGGCCTTGGAATTCGTAAAATAGTGCGTGACCTCCACCCTTGATGACAACAACTTTCTTGTTAATAAAATGCTTGCTCACTTGTGCCTCGGCGACCACGTTGTCCAATTGTTGATCAGCATCTCCATATAGATGAAGCAATCTCAATCCCCCCCTCCCCGCAGCAAAAAGCGGCTCCGGATCTTGCTGCCGTGACATGGCGTTCAACACGTCATTGGCATTCAGGTGACTGAATGCTCCAACCCAAAGTAACCGGTCGTCCCAGTTCGAAGCATTACAATCATTGATCGTAGAATCGACAAAGTCAATCCTCGCTTTCAGCGCATCCGCGGCGTCTTGCGTAAGAAGTCTTGGATGAAGGTTTTTAAGGCACTCTTTTCCCAAGTCCATCATGATCGCTCCGATGTAAGGGAGCGCGGAAACGTAGATGATGCCTGCTACATAGCCAGCGGGACAGTGGGTGCAGACATCCGTCACAACAGTTCCTAGACGAATGTTGTTAGAGGAGGAAATGTTCCTCTACACGATTGACTTACCTCCCAAACTCCTGCAAATCATCGTTAGTACCCTGAAAGAGTGCAGTTTGTCGACTCACCAGCCGAGTAAATAGGGATTTTGTCGGTTAAATCCCTCGACCACAGCCATGAAATCCGAGGCGAAGTTCGGAGAGGAATAATCGCTCTGGTTCGCAGGTCTGCCGCTCCTGCCATGACTTCTCATGTCATACCTCACCTGCAACATTTCAAAATATGGTTTGAAAAATAGTATGGCTTACCTACAAGATAAACTTTGGAAAGTAGCTGATCGTCTTTGAAAAGGTTATTGAATACGACTGTGGATGACCCTAAGCCATGAACCAAGACAATGGTTGGACCGTCGAGGTTGCCGGCGCCTTCAGCAAAGATCTCGCAACCGTCGGATGATGTCACGAGCTTGGAAACTTTAGACATTTCGTTGATGAGAAATGGATGACCACTGTGAGCTATTATATATTATGTGCGATTCAAGGCGCTAAACTTACGTTCCGAGTTGTACAAATCCACGATGAAAGAAATGGGGACATCACTTATTGATGGATATCAAACAGGTGATTGCCGAGATGCTGATTCAAAAGATTCGAAGGGCCCGCACCACTCGTCACATGCCGTTCATTTGGATCATTTTGTTATAACGGTGGCCAGGGGCTGGGTTGATTGATCTCAGTGCTAGTACTAGAGCGGCACTGGACTTGATTGGTTTGATAACTATGTACATCCAGTTTAGCAAGGCCATCAATCACAGCCACTTCTTGATACTTACTAATTACTAGCGGCCGGGGCGGCGATTAAGATTCTGGTGCGTCTTCCCATAATGTTGATTTGAGACTATGAGGGTTTGATGACTGTTAAAACGTTATGGTTTAGCAGCAAAGCAGGATATATACGACCATGATCTTTTTAGGAAAATTTGAAATACGTAAAATAGCATAGCAGCTCTCTTAGCTCACACTTGTGATCTCGATCAAAGATGGCATCAATGGCGGGCCACAGCTGTTTGAAAAACAACTGAACTTGCGAAATAGGTGGGTGGTTGTCGTCTCCGTTTTTCTCCGCGACGCTCTGACTCTCCAGTTAAAGTTGTAGGCCTACGCTTACCATGTGTCTGGTTTACTCTTGACTGATTGGACACCTCGCATTATTTGGACCGACGACACTGGTTCACTATACATCTCACCGCCCATGCATCACCTCTCCGCCTAGTCACAAACCTCAGGCCCTCAATAGCACACCTCTTCCACCTGCCTTCGAAGCTATGATGTGCTGGTATGTTGCTTTTACCTGCCAGGAACTCGAAGTTTAGCGTGACCGCCACCCGCAGCAATCTTGCATTCTCGGCGGCCTACCTCTGCAATAGCCGCAGGCATGAACTGTTATCCTACAACACCCACATCTGACTCGGCTTATTGAGGTTTGTTGCTTTCCCTGAGCCCTCGCATTATCTGGAACCAACCTCTTACTATATCCTCAAACGCCTCCTAGTAGCCTACTGTTGGAGTCCAACTCAGGAACGATCTTGACGGAATATGGACGAGCCCAACCAAATGGTATAACGTTTGACATTGACTGATGTTTGACACATTACAACTTGAACGGTGTGTCGTGCCTACTCTATGAACAAATTTTCATTTCTATTCGTAGTATCCTACTTACCATAAAGAACGAGTTATGAGTCCCATACGTGCGAGCGTCTCAATTCCTGAGATGTGAGCAAATCTTGTTTCCCTTCAATTTCTTACCAGGTACTTGTTACATACACGAGAGTTCCTATCAGAGACCAAGATAATGTATTCTTACTAGCTCATTGTCCCGTCTGCTCGCCTCGATTCACTCGACCTGCTCCACACTCTCGTAAGTCCGAGTCAGAGACGAACATACATGATCACTGTCTTCATGAGCTCTGGCTGCTCTAAGCCATTTTTCCGCAGCGTCACGAAGGTTATCGTCGAATCCCAGTCTTTGGATTTCATCTCGTGTTGGTCACTTCGTCATCCTCGTAACGACTCGGCGAGTCCGCAGTTCCATCGGCAGATTCGGCACAGTCCAGTTCCACACTCTTGGTGTCTTCGAACCAGGTACCATATAGTTCATGTGCATCTGCTATGCTAAGTGAGGATAATATCGTCAGTAGCGTATATACAGTCACTTGGATATCCTGCTAGCGCCAATCTGAATGGCGAAGTGAATGAACTAACATGATTTCATAAACAAGGCTCCATATTGCGCCAAGTTACCATGAGCGGAGCACCAGCAAGAGGAGTCAAAGATATACAAGTTTTACCCTGAATACGCGCGATCAGACACATGTTGAACTATCCGCGTGAGACGGTGAACCGGGAACCCACAGCATGGCCCCGTGTGTCAAATAGCTGGCCAAGTCAAAGGCAAAAGTCCAAGCCCCGCAAAGAATACAAGCGACTAAACACATCAGATCAATAACAAGGGGAGATAATGTCGACATACTGCCGGAGTGACCGCTGGGGAAGTTTCTCCATCCATCTCCGAGTGTCTTTGATACAGCTCTAGAGGTAATACAAGACGGGGTGCTGAAGGCATCGGAGGCGCACTGGGACGGGAAGAAATGCTGGAGGGATGGATAGTGTGCACTGAGAGGGACGCGAGGAAGTGCTGGGCGGAAGCTGCAAGGGTGCACCAATCCGGATTTGAATACGGTGCTGAATTATAGTTAGTCGTCTGGTCATGTAGTTGTACAAAGAAAACACGAAATCATATATAATGGCACCACAAAATACAAGCTCGGAGGATGACATACTACTTCTTTTGAAGTGGTGGTAGTGGAATATCCTGATGAGGTACGTGAGATAGCGCGCGAGAGCATACACTATAAATAGATGACATATGGGAGGATGGGTCACTCAGACCAGTTTCCCACTCAATTGGTATTTTATTATGCCAGCTTATTCGACGCAGACGTCGCAGCTCTCGAGCTTGTAATATCCTGAATGGCTTGAGTACCTGAAAATTCCTTCTAGGTCGGTTGGTCTCACTGGGAGTGTGAACGAGTGTGTGCGATCATACACACGCCAAACTGGAACACGACGTCTACGATCACTACATAATGCGGACGAGTGGCAATCTAGTCAAACACCTCAAAAATCTCGTCTGCTCGATACCATGCAGCCCATGCCATCTCCGTCATTTGGGTATGATGTACCACAGCTGGAGTTCGGAAACCTAGCAGCACACAACACATCCCAGATGCATCCGCAATACGTGGCGGGTGATTTGGGCCGACGTAGCCCTCACTATGCTGTAGATCCATCATCTGGGCTACGCCGCTCGCCTCGAAAAGCTCGCCCCCGCATATCAACAGTCAGTCCCCTGGAACCTGCAAAGTACACTCGTTAGCCCACCAGCACCCTCAATAGGCACTAACCGTGTTGCTCCACCAGCAACTTTCAGTCCGGGGACGATTTTTGGTGCAGAAGTAACACCAAACACACCAGACTACGCCCGCGCAAAAATCGCAGCACCGCAGCAAATGCAAGCACACCCCTTCGAGATGCTGCCACCGAAACAAACTCGCCTGTGCCATCCAAAATCAGGGAAGGATGTCCGTCGGGTCACTGGCACATCAGATGACGAGGTGTCGAAGTTGACGGAGACCATGTTAGGTGGAGCTGACGCTGACCTAAAGCTTGAGACTGCTGCGTCAGGTGATGCCGCTGTGAAGCTAGAAAGTGAACATGGACTGATGGATGAAGACCGCCAAGTACTCATTGCCTCCGTTGAGGTCTGGTACAAATTTCGGTTGAAACAGGGTACGGTTTTGTAAGTCACACTTCAAACTTGAATTGACTTGCGCTTACCTCAGCACCATTACGTGACAAGACACTCAGGAATCGTGTAACCTATGCCCAGGTCCGCAACTTTTGATGGAATCAGGCTGGGGAGAAATACAATCAGGTAAAGGAGATGAAGAGATACCGGCGGTGGAGATGGAGACGGTGATCGGATTGCCGCTGAATCGTGGGATGAAGAAGAAGCGGAAGTTGTCGACTTAGACGCAAAAGACAACACGATGACCCAGGATGGCCCTGGTAGGTGCACATGGGACGAACTTCGCAGGGAGATTGCGAGGAAGGACAAGTTCACGCTACAAGCCTTCAAATCGGCAGGCTGAGCGCTGATTAATCAATTGACGAAGTGTGAGTCCTTTCGATGTGCAAAAACATCTTATTGTATGATAAGGCATGGACCTTCGTCGACTTCAACTCCTGGAATTCCATACGACGAAGATCCCTATAGTAACCGATTCCTGAGGTGTGCCTGAGGTACCGGTGCTGCACTGTCGCTATCAGAATTCTAATCCTACCTTCGTACCTCGCCTCGGGGTAGAATACCCAAACTGTCTATCGAACGCTCTTCAGGCGCCAGTTAAGATTTGCGCGTTGTCCGGCGCAAATTTTTTTGAATTTCATTCATTCAAAGGTATAGTATTACCCATTGAAGATAAACGATCTACGTGGCAAGACTCTCTTCTGATAAATACCATGTGAGCGTCGCCTGTCATAATTCTCCATCTCGCCATGCTCTCGGGCTCTTACGACGTACTCATTGTCGGTGCCGGTGTAGCAGGCCCAGCCCTTGCTTATGCTCTTGCCACAAAGACATGTAATAAGCGTGATGCTCCTCTGCGGATAGCCCTACTTGAGCGTTCCTTATCGAAGCCAGACCGTATCGTCGCCGAATTGCTCCAGCCTGGCGGCGTTACCGCCCTCAAGAAGCTTGATCTGGAGTCATGCCTCGGGGAACTTGGCTCTGTTCCTTTGTTGGGTTATCACGTTCTGCGAGGGGAGCAGGGCATTTGCGCCTCATTCCCTGAAGGTCATGTCGCGCGAGCTTTCGACCATGGAGCATTTATCATGGCCTTGCGCGACCGCGCACGCCGAGTGCCAAATATCGACGTGATTGAAACCACAGTAACTGGTCTCATTGAAGACAAGGACACACATCGCGTAATAGGTGTTCTCGCCTCCAAAGCGGGTGGTCAGCCAGAGCCACACTTTGCTGACCTCGTCGTTCTTGCCGACGGCTCCTCATCCAAGTTCAGAACTGCCGTCCTAGGCAACATGCCGTATGAACCTTCGAAAAAGGGTTACCTGGCAGGTCTGATTGTGAAAGACCTGAAGTTACCAATGCCCAAGTATGCCACCATGGCTGTACTGAAAGGCGCGGGACCGGTCATCCTTTTCGAGCTCCCCAACAACGAGTATCGAATGCTGGTCGAATTGAAGCAGCAGCCGCCGCCAGACCTCAAGGTCCGTAATTCTGTGATCGTGATTGTTCCCACTTACTATCAGTATTGCAGAAGCATATAACACACGACATTGTTCCGCACCTTCCATCATCGGTACGCGCGCCCATTCTCAATGCTCTGGAAACGTCGCGTGTGCGACGAGTCCCGCATTGTTATCTTCCGCCCATAAAGCAGGGAGAATCTAGCAAAGCAGGCGCGTTTCTACTGGGAGATTCATTAAATATGCGTCACCCGCTAACTGCGGGTGGAATGACCGTCGCCTTGAATGACGTAGTCATTCTCTCTGATCTCCTGGCCCACATCGAGAACTTTGGCAACTGGGATGAAATCTCGGCCGTCCTCCGGAAGTGGCATCACATGAGAAAACCGCTCGCATCCACTATCAATACCATGAGCATGAGCTGGGCTGGCTTATTCGCGGCCGAAGGTGCGTCAATATCGGCTGTGGAATGCTTGAAGGCTTATGATTGTCGCTGTACGTAGGCGAGGCGTTTGACATTATGCAGGAAGGAGCATTCAAGTTTTTCGGGCAAGGTGCCGAGTATGCCGATGAACCCATGTCATTAGCAGCTGGGTCAGCGATATATTGATAATTGTTACGATCGCGCTGATCTGGTTCCGGACACCCTAGGATCACTCATTCTCCGTCACTGCTGGCACGTAATTCTCTTGCCATAGCGATATATTCCATTTGGGTGTTGTTCACCCATCCCAGACCTGGAAACAAGTCTGCTCCGCAATTTTACGAATACCCATTGCTTTTTATTAAAGCACTGAACGTCGTAAGGTCATCCAATGCTCATTGTGGATCATGTTGACCGATTTTCATGGTATAGATATGGACTTTAGGCATGGTGATGGGGCCAGTAATGTGGGCAGAAATGTGATCCCCTTGCGACCTATATAATGTAGATGTGCGATGGCACCCCGCAGTAAGGACTCCTAACATTATACCTCATGTACTACGTCGCGTACGGTTAACTTATTCTTCGGACTCGCACACTTTGCAACTGGCATAAAGCCATCGATTAACGATATAGCGCCTTGATGTAGGTGGTGTTGGACGCTGCAACAGTTGACACTGACAGGTCATGCCGTGGCCATACGTGTGTGACAACGAAGATGAGGATGTCACTTCCATCCATCCTGACTCAACAGATGCATATCTCAACACTCCCTGTATTTCAAGAACCGAGATTCTGGCTGCAGGGGGTCTTCTTCAGTACTGGCAGAATGCTCGTGCCACTCGTCCACGACTCGCACAAATGGCACTTGATTTTTTGTCTGCTCCAGGTATTTTCCTCACTTGATGATTGATGAAATCTGACGGAGGCCGTCTTCCGGTCAACCACCTCCAGCATGGTGTTAGTTCGCAAACCTTCAAAGCTCAGATGGCCGTGGGATCATGGTACAACACGCCTCTCATGAGCGATCTCGGTGCTGTCACGTCAATCATGCGGACGAAGATGGTAAATGGCAAAGGCAAGGCCTCAGGAAAGGGAAAGAGCAACGACATTGTTATTGACTCGAACTAAGCTTCGTACATAATTTTTTCGCTCCTCAGCACATGTACATACCAGTATCGCAAAATATGTCTACTCACCCACGGGTGACCCGTGCCCACGATGCTCTGACTCGGGCGGGTAGGTAGGCCTCTGAAATTTTTGGTACCCGCGGGTTGGGTACGGGTATGACCCGGGTCGACCCATGTCACGCCCTGGGCCTGCACCTGAAAAAACTGAGCACATGCCACAAAGGTAAAGGTACTGGCCCTAAGATAGGCTCGCACCTGAAAAAAGTAAGGGATTGGGTAAAGAGAAGATGCGGTCGGTGTTAGTGTTCCGTGAAAAACTCCCCGCCGAGTTTTGGACAAGTTTTTAACAGATGGTATCCGATAATCCCAGGCCAGTTATTGACACCGACCATATTAATATATTTTTGTGTTACAGAGTTTGAGAAAAGCTGAACTTCCAGGCTACAGGGCCACCATCAGCTACCTCTGAAGACGGCCCAGGTGTTCGCGACTGATTTTGAACCTCCATATCGATTGCCAAGTTGTCAGAGAGAAGGTTCAGGAGCTCGGGGCCATCTAGACGAGCATCCTCACTACCAACAAACACCTGGTTACTGCAGCGCAGATATCCAGGGTCACCCTCATCGACGAGATCGACGCTACCGTCAAGCCGTATATCCGAATCCTCGTTGGAAGCGATGAGACCAGGCCCACGTTCTTCGTACTCAAATGGGCAAGGTGCAGAGGTCACTTCAAGCTCATGATTGACCGCTGCCTCCGAGGTCCCATATAATTCAATCTTTACAGGATCTGGAGAGAAGTGCTCGAAGTTGTATCTTTGGTTTCCTAGGGGTATATTGTCTGGGAGATGGGATAATGCAGCTTCGAACCTCTCTAATGAGGTATCAATGCTGATAACTGTCTCAAAGAAGCTCATAGTCGAAGATAAGTAGCAGGACCTAGACTCGTAACCAGTCTAGACTACGTCTTTGAGATGTTAAGTGCTTGACGTAGTCAGACTGGTCGATCTCGGAGAAATTTGGCAGGCAAAGCGAGGAGTTTGAAATTTGACAGATGCCGGTGATGCCGGAGGTACTCGCGATCACACAGTACTTACAAGTTATGTGTCTGCTCCTGTCTGCTGCTCTCGCTCAGACTATACGCTATGTTAAGTTTCAATCATGAGTTTCGTACGACCATTATCGCTCGCTACTCGGGACGCAATTGAAATCTCCCAATGCACTTTACAAGTGCCCTTTCAACGACACAACACCAGTATTCATCATTTGTACATACGATCAACTGAATGCACACAACACTTACCGTCTCGATGTTCTGCTTCTTGTTCTCCTTTGCAGCTTGTGCTGTCTGCATAGCTGACAAAACGATGCATCGTAGCCACGGAGTAGTTTCTCGTAACCGCGCTGTCAGTAAAGCATCAAGATCAAATGAGAGGAGTAGTTCGGGGGTGGCATCTTTCGACGACATACCAAAAATATCCTTAGCAGCCTCCATCTCGGCGTCAACCTCATCAGTGACTATTTCGATAGCCATTGGTCATAAAATGACACGAAGTTGCTCGCTCGCGCGTCCAACACATTGAGAAACTGCACAAGGGCCTTGCTTCGAAAAAAACCATCCCTCCAAGGTAGCATGGAAGCTTTGTTCGAGATAGAGTGCAACATGAGGTCCATGACTGTCATCCGAAGTTCACGAAGGATTTTTTCGCCAATCTCGAGGCTCGAAGGATTGACAATCCAAATCAAAGGCTCAACAGGTGGCTGATATTGCGGCATGGGCAGGTGAAAGGCATGAAAAGGCATCATTTTATGGTCCTATTAGATGTTAAGTACTGTTGCTCGATGGACTGTGATGTTTGAGAAGTATACAATACTTTGCTTAAGGTGCGAACAAAGGACTTGTGTAGTCAACGCTGTACAAATACAATGATTACCTAAACCGGCATCACCGGCATCTGTCAAATTTCAAACTCCTCGCTTCGCCTGCCAAATTTCTCCGAGATCGACCACGTCAAGCACTTACCATATGTGTTATGTACTGTCGACGTGAAGTGACTTCCAGGTAACTTCAAAAACTAGTCCTGACATTCCACCGACGGCTGTTTCATCAGCATCGGACCGAAGCAAACCAATCATGCATAAACACTTTTTCCTGCTATAAGGAACCTCATTCCTCTGCACCTTGCCTACTTCGAAGAGTGATCCTGCTCAACCCAGGCTATGCGTGTAGCGCTGTCTTACTGTCCTTCAATAGTGTGGGCGGCTCCTGCTCTTGCAGGATACATGGATCCTCCAATCACACTCCCAGATGGAGGAGAAACGCCTGGTGGTGATGGCTTGGGTACTCTGGTCTTTGTGCATGGCAGATCTTTGATTGGCAGGTACCGAAGAAAGCACCAGAAACAAGGTGTTTATATTTATCCTCGTTAGTAAAAATAGCCAAGAAGAACTTCACGACTTCCCTTAGGGATTTGCAGCGTGTATGCATACTCTGTGGAGGTGAAGGATCCCAGGCAACTAGTATGTATATTTCATGTTCTACCATCCCTGGACTTGTATTAATGAATATGACACCATGGCCTCGTCTCGGGGGCAATAGTGGCAATTATAGAGTCCAGCCTACGCATCAGTACTAGTACTAAGTAGTGCAGTCCACGTATATTAGTACCCAAAGAGAAACGTTCTAGGTGGTGAGTCTTTTCTGATAAATACCAGGTGAGCGTCCCCTGTCATAATTCTCCATCTTGCCATGCCATCTTACAACGTACTCATTGTGGGTGCCGGTGTAGCAGGCCCAGCCCTTGCCTATGCCCTTGCTACAAAGACATATGAGAAGCGTGATGTTCCTCTGCGGATAGCTCTACTTGAGCGTTCCTTATCGAAGCCAGACCGTATCATTGCCGAATTTCTCCAGCCTGGCGGCGTTACCGCCCTCAAGAAGCTTGGTCTGGAGTCGTGCCTCGGGGAACTTGGCTCTATTTCTTTGTCAGGTTATCACGTTCTCCGAGGTGGGCAGAGCATTTGCTCCTCATTCCCTGAAGGCCATGTCGCGGAAACTTTCGACCATGGGGCATTTATCATGGCCTTGCGTGACCGCGCACGCCGAGCGCCCAATATTGACGTGATTGAAACCACAGTAACCAGTCTCATCGAGAACAAGGATACACATCGCGTAATAGGTGTTCTCGCCTCCAAAGCGGGCGGTCAGCCACAGTCATACTTTGCTGACCTCGTCGTTCTCGCGGACGGCTCCTCATCCAAGTTCAGAACTGCTGTCCTCGGGAACATGCCGTATGAGCCTTTGCAAGGGGGTTACTTCGCAGGTCTGATTGTGAAAGACCTGAAGCTGCTGATGCCCGAGTATGCCACTATGGCTGTACTGAAAGGCGCTGGACCAGTCATCATTTTTGAGCTCCCCGACAACACGCATCGGGTACTGATCGAATTGAAGCGGCCGCCGCCAGACATCAAGGTGTGTGATTCTACCTTGTTGTGAGGTCGTGATCGCCCCCACTTACTATCAGCATTGCAGGAGCATATAATACACGACATTATTCCTCAGCTTCCATCATCGGCACGCGCACCCATTCTCAATGCTCTGGAAACGTCGCGTGTGCGACGAGTCCCGCATTATTATCTTCCGCCTACAAAGCAGGGAGGATCTAGCAAGGCAGGCGCGTTTCTACTGGGAGATTCATTAAATGTGCGCCACCCGCTGACTGCGGGTGGAATGACGGTCGCCCTGAATGATGTAGTCATTATTTCTGATCTTCTGGCCCATATCGAGAACTTTGGCAACTGGGATGAAATCTCGGCCGTCCTCCGAAAGTGGCACCACATGAGAAAATCACTCGCACACATTATCAATGTCATGAGCATGGGTTGGGCTGGCATATTCGCGGCCGAAGGTACGTCAATATTTGCTGTCGAATGCTTGAAGGCTTATGATTGTCCCTGTACGTAGGCGAGGCGTTTGACATTATGCAGGAAGGAGCATTCAAGTATTTCGGGAAAGGTGCCGAGTATGCCGATGAACCCATGTCATTAGCAGCTGGGTCAGCAATATATTAATAATTGCCACAATCGCGCTGATCTGGTTCTGGACTCCCAAGGATCACCCATTCTCCATTATTGCTGGCACGCAATTCCCTTGCCATTGTGATATATTCCATTTGGGTGTTGTTCACCCATCCCCGACCTGGAAATAAATCTGCTCCGCAATTTTACGAATACCCATTGCTTTTTATTAAAGCACTGAACGTCGTAAGGTCATCCAATGCTCATTGTGGATCATGTTGACCGATTTTCATGGTATAGATATGGACTATAGGCATGGTGATGGGGCCTGTGATGTGGGCAGAAATGTGATCCCCTTGCGACCTATACAGCATAGGTGTATGAAGTGTAACATATTAGCGTCCAACTTCTTGGATTGATGGGTGTAAAGACCTCCAATATTATGCCTCATGCACTGCGTCGTCTATGATTAATTCATTCTTGTGACTCACACACTCAGGCTGCTCCAAATTCAGTACAGACTTTGCAACTGACGTAAAGCCATCGATTAACAACCGATATAGGGCCTTGACATAGGTGGTGCTGGGCACTACAAAGATTGACATCGACTAGTCATGCTGCGGTCATCTCAACATCGTCATCGATAAGTGTGATGAACTGTCGACGTGAAGTGATTTCCAGGCAGGTAACTTCAAAAATTAATTCTCGACATTCCGCCGACGGCTGTTTCATCAGCATCGGACCAAAGAAAACCAAGAGGTTCCCGCTGTAAGGAACCTCATTCCTCTGCATCTGCCTACTTCGTAAATTGATCCTGCCCAGCCCAGGTTACGCGTGTAACGCCGTCTTACTCCCCTTCAGTGTGGGCTTCTCTTGCTCTTGCAGGATATATGAACCCTCAAATCACGCTTGCACGTGGAGAATCGCCCGGTGGTGCCGGTGATGCACTGATGTCGCAGATCGTCTGGTCTTTGTGCATGGCAGATTGGTCGGTATTTGGGAACTGAAGCTTGAAGGTCTGGTCTGGAATCGTGAATGTAGTAACCATAGATAGATGACGCGATCACATGACCTGCACGTGCGGCGCGAAGACTTTTGAACTACAACGTTTGAACGTTGAACCTGCTCATCGACGAATGTGACAATGCAGGATGGACAAACAGTGAAATATGGCTTTGGACGCAGTCACTGAAGAAATGGACAAGTAACTAACGGTGACAGTATCCGAAATTGACGAGGAGGTGGTTGGCTTGAGTTACGACGCACTCGGGGGGCATATTCGTCTCTATTGCTCACTGCTCAGATATCTCAGGAGAGAAAAGTACCGCCTATAGTACTACCCACTGCTTTACTGACGTTTTTGGAAATATACCGTCTGAGCTAGCATGCTTTCCCCGTCGTGCTCGGCGAAGCACACTTAGCCATGGACAGCTATGGAAGAGGTAGGGGCGGTGTTCAGGAGGACGTGAGTGACTCAGTGAGTGAGAGCGAGAAGATAGTGAGTGTACAGTTTCCTTTTCGTGTTCTTTTGGAGCTGAGAAACTGAAAATTCGGATGATATAGATGTATGTATGACATTGTATGTGAGTTCACAGAGATCTTGCCATATTTACTCAACCCCTCCCTAGTTCTTTACCTCAAGTTTATCTTCCTTGCGCAGTGCGATAACTTTCGCTGTGGTTCATCTCTCAATGACGCGTTTTGTAACTACCCGCTATAACAGATGTTCTGTATCGCATGCAAAGTTCTCATACTATGAACTTGTTCGTTATCAACATACCGCAAGACAACTTCCCAAGACCAAATTCCATACGAACCAACACTGTCAATCTACCCTCAAAAAATCGCCGATAGCCTTAAAGTAATAATCCCTATCCTCAAAGAACGCAATATGACTCTTCGCAAACCTCACCCACTTAACTTTGGGTATTTTCTCGATGAAAGGAGCAATCACATAGTCCTGAGCTCCCTCTTCAGGCCCATTCGTGACGAGTGTAGGGCATGAAATACGATGGATGCGGTCAATCACAGACCATGTTGTCAATGAACCGGTCGCGTGGAACTGTGCGGGCCCCAACCTGAATCTCAGGACTCAGTTCAGAGTCCTCGGGAATTCAAATAGTTGGAATGCTTACATGGCATTCGACACGGTGGGATCTTCTTCCACGGAAGCAAACGCAGCAATTAGCTCTTCTGGCCAGGGTATTGTCTGGCATGTGTGCTTATTCATAAAAACTTGAATGGCTGCTTGATACTCCGTCGACGAGACGGTGCCTTCTCTCTCATGTTTTAACACCATCTCCTTGAACTCTGCCGGAAAAGCTTCCAGATAACCCAGCATACTCTCTTCCCACAGTTGCTCCGAGGGTGGAGAGCTGGATATGACTAAACGATGAAGTCCGGGAGGTTGACGCTGGGCGACATAGTCAGCGGCCAGCATCCCACCCCATGAGTGCCCCAGAAGGTCAAAGTCACTTTCGATACCGAGCTGCACGAGAAGGTTGTCGAGTTGATCCATGAATAATTCTGGGGTCCAGAATTCAGCAGGTTTGTCACGAAGATGAGTAGATTTGCCGATGCCGAGCTGATCGTAGAAGATGACTGGGATGCCATACAGAGAATAAATCTCGGTATGTGATATCATATAGATATGAGACATCCCGGGACCTCCATGAAGCGTAACGAGTGGCCGTTTGCCCGACTGGAGGTCACCGACAATGTTGTACCAGGTTTGGTATGTCTCGTCACCGACTTTGAAGTCGACAGTGCCCGTGCTACTATTCATCAATGAGGTAGGCGATGTTATCTGGAATTGTAGTAGGTGAGTTGTCCTTCAAATGAAGAAGCTGTGTGAGTCGTGGGACTCCCGTGAGACCCCTCGATTGGACATGTGGAAATCGAAAGGTCATCTATGGGAGAAGATCGCACATAATAGCATTTTCTCTAGAAAGACGGAGGCCTAGATCTGCCGTTATGAACTTATCAGAATTCTTGGAACCCACATCAGGTCTGACCGGTGACCGGTGACCTTCGAGGCATGTGTTGAGTGTCGACTTCCACAATAGGGAGCACTTCGACTCGGACGCACTTTCAAATGATCACTGATTCGCTTGATTCACGTTGCAGATAATCGATAACGCCTTCCTTATAGTACCACAGTTCACTGATCGATTTGCCATAGCCTGCCCACAGACTTTGCGAGAACATGGCTGACACGAACAACTCCTTTGTGATTCCAAATGCCATGATACATGTGATTGATCCAGAACGGGACAATACTTTCCGTGCTCTAGCAGCTACCAGTGGATACCTCAAAGCGCAGAGTCGGAACAAAATTCTCTTGAAATGTACACAATGTGAAACGGAAATGGAGAAACCTCGGAAATGCTCAAAGGTCAGCAGTGGTATATATCTAAATACTGTTGCGGGAATTCATCGGGTGTCACAAATTATAACTTTTAGTGCAGGAGTGTTTTGTATTGCTCAACAGAGGTAGGCATTGCCACTGGAACGACACTGGATTCTGAAGCGCTGACACCATGCATATGTAGTGCCAAAAGAAAAACTGGTGAGAGCACTGCCTATAATCGACACAGATGGAAAGCCTTACCCCAGATCGCGCACGCCATGATCATCAGGCCCACCCACAAACGGATATGTCACGAAGTCGAACATTCCTCGGGAGTGCTCAAACTCGTTCGGATGTTCAGTGTAAATCCATTGCTCATGATGTACCTCAAAGTTGCTATCGTTCTCGACTGTAACCTGCTCAACAATCCCCGGATCGGATTCGAGGTGCCGTTCGTGGCACATGTTGATATTGCCTTAGAGCCAAGTGACATTTTTGACTTCGTTGGATTGTATTTCGATGACAAGGTTGTTCGGGATAAACTCCAAGGGATGGTGCAAGTCAACGCCATGACTCCGTGGTACACGGGTATGCAGGGTGCGCGCCCCCTCACACCGCAGCGAATGAACCAATGGCGCGAGGTCCGAGCAAGGCATAATGCAGATGGTTACACCAAAGATCCTGTTGGACTCTTAGATTTCTCCTCTGCGGGGATCTCGAGGAACGATAGAAGAGTAACTTACGCAGTAAGTGTGGGGTGTCATATATCCCCTGTCATCCTTGAGATGGCGATGGAACGTGAGCCCTTCGTACGTGTCTGTCCACTAGCAGGCACTCGGTTCAAGCAACCCATGAACGCTGAGACATGTCTAGAGTAAGTCCTCCATCCATATTCCTAGTATTTTGGCAATGGAGCCCCTTATTATTACCTCGCATAGGTATATTAATATACATATTCGGGCGGATACGCAGAACCAGTTGCGTTTACGGACCGAGATGACAGAGCAAGACAAAGAAGTTATTCAGGCAGCAGGTCGCGACGAGGACGAAGTCTCCGCTCATGTCCTCAAAGAGAAGATGGAAAGAGAAATCATGTATAATAATATCGTTAGACAGGGCAAAGGCGCTCGCGGCCCAGACTCAGAGACACCTCGAGCAAGGCAAAGGATGAGGTGAGACTCCACGAACATCAACTGGAACTGATATGTGCTGACTAAGCTATGGAGACCTCGACGTAGTCCCTGCCCTTGTTGCGGGACTTGGGGCTGCAAGGGCCTTGCAGCCCCCATCGCTCAGCCTAAAGTTCGTTTGTGCATGTGGGATTGCAAAAAGGGAGAGTGAGTCTAATGGTTCAATAGACAGCATGCAAGTTTGTACGTTTCCCGTGATTTCCCACAAGTGTTTTCTGAATTTTGTGCCTAAGGCTGGCAGGCCAGAAGCTAGAAGAAAAGAAAATACTTTCATAAGAGCAGGCTTCTCTCCTCCGCCCGTCACACTTGAATTCAAGTTAGCATTGTACTATACTGTATTACATATAGGGACCTTACTTCGGCTGGATCTGTTGAAATTTCACATCATTTTGAACTTTGAAGATGCTTTACAGTATCCGGGCCAGTAGCTCGAAGCCGAGCATCTCTTGGACGGGTTGCCAGTATCATTAGATTCAATGCATACTTGCAGGTACAGTGAATGTGATATGCATGTAACGATGCGGGTTCATTGATGGTGTAATTTATGGGGACTTGTTTGAGGGAGGTCCGTCTTTGATCGCAAAACTTGGTAGATATTGAATTCGAAAGAACAGAGCTACAAGCACATATAAAAATTGGGAACTGTATGATTATGGCTACTACAATATCACAGTAAGTGATAGTCGACTGAAAGATAGAGAAATGTGAGAACAAGAGTGGCATCCATGAGCGACCGAGTGAGAAGCATTGTAACATATCGCAATCAAATGCGCGAGAGAAAAACTAGCGCCAAATTCTATGGAAGGACCTGTATATCTGTTCACGCTGCTTTGCGTTCGGCCTTTGGCAATAGCTGGACAAGTCTAGTTTGCTGTATTTCCAAGCCTCTGGTGCCAAAGTACCTGCAAGTCCAATCGGATTAAATGACAGTTCATACCATTGAGAAATTTGTACGACCTTTGACCTTCGTAACTCCAACAAGTGTCCGCTCGAGGCCAGATTGCTATCCCGTCAAGATACTCCTTGACTAGGACGTCGACGGAAGGCCCCCATGAAGGGACCTTTGCAAGACCGTCGATAAATCGTTTCTGAAGTTCAGCGTGATGGTGTGCTGCCCAAGCTATCGCGCCGCCACTGTCGAGGCCGAGTTCCAGCATGACAGTGCTGATCAAGTTATGGTCTCCATTTCCAGCTGCTTGCTCTTTATTGTACGAAACCATGTCCTGTGAAGGTGCAAGTTATTAGCAGACCGCAAGCCACGATATCCTCAATGCTACTTTACATTGCCGATTATAATCAAGTCTGTGCTGCATTCAGCGAGTTCCACAATGACGGGATGGTAGAATATTTCATCAGGAAGATCCATCCCCATTTCACATATTGTGAAAGACGGTTTTGCGCCAATAGTAAGCCGCCGGAGCTTGAGGTAGTCATCGATACTGCGCCTATGACCTTGTTCGCGATCAAGAGCCTCGACAACTACTGCGCGAAGGTATGCGGTAAAGGTTTCAAGGAAGTGACGTTGAGAAGACAGGCTTGCGGTCTGGATGGCACGAGCCCAAAATCTATACAAAAATCCCTTGGAATTCAGAAGATGATCATCAAACACTTTTGAAGCACTTACTGTCGCGCAATTTCACCGAGAATGCATTCGCCTTCAGGTCGTATCTTCCGAGGATTGTTCAAGGCGTCTATCACGAGGTCCACCATATCTTTGGTGACTGCCCCATTTTCGTTGTCGGTGTATTCCTCCAACAGGAAGAAAACATTCATTAATTCACAGCCGATTCGAATGTGTTCTAGTTTGTCAGGATGCAATCAGGGCTCTGTGAAATTACCAGAAGTCAAACACGAACCTCGTGGTGCATTTGGATAAGCCAGTGCTACTAGGCGGGCTATAGACACAGTGCATGTCAATCATCATCGGAATCGAGAGCTAGTGACATAAGTCGAACCAAAATCACATTTGTCGAATGCTTCCTGTGACTCAGGACTCAGAGCCTTGAAATCACGGAACGAAGCACCGACTTCAGCTTTCACATCTTCAAAATGCGGATTGATGGTACGAGGCCAGGGCCAGTTGAGCATGGTGTCTGGGAGGTATATCATCTTTGGGTGAGTGTCCATGGCCTCCAAAATTTATTTTCCGTTGAGGAGTGCGAACGCTTGAAAGAGGGGAAGTTTTTGCCGACGAGTTCAGGGCTTGCAGCAGAACATATATACCTGCCACCTGCGTCAGGATCGGCCTACTTCACGTACTATCTGCAACCAAGAAATAGGGTGATACGCACTTACCGCACTGTTGATGGCAGATGGTGCATGACTATGCCATTAGTGTTCAAGCTGCAAAGGTTCTGTCGGCCTTCTGAAGATCCGAAACCTTGGTCAATGAAACGCTAGCCCGTAGTAATTTGTCTTTCCTCTATTGTGACTGTTGCAGGCTACTTTCGAATAGAAGGGGATCATCTTGGAAACTTTGGTCCGGGTAGAGCGCATTCCAATATCTAAAGTTTCAGCTATCACCACTTCAAGCTGCAGGTGTCAGAGGGTGGGGATCAGCACCCACGCAGCTAAGACGGAATTAGGAATGAAGTCTCAACCAATGATGCAATTCAGACGAGACCAATTAACTGAACACATGAGAACGTTATTTCCCTCAAACATCTCCATCGAATAGGGAAAGTGACTCGCCGCGTTAGCCGACATGCCCCAACATGGACGAACCAATATTCCACTTCCTCTTCGACTACCTCAATACATATGTGAACGCCACTTCCTCCAGAACGCATTGAGACGCGATGGCGCGTATATGACCTACAGTGAAGCGAGGTGGCTTTTCCGACGTGAGGATGAGACGTGTTGTCAATGGCAAGTCAATAGCGCCAGTAGACTTCGAGAGACACTGAGCCAGACCCACGTTCGGCCAAGGTGTACACACTGAAACGAAAGGAGAGGCCCGCTTTCATTGCCGTCCACGTCGCTGTCGGATAATCAGCAAGTCATTTATTGGCGATCATCACGCTAATTAAGATTCAACACACGGCATAACGGCGCCAACACCCTACTGACCCATCTGCCCTCCCTGCAGCTTTCCTTGTGTACAAAATTGTTCCATGGGGTGGCGGAGTACGCGTTTTTACACATATAACAGTGCATACTTACCTGTATTATTACGATAGACGAAGCAAATGACGAGACATATCCGATAGGGACTCCGGCCCCAAAGGATCGCTCTGATGTAAACATAAGAATGAAATCACTAACCATACTAAAAAAAACAAGGTTAAAAACTGTGCTTGCAATCATTCAGATGCCTTAGTGATCATGCTAGCAGACAAATGATTCGAGCACCCGATTGAAGTTCTCCAGCAAATGACGTCGAGTTGTTGGTCCGGGGAAACTGCTCGCTCCCAAAACGTATTGCTAGCTGGAATAAACGATCTTGGTCAGACAGAGGCGAGCTACAGATTGTCTTCGACTTATAACATTTCTGCTGCGGAGCTGCCTTTTGAAATGAAGTGGGTCACGGCAACTAAAGTCATCTCCGTTTGGAAAGTTTCTGCTGCAACCATTTCAAATGATAGGTGAAGAACGATACCAGGGAGTGGGGGATTGGCGCGCGAGTCGCTAAGATGACGATAAAATTGAAGATTCCCTAGAAGCCATGGTAAATAAATAGATACCCGAAAAAGGCGTGGTAATCCAGAATCAGCTGAAAAATCAGAATAAATCAGAATACATCGATGGACGGTCACAAACCATGCATTGATTTCCAAAATCAAGGTTGAAAACACATGGATTCGAACGTCTCAGTAATCACCGGGTCCGCCGATAAATGAATTGAGTTGCTAATTAAAGTTCTCTGCCTGGAGGGGGCGTAGTGAAATGAATCGCTGGATGCCAATAGTGGAAAGCTGGGTTGCGCTCTGGTAGACATATGGATACTATACCATGCTCCGAGCGGTCCTGAAGATGATACCGTCGGTTGGGCCTATGGGATATGTGTTCCTGGTGAATTTTGTGGCGGGTTTCGTAAATTTCCACCCAAACGTAATAATTTAGCTGGAGAAAAATTTGTTGTAGTGATAAGTGGATTGTATAGGCGGCATGGTTATAATGATTGTGTCAGGAGTTGAGTCCCTACAAGATGGATGACAATTGGGTACTCCCGTCGAGGGATTCAGAGCAGATATCGACGCAGAAGCTGAAGTGTTGTATGCGTACCGATCCATCGGATGATGTATGACTTCGAAAAAGAGCGTCCAGCTGTGAGGTGGGCGGAGCGAAAGGCTAGTAGGCAACTGTGCTGCAACTTCGGGCTTGAGAGAGCATCATGATTTTGCGAATGACGCGCCAATAGTACGTCCTAGCGCCTTGGATCGTAAATGGAAGACTATTTCTAAGCCCATCTGTACCGGCAAGTCGAGACCTGTTGAAGAAATGCCTTTGCGGCAAAGCTGTCATTCACGTGACACTACTTCGAACTTCAAGTTCGCGGCATCGCGATTCGCCATAGTATTACTACATCAGTAAATCACCACTATAGACTATTATCATCCGAACCAGAAATGATGCGAGTGCCATCCGAAGAGAACGATACTGACTCCTGAGAAGACCAAAGAAATGTGCCCTTCGAAGGGCTCACCAACCACCTGTCCCGTTCCCACATCCCACAGCTGGACAGTCTCATCGTCCGAACCTGTCACAATGCGACTTCCGTTCGGCGAGAACGAAACCGACGTAACCAAATTAGTGTGCCCCTCCGAGGGTTTACATACAAGCTTCCCCATCGCCGCGTCCCACAACCGGACACTGGACAGTCTTACAACCTGAACCAGATGCGATGCGCGCAGCGAGTCCCATCCAGAGAGAACGAGACTGATGTGACCGAAGAAGTGTGCCCCTTTATGGGCTCACCGACTGGCTGCCCCGTTCCCACATCCCACAGCCGGACAGTCCGATCGTCGGAACCAGAAACGATGTGAGTCCCGTCCGGAGAAAATGAGACTGAGCCAACTTTATCAGTATGCCCGCGGAAAGGCTCACTCATTAACTCCCCCGTCCCCGAACCCCACAGCCGGATAGTTTTATCCGCAGAACAAGTTACGATGCGAGTTCCATCCGGATTGAGTAAATCCAGCCAGTGTGTCCCACCAAGGGCTCACCGGCTGGCTGCCCTGTCGCTACATCCAACAGCTGGAAAGTGCCATCCTCCGAACCAGTTGCGATGCGGGTCTCATTCGGCGATAGCGAGGCTGAGATGATTGAATTAGTGTGCCCTCCCAAGGGCCCACCGACTGGTTGCCCTGTAGCTGCATCCCACATTCGGATAGAGTTGTTTAATACTTTGAGCAATACAGTAGGTGTATAATAGTAGCCTCCCTAGCCAGACATGTAGCAGAAGGATGACAGTCATAAGAAAGGTGGGGGCTAGGGTTTACATGAATCCAGACGACGCTTGTACAAGGAGTTGCGATACCAGAGTATGTTCACAATCTCGAAGAAGCTCGAAAATAAACCAACATAGCAGATAAATAAGCACCGTAGCGTATGTCTCCTCACGAACCCAGATGATCGATGACTGCTTGTATAGTATCCTGCCTGTAGATGAGAACACTGAATATGTGAGAAGAATTATCACATACCTCAAGACTAAGGCAAAGGACCTCTGTAGATGTCGAGTATGAACTCGACCCCAAGTTTAAAGACTTCGGTATTCCGCTCGTCCTCTGACGTCTGAAGAAAAACGGATGTTCCAATCGAGTCTTTATCTTCGTTTAAGTGTTGTAGCATCCTGGTAACTTTGGCTTCCTGATGATAGTCAAACAAGCGACTACAGACATGGTTCTTGCCTGACTCCCATAGAAAGTGGAGCTTAAGTCTGGAAGAATCATCTTTCGGGGAATCTTGGATGTCCTTTTGAAGTGACTGATTACAATATGAAAGGTCGGCACTGAAGTATTTGTAGCCTTCGCTAATCGGTAAATTATATGGCTGGGTGAAAGCGGTTACTCACTGAACGTCCAGCCATTGAGTACCGCTGAAACAACGACAGCACAAACCGGATGAGGATTGTCGCCGTCGGCAGTGACTGCAACTGAAAATTCGACGAGTTGGGACTTCATCGTAGCATTAACAACCTTCCCTTTGACTCTAGTATATGGTCTACCCGCAGCGAGAGCCATTGCTTCAACCTTGGGAAACCACGTCTCATTTTTAGAAAAGCTCCACATGTTTGGATGGAGAGTCGCCGTTGCTGACAGCCCTGCATTATGATCAAGGAGGTATACGACAACATCTTTCATATATTGATCAAGAGCAATGTGCAATGCTGTTCTCGCAGTCCGGTCCTGTAAAGAAAGATCACAAGACGGCTCAACGAGCGCTTGTACGATGGGTAGCCATTGGGTTCTAATATTGTGGTAATCCAATCGGGAGAGGAAAGCATGGAGAGGAGTAGAACCATAGGTTGCGGGGTAGCCATCAACGCGGCGTTGACAAAGTTTGCGGATAATTTCGGTCGACAGCTCCGACGCGTTAACGGCCACGTACATAATGTTATCAGGTACGTCGACTTCCCTTTGTGACAGCAAGAAATCCACAATGTCCTCCCTTCCAATTGCAGTTGCCCATGTAATTGGAGCATATTGGGGGAAGCTAACCCAGCATGAGCGATATGTGCCATGTTGGAAGGAAGAAAGCTTGTTGAGATCGACGCCCAGCTTCAGGAGAATACCGAGGAAGTCGGGCTTCTCGGCTATGGCAAAAATCAAGGGAGAACCCCAATGAGGGGCAATATCCTCGTGCAGTAGATGGGGGTGCCGCTTGACAATGAATTCGACCATCCAGGGCATTCCATGAAAAAGCGGGATGAATAGAAGTGAGGGTAAAGTCACATCGGCACGTAACCACATAAGTGCATCCCCAATCGCCCGCCTTTCTGCAGTTGCAAGCACGCGATGTTTCTTGGTGTTTCGAAGAAACTCTGAGTTCAGCCGTGACAGGGCGGTCATAATGTAAGGATCCTCATCTGAAACATGTTCAAGGTGCTTCCATCCTTGAATTGCGTAGCTGAGCAACGGATGGTCTTTGCTGATATCGGCAACATTAGCATGAGGTGGCCAATATGATTGGTGTTGTGTAGCTAGACGTTTATCTATACAAACATCAGTTTCTTAGGTGATATATGTGAAAGATAGTATTGCACCTTCAAGCTCAAGTTTTGCGCAGATCTCATCCACAAAGTTGCATAACACATACGTAATCAAGAGCTCGCAAATACGAGCATGCATGTCTGAGACCGATTTACAGATGTTATTAGGGCGACTGATCAAGTATTCCTGGTTGCATAGCGCATCAGCAGACGAGTGGGATGACGGAGTTTAGTATATCATACTTTGACACTATAATGAGACAGAGCGACGACACTAGTTTTCTCATTGTAGGTCACGAGGCTTCCACACGCGGCCACGATATCCATAGTGTTCAAAACGCGAAGGTCCTCATTGAGACTTGGGCACCCAACTTCAATCATCATCGCTTCATCGAGCTGGTCAAGCGTCAAAGGGGTGAACGTGCCGGCCAGCAAAAGCAGGCAACGCTGGGAAATCGGGCCATCGTCTCCCCCTCTTTCTTCAATGGAGTGAAGGATCCTGTCGTAAGTTTCGTGCAGGTCTTTTGGAAGGTCGTCGAGGGCTTTCTGAATACTGCCAGATGTTTTGCACTTCATAAGGACGTCCAGTTGACACTGAACCCAGCGAAACCTGCGTGTGATCATGCGACGATGAATTTCTGAGGAGCGAGTGAATCATGATTTACTTACATGCCTTTCGCTTTTTCTGACAATTTGTTGAAAATAGTCGTTCTGAGTGTTTTGCGTAGGCCTGATAGGCGTTCTTGAGTCTTCAGCTGCTCTGCGATGTGCAGATCTATATCTGCTTTCATTTGTTTAACGCTGTCCCCCAGCGACACGGTGGGGAGATGGTGGAAAGCTTTTTTGATGTCTTGCTCACTTCTGCTGGTGACGAAAAGTCGTAGTAGAGCGTCTTCGGCAAGGTTTACGAGATGTCTGACCAGGTCGGAGTAGTCCTTGCATTCGTCTAGGGCGTCAATCACGAGGACAGGTCGGCGAACCAGCGTAGATGCCTCAACCAGAAGCTTTCGTAGATATCCGAGATCTGTGGGATGCGGCTTTTTGTTGCTGTGTAGCTGCCAGAGGTTTCGCAGAGAAGTAAGATCCCCTTCTTCTTGCGGCCCTGGTTCGCGTATCTTGGTGATCCAGTCGTCTCGAGATTGTTGAAGCAGCTGAGCAACCAAGGAGCGCAAAACTGCAGCTGCATTTGTCGTCCTGTCGTCTCGGAAGTTGCAATAGAAGTAACCGAGCGTCTGTGGCTCTGCTTCACCGCTACCCTGAATTTCGTCGATAACGGAGGAACTGCAAGTTCAGAAGTTAATCTGAGCTCTCTAAAAATCCTCTGGGTCCGAACTTACGCAAGAATTGTCTTTCCGTGTCCAGCTATTGCGAGTGTCAGCGACCTAAAATTAACGGTGAATGATACAACTCACGCTGGCCATTCAACCATATAAATGCGTGATCCGATGTATTCCAGGTCTTGTACTCATCGATATGGAAAATCCAACGAGCGGTCCCATGGTTTCGCTGGCCATGGCAGGTAGCGTGCTTGTCATCACAAGACACGGTGCTCATCCATTGAAGAAACTTTCGACGTTCCTTGGCTATGCGCGTTTAAACAGAGCGAGGAAGTAACTGGCAGTCGGCGACTCACCTTTTTCGCGCACCTTTTGTGCAGCAGAATCCTCTATCAATTCCTGGACTCCATCCTTAACTTCCTTGAGCGTCATCCTTAGGGTACCGCACGGGTAACACCGAGGGTCGGAAAGTTGACACCGCACCCGCACCCGCCAACACCGTACCCTTCACGGGTACGGGTACACACCGACCCGTCAATGTCGCGGTTTATGGAAAACACCGCGGTGTCTCTGAACACCGCGGGTACATTACCAAGAAGAGTGTATTAAGTATTAACAACAATGAAATAAAATAGTACTACTTTTCCTTGTCATTCTCCTCTGCTTCGACTTCATTTCGCTTCCGTTTTTGAGTCCTGACAGCGGCTAAAAGGTCCTCCATCACCAGAAGATCAGTGTGTCCGATGGGAGTAATGGACGGGCTGTTGGCCTTGGCGTGCAAATGCTGCGTAGACAGAGCCACTATTAGCACCAGCATCCTTGCCCTTCATGGCGTTGTTGACGGCATCCTCGCCAAAGCATCCAATGGCATGGTGCTTCAGATTAGTCGTCGAGGACTTATCCTTTGTATCCTGATAGCGGCGCACACCACCTAAAGCTGTCTTACACTTACGCGCACCACACGGGAAAAAATGACACAAGCGGCCATTGTGGTGTTGGACCACAACTTCGGATGAAAAGAAACTATAGATAGGTGACCGCCAAGTCTTCTTGAGAGCCTCTGTATCATTGTATAATCAGATATTTGCAAAAATCAATGGAAAGAAACATACCAAGATCTGCAGAAGGATCGGGATCAGGCTCGAATGCACCTGCCGTTGATTTGTTATCGTCAGTGGCAAGTGAATCAGTACTTGATCGCGTAAGATCAACGGTGTCTGTGGGGCTCGATCGAGAAGACCGAGACACAAATGACTGCTTGACCTTCTTCAAGGGGCGGGCCAGAGCCTTAGCACCCTTTGCAACAGCCTTTTTGAGTGACCTGGCCTTCTCGGAGATGGACGACGAGATAGACTTAGATGATGAGTGTGACTGGGTAGACGAAGCATCAGATGCCTTCTTTGTGAGCTTAGTTTTCATGGGGAGACGACTCAGTGGACTTACTGGTCTCGAGTTTTTGCCTTGGCTTTATGGTAGTGACTCGGGCTTCTCTGCAACGAAGTGTCAGCTCAATAAATTGCTAGAATGATTCACGGGGGTACAAAAGACATGACAGAAATCAGTATAGCATTCACTTGTGATCCTCAAGCTCTCAGAGGAAGGAAAAACAGAGAATCAAACACGGTGTTCAATGGCTGTCGCGCGCCTGGTTCCCGATTTGGTATATTATACCCGCCCAAACACCGTCAACCCGCGGTGAATGGCCACGGTATGCTCAAGGGTACGACTATCCTACTCCGTACCCGTACCCTCCAAACCCGTCAGCATAGAACCGCGGTGTTACCCGTACCCGTGCGTTTCCCTAGTCATCCTTACGCTGAATTAGCATTTTGGCGACCATTACAAGCAAAGCAGCCCACCATGTGTCGATTGCTAGGATGTTTGTAATTTCGCCACAATATCCTTTCAATTTATCGACGATCGCTGTTGCTTTCTTTTCCTTGAATGGCCACGTCAATTTGTCCCTCATGCCCATTTTCCTACTCTCCTGATCGGTTGGCAGAAGGTTCTGCAGTTCTCCCTGTAATTTCACGAGAGGTCCATCATTAGCCATTAAACGTGAAAGTGCATCGCAGAGTGCGGGTGGAAGAGAGGCATTGTCATTGATTCCCATGAATGTGGTCAGGACACCCCCGATTGAACGGAGTTCATTAAGCAGAGTCTGACAGGACGAGTCGGCGTCGCGGACAGAAGTAACATATCCTAACAAAAGAGCTGAAGCTTGTGCTATCGTTTGAACGACCTGAAGAACAGTGAGACCATTGGTGATGGGATCCATGTGGGGAGCGGAAAATGTAACTCTAGGCCCTCAACAATGCGTGAATTTGAACCAAGGAAAGGCGCTCGAGACCATGATGCAGTGACAAATTGATGATCGATAAGAACTAGTGATATGAAGTACATGCAGTATACGGACGTTAGAACTAGATCATTTTAGTGAGATCCAATCAGTGACCTTGAAGAGAATAACGGCTGCAAGTTCAAATTTTAGATTCCGACGTTGTTTGCAAGTTACAGGCTCCACACTTGCATGTAAACTTGCCGTTGCAGATACGCTCATATATTGGGCCTAGGATTTACTCAAATCGTTGTAGGTCAACAGGCCGCAGATTTCACACAGTAGATTCTCGATATAGCTCTGCCAGTGCAGTGCACACCGTGGCAGAGTCTTCACTGGTCCTATTCTTGTCAGTGAACAGAGCACATGCCATCCCTTCAAGTGTTTCGTCGTGCGTACATGCAAGGCTATGGTCCTGATCGCGGCCCTTGGCGTTATCGTCTCTTTCCTGAGCACGAGCTACGTGCTCAGATCCTGAAACGTTGCACAACTAATATCTCAAGCGACGGAAGAAGCCTTGGTGCTTCTCTCCAGCCTCATGTTAGTTCAGTTAATGAAGACAGGTATCTGACCATGGATTTAAGCCTTCCAAATGGTGTCTGGAGCTTGACCTGTGTTTTCGATGGTGCGTATTATGAGGCATCACAGATACTTCACCTTCCCCCACGTATTTTGTTAATCAAATAAACATCTCCTCTGCAGGCCATGGAGGGCATGAAACAGCTGACTACCTTGTCACCGAATTGCCCTCCCTTTTAATGGCTGGACTGTTGCCCACAGTGGCCAACCTGGAGGGTGTCTCGGATGTTCTTTCCAGAGCGATTTATGACGTGGACGAAGCAATAAAACGGGACTTCCTCGAAATATTCCCAGAAGAAGTCGATGAGATTGCTACGATGTCGGATGCAACAGTCAAGGCGCGAGTCAATGACCAGTCTTCTGGAGGACTGAATTATCGGAAAGCCCTACGTTGCATGAGGGGATCTACAATCTTATTAGCGCTTGTCGACCCTACAAAGAAAAATCTTTGGGTGCTAAATCTCGGTGATGGCGTAGCGGGTAAGCCGAGGTGAAGGTTATTAAAACGCAAGCGGAAATCTCTGACATCGACTTTTGAGTAGTGCTCGGAAGTAGACGAGACGCGAGTTCACAATGGGATACATCCATCTTGAGCGATAATCATAATGGCAACAACCCTGCTGAGGTAGATTGCATCAAACAGCAACATCCTGACGAACCGGAATGCATTTTCGACGATAGAGTGCTCGGTAATCTTGCTGTCACGAGAGGTAAGTCTACCGAATGTATTAGAATAATTGATCTCACTGTGATGCGGCGTCAAGCTGTTGGCGACCACGCCTTCAAACTGCCTCGCATCTACACTGAGAAAATATTTTTAAATGTAGAACCGGGATTTCGTGTGCCTGCTGCGATTGAGTCTTTCATTCCACGAAATCTGAGCCCACCATACGTCTCGAATCTTGCAAGCGTTCGTCATGTCGACCTTCATGCGCAGTCAAGCTGCGACTACTTTATCCTGATGTGTTCCGACGGGCTGGTTGACCTTTACATGGATGACCCAAATCGTGCTGAATCCCTTACATCTCTTGTCCAGAAGTGGGTGGAAATAGTAGGTGACGCCGTGAGAGACGACATCCAGGAGGCAATGCTGCGCTTGTTAAGACACGCTTTGGGCGCAGAAGACATCGACAGTGTCTCATGTATGCTTACCGTAGACATGCCTGTCGCTTACATGGATGATACGACCATCATCTTACAAGTGCTGTAGTGTCCGATACGAAAGCGTGTGCATGTAGGGGGTAACGAATGCGAGTTGTACAGATGCCAAGTGCCAAAAATGTTACGTCTGTAAATTATGGATAAAAGTCGGGGGGAAAGTAGAGTCCTGCATCATCGCAGGTCCACGATCTCCAGTGGGATGTCTTTCATTTGCACGTGCCCCTTGTCTGCGTCCTAAACAACCAATCAATAGCTGTGGACGAACCACTCCAGAAGCTACGCACTGTGTAGATCGGCACCTCCGGGTGTGGATGGAAGGCTTCCTTAACATTGCAGTCCAGAATCGTTTGCAAGCCTGGGGGGTCGGTGAGGCGGAAAATCCCAAAGCTAACCATGAAAAAAAAAATAAGACACGAGTCATATGAACAATGTGGTACGCACTTAGGAGTGAACTTTGGGGCGCAAACAACGGCAAAGGACTCCGGAAGCATACGCTGAAATCCAGAATGTGTGTGTAGATCAACCGACGACATAAAGCCTTTGTAAAGGGTCAGGCGAGTGAGAGGTTTTGTACTAAATTCAAGGACTTACAAGATTGTGAAGGATGCGTGTGAATCTAACGAAGATCGTTAGATGCCGACGCACAAGACAGCCGGAGGAAACATACCCATCCCAAGGTAATCAAAGATCGTTCTTCCGTGAATTGCAGGACGAGCTCTTCCTCGTCCATGGTGCAGGTATCGCTTGTTGAGTGCTGCTTTGGAATCAAAAGTGTTGTGACAGTAAATTTATTTCCTCTATCTTTTCCAAGCAATAGTCCACAAGTTTCGCGATTTCTTGCCGTATTTAGCGACGCGATAGATAGGAACCGCGGTAGGCATTCTCGTGGCAAGCTCACAGTCTTCAGGTCGGGTACTTGGACAGGATCGCTGGCTTTACGAGTGATCCGTGCAGACTCTTGGGAAGCAGTCCGGTACCGGTCACCATCGATGTGATGTACGGGAGCGGGTGGGGGTGGAGGCGCGGCCTGAGGAGCTCGTGAAAGGGAAGAATATTGGGCTGTAGAATCAAAGTAGGCACCAGAAGGTGGTCGCGTCGTATTCTGAGAATATGGGTATGGCGCCGGCTGACTCGGCAAGACAACCATAGATGGATCAGGAAGTTGACTAGTAGACAATTGCGAAGATTCTGGTACGAAAAGTAGGGAAGACCGTCCAAGATTGGTGGGTCTAAGAGTGGGGTAATTAAACATTGATTGCAGAGAAGGTGCGTAGCCTTGCTTGAGCTGGTGTTGCGACATGAGTTCCGGGTATTGAATATGTCCGTCCGGTGGAACAGGTGATGTTGTAGTTACTGGTGCAGGATAAGATGGGCTGAATGGATAATCAGATACACTCGTAAAGGACGAGGTAGAGACTCACGGCTTCAAACTTGTCGGAGTTGCAGCGTGGTTCCTATATGGCCAAGTCAATAAATGTGTAAATTCAAGATTCGAGGACGCTGGCCTTGTTGGGCTCTCGATAGGCATAAGAAGAGGAGCAACATCTTCATAAAACTGTGGATCCACGAAAGATGAACGCTGGGAGCTGCCTGCGGATGCCGCAGGCATGGGAGAAGGAACAACACTACGGCGAGCCTCCTGCGCAGCGAACTCTGCTTCATCTTGGCGTTTCAGAATACCCTCCTGTTCCCGCCTGCGTCTTCGTCTGACTTCATCTTGTTCGTCTCTTCTTCGGTCTTCATGCTTCCTGAACTCGTCATGCTCTCTCCGTTTTTCCCCAGCGCTCGCAGGGGTCGCAGGATCAGAAGGGGTGCCTTCGCGATTGTAGTACATCGAGTCACACAGCTGTGTATTCGCGGCGCGCCGAGCAGCTGCCAAGGCATCTTCCCTTCTCTTGCTCCCGGTATCAATCTGTAGACGCGGTGGCTGTGGCTCGACTGATCGCATAGAATGACGTGCCTCATCTCCCCTTCGCTGCTCCTCACGTTTTCGTTCAGCATCTCTGCGAACTGCTTCTTGTGCTAGCCATCCAGAATCGTCAAAGGGAGAGCGTCGACCATCATCTTGTCGCCTGTACTCCGTGTGCCTGCTCCCCTCTGGGTAACCGTTTGATGACAATGACCTCCCAGATTCTACATTTTGCATTCTCCATCGTTCATGGCGGTCGACGATGATTGGTTTGATTTCACCAAGATCAAGAAGAATTTGTTGACCATTCTGAAAGGGGGGTCAGACAGAGTCCCACTGAGATCAATTTTACGGGGGAATGATGAAGAGCGTGTCGAACTTTGACAAAGTACATATTTCATGATCGGAAGAAACGAGAAACGCAGCAGGCACGAGTTACTCACAAGACCAAGATTGTGGCGCTGCGTTGGTGACAGTAGAGTATAGTACTCCTTGTGCATCGGAAGTTTCTCAAGAATTATCGTCGCAGACTTTGCGTATTCCATGAAGGCTTCCTCAAGTTCACCAGCCTCAGCATACGCTCTACCAGCCTTCCGGAAGCCATCTGCTTTCTTCAACCATTGCTTGAGACCTTTCGAAGGATCCCAAAGGTTGGAAAGAGCACGTTCTGAGAGCTCTGCAATTGTTAAAGGTCTTCGATTAGACGGGCTCGGCCGCGGAGAGGGTCGGGGCACATTTGCATAAGGTGAACTCATGATGGAACGAAAGTAAGTGGATGATCTAACCACTACCGCAGCGTAGCGTCCCGACATTTCGTAATTACCGTATTTAGAACGAAATGCTTCCGTGTGGCGGTTCTCAGATCTGGCTGATTCTGGCCAGCCTATCTGGAACTGGATAGACAATTGACCAAGGACTACATATATGCTCATTAGATTCATGAATCATCATACAACAAGTTCAGCTTCTTGCGCAGCACGCCCCTTAGCTCCGAGGTCGATCTAACAATAGCTAACAATACAATCCTTGTTGTCAACTGCCCGCGACGAGCAAACGGTGCTAGTAGCATCATAATAATAATTTCGAAATGTCCATATGAACACAGCAAAATATGTCGAAGTCATGGCAGAAGGCAGGTGTGAAGACATAATAGATTAGAAGCACATGCAAATTTCTAGGGAAAGCGCGTACTCTAGTCTTTAGGCGACATTCGTGACCACATTCTGTGATGTTCCTCATTCAGAGTCAGCTGTGCGTATCGATGGTCGGTCTTTAGTCCCTGTTTCGTAAACTGAAGTACGGTCGCTGTTGGTAAATTGGGACACATGGAATTGTAAAGGGCTCATATGATATTGTCGTGAGTTTCCTTGTTCAATCTCGCTCGCTGTCCTAGGAGTCGAGAAGCGACGGTTTCTATTGATTGCGATGCGAATGAGCACCATGTAGAAGGCAATCGACATGATCGGCATGGCCTAGTAAATCGAAGCTCAGCTTTTTTAATAACTGGTGATAACAGGGGAGATCACCATGTTCAACACCACAACCTCTCCGGTGTTCGAGAGCATGAAACATATTAGTGCAGGGAAGAGGACTGCAGAGTATAAAACAGCGGAATCCACAAGCACGCGCAATATTGGCATCAAAGTGCTCTTCGTAGTACGCACTATAAAAACGCTGCGTTCAATCATCCAAATACGATATGCCAGTAATCCTGGGCACATTCAGGTCCTCGACATCGCGCTCGCGGAAATGTGCTTACCAGAACTCAACAAATTAGTGGCAATCGTTAAGACAAGAAACGCCATGACCCACTGCGCGAGTTCCGGAACGTAGATGCTACCACTGGCTTGCGAACAGCTGTAAATCGCATGAAACCCAGTCGCTACGAGGCAACATCAGACAAAACTGCGTTCTGAGCATTATTGCCACCTAACCTGCGACGCCGCACCACAACATGCATGGCAGGATGATAACCCGGGTAGATTGCCACACAATATAACAGCGGTAGATCTTTTAGACACTTCTATAAGCTCTGAGGGCCCTAAACTGGCGGATAAAATATAAACCTACCACCACACCATCAGCAACCAGGGTTTGCATAACATACAAGGCGTTCTTGATCAAATATGTGATCTGAGAAACATCCTCGAAGAACGCCACCGGTCCGCCTAGGAACGTGTCGCGATACTTCACCAGTCCATCTTCTGCACGAATGATGTTGACGACGATGTGCTTGCAAAATTTCAGCAAAATGACATCAGATATCAGAAACAAGAAGCGCTAACCGCGGTGCTCAGTATCAACAACAGGACAGCCACCACAAGTGATGGGCGATCGCTGCGGCGGTTGTAGGTCAAAGCATAGATTGTACCCAAAAACATGAAAATAGAAAAGCCTGAAGAATGATCAACCCCGGGCATGGGACAGGGGAACCCATTGCGATACTGACCGTATAGAATACCTTCAAGTGTTAACGACGTCACAACGGCAGCATCCACTGGCATGCCTGTTGACGCCATGGCGAGAATACTGTCTAGGGCTGGGAGATCAGTGAAGGTGCGGGCATCTCTACCCATATCATGTATATCGTTATTATACGGAAAGAACAGGACACCTGGCGCCGGCTGATTGGAAGAGCCATCACATAACTTCTTACGCCGCACCTCCAATTAGCTTTCAGGGTAATATAACAATATATTCCTTGCTGTTGACTACCCGCGGCGAAGATTCTTAGATCTAGTGGTTTCTTGGAGCATTAATTTCTAATTGTCCATGTGAATGTAACAAACACGTCAGAGTCGTGGCAGAACATCAATCGTGAGGCCTCGAGGGCCTTACAACATCATGAAGTCATGGTGTTTTGGGGGAAGGAAGTGAGCTGTGAAGCATTTCCCGTCAATTCGAATTTGGAGGTCAAAACTCCATTAGTGTCGAGCACAAGCTCATAAGTGCCCGGATAGAGCCAGAAGTTGCCATTGGTATCTGCTCTTGCGAGATTGCCAAGTGCGATCGGTAATTCAGCTGTTGCAGTGGTGCCCGGCGCAATGCTGTGAGAACGAGCGTAGCTGACAAGAACCTTGTTAGGGTAGGGAGCATTTCCATACGTGCCACTGGCGAAAAGAAGGGAAACATAGTCAGATGTCCCTGAAGATAAGGAAATGAGGTAGTAGAGCGTGACAAATTGTAGGTCACATACTGTTTCCGGTATTCATTACACTGACAGCGAGCGTAGCAAACGGTGCGACGTCCAAGTATGCAGCATACTGCCCTCCATCAACGAGAGCTTGGATGCTGTACGACGTTGCAGGAGCTTGCACCCATTTGTAAGAAAATGTAGTATAGTGCTCGCCATATCCGAATTCGTAGACAGGCATGTCGGTGTACCAGATATAGGTACGGCCCGGACTCGTTGAGTTGGGACGGAGGTCCATATCCGTCATGGGGATCTCGTTGACATAGTTTGCCGGGTACTGCGTGATAGGAAGGCGCCCAGCAGGCGCAACCTTGCCATTGAGGATGTCAAAAACAGCTTTTCCACCACTCTGGCCTGGATATCCTGCCCAAACGAGAGCATTGACCTAAAACGACTATTGAGCAGTTTAACTGGAAAAGAGGGATTGGTCGCTGACAGAAGCATTGCCCTTGAGAACGGAGTCATCGAGTTGTCCGCCGCCAAATTGCACCACGACCAAAGGCTTGCCTATCACCTGAAGCTCAGCAATAAGGTCGAGCTGGTTGCCGGGCCAAGTAATCGCGTAGCGATCCAGGGCCTCGGCCTCGACGGTGGTATCAATACCCCCAGCGTAGATGACGGCGTCTGCCTCCTTTGCAGCCGCAACAGCAGCAGCGAATCCACTCGTGTCGTTAGATGTAATGTTGGTGCCCAACACGTAGGTAATGTTATAGCCATCACCCATCGCGCCCATGACGGGGCTAATGAGATAGGGAGCAACACCGAAGTAGTTGCCCTGCATCTGAGCTGTTGCATTTGCCCACGGGCCGATCAAAGCGATATTGTTGATGCTGCTTGAGAGCGGCAGAGTACCGTCGTTCTTCAAGAGAACGATACCTTCCACAGCAGCTTGGTATGCAAGTTGTTGGGCGGGGGGAGTATTGATGTTACTCCAGTTGTATGTTCTGTAAGGTTGCTGATCTTCTGGATCAAAATAACCGAGGCTGAAGCACTATATCAGCAAACGAGTACTGTGATGCGCGAAGGCGCCATACCGGACGAGCGAGGCATATTGACGAACCAGAGCCGTGCGTAGGTCGGTCTCTGTGATAAGAGACTCGTTGTATGCGGTCGGCAACCATTCTGCGTAGAAGCTGCCACAATCGATGTCAGTTCCCGCCTTGAGTGCGTCTGCGACAGCCTGTTGAGGGATTGCATAATTGTGGGGAGAGTAGATATTTTCGACAGCATCTGAAGAGTGAAGCTTGATCATAAGGCCAAATAATTATTCAGATTCTACTCGCCACAATCACTCGTGATCTGTTCGTAAGTCATCAACTCACTATATGCAAGTAAAGTAACTTTGAATATACCCAACGGTCTTGTGCGAAGCCGTAGAAATCGCGGAGAATATCTTGAAGTAAATACGTATTTGCGCAAGAAGGAACGCCATTAACAGCATTGTACGAGCACCTGCATTATAAACAGGTAGGATGGATCGACTTAAGAGTACTGCTCAAGGAGTTGTGATAGTACGTACATGGCAGCGCCAACTTTGGCATCTCTATAACAACTCTGGAATGAGGGCAAGTAGTATTCCGCGAGATCTTGAGAAGTGATCACTGCGTTAAAGCCATATCGAACAGTGCCATACCAGTCCTCGAGGTCGTAGCCCGCAAAGTGTTTGCAGGTGGAAATGACCTGGTAGTAAGGCTCTGGATCAAGACCGCCTTGCAAGCCAACCACGAGGTTATACACGTATTGGGCAAGGTGGTACGGGTCTTCTCCAGGCGTTTCCTGTCCTCTGCCCCATCGAGGGTCTTTGAACGGATTAATATTTGGTGTCCAGAAGTCTAGACCCGCGCGCCCGTAGTTATTGAATGCACGTCCCTCCATACCCACAATGCTTCCAACAGATTTAATCAACTCATCGTCAAACGCAGCACCCATAAGGATTGGCTGGGGAAACGATGTCGCATAGCTGAATTCGCCTGACGTCGAGAAGTTAACACCTGGACTATCTGCTACTCCGTGCTGGACACAAGCAAGTCAGTTTCGGCAGACTCCGAGCCTCTGTTAAACATTATCATTCACCAAGGCTTCTGACCACCACTGGTACGCTGGCAAACCCAGACGAGGAACCCCAGGAGACGTGCTGACAGTATTGTTGATCAGCTCTGGAACAGTGAACAACTCGACCAAGGAAGTTGCCCGCGTAATGGGGTCAAGAGCAGTGTTGCAGACTGCATTGCTCGCTAGAGGTCCGCCTTCACAATCAGGAAAGCTATAACCGGTAACGCTGCCTGCTGCGAGGGCAAAAACAAGAGCGACACGCTTTGAAAGCCTCATGGTAATCCTTTGCAGCAATAGATCACGAAGGCCGATAATCATTAACCGCCGGTATTCGCGTCGCTTTTATAGTATTCAAATCTTCGGACAATCTGTTCAGTGGTGACCTTTTCACGCATCAAACATCGCTCACGAGTGGCACTAGCGGTCCGCGTTGGGAAACAGAAGAAGGGGGTGTCACGGTTGTGCGTCATCTGGCCTGTCAGGTGAGTTATTGATACCTGCAATTCCTGTGCCATCACCGGTGCCTCTCTTCCACGAAGCACTGAGTCGTATGGGTGTGGTGCTCGTCCTGGAAATTCCTCGGAATAAACATTTCCTATCACTGTGAGTGCTTGATTTGAGCAACCACCTGCAGAACTGATGACTTTCCCATTTATCACGTCAAGTTTGTACAAGCAACAGCCCAAGTTTCGTTTCAATACCATTGCGGATTCTCAGTTATTTTGAAACATCGTGCCAGCGTATAGATCGACGTGTCCCTATTTTTATGAGCTTATTATCTGCGATCTAGTACCGTTCGCAACTCGGAAGGCTTCCTGGTTTCAATTGCTGTTGGCAGGAGTACCACGTCTGCCACTTGTTGACGTCCTTACGTCCTGGCGTCACAGGTCATGCAGTTTCTTCAAGCAAAGCGCTCTAAGACCGAAATACCCATGGTGACCGTTCATCCTCCAGGGAAACTGAAGGGCATGGATAAACTGCACACACGTAATGACATGCGGATAACGGCCCCGGCCATCACGAGGCAGACGTGGCTCTTTGGATGGAATAACATAGCTCCCGGGGAAAATATTGGCTATTATCGGCATCACTTCGTTCAAGCCAGGAGCACATGTCTATCCGCTCGAATAATGGGTTGCGATAACAACCAGCAGATGTCGATGGGGAACCTTGTGACACGGAGAAAACATCTAAATACTTCACGGTTATGCTCGGATGTCTGATCAAAATCCTATTATCTTCACGTTCACCCGATGTCAGATCATGAAGACTAGAGAGGGGGATGGTTCTATGAGAAGGCAGTACCTCATCCGCAAATTAAAAACACCAGACTGTACAGGAGTCTAGACATCGTTACCATTCTGCCTACGTGCGTTTTTTGAGAGAGCATCCGTGGTAGTATGCACCAGGCTGGTCACGAAGTCAGGAAAAAATCAGCGACGACATAACCAAGGATAACATCATCTGAATGCCTCTTTGTCGAGTCATGGTTAATGTTTATCATCAGGACGGTGTGCACTGCGGCCACAGGTTGACTGACCTAGGTGCCCGTATAGAAGCATAATCCCCATCCGTTTATTGTCTGCCCAGGGAGACTATAGAAACCCAATGAAGTAGCGCAGATCAGTAGGCATATTAACAAACTACAATATTCATACAATGACACTCTGACTACTCCCCAAAATACTCCTCCACCAGTGCTTGTTTCCTGAGGGCCAATAACACGCCCTCCATTTCCTCTCTTGTCGGAAGTGTCGGTGGCATCAGATCTTCTGGTGATAAAAACCCCAGGTAAGTAGCAGCTGCGTTCGCATGTGTGCGCATCGAGTCTGCGCCTCCACTGGAGGGGATGACATCTGTCTTCGCTGCGCCATCTGATTCAGCTTTGCGGAGTCGTTTTGCCTGGTCAGGTGCAGCTGCCTCCGCATTCACCGTGTCCATCTCGACATCTTCCTCCTGAGCTTTGCGTTTAGCATTTACTGGAGGTTGAGGTGGAGAGGGCCCGTTTGATGGGAGTGGTGATGAGCTTGCAGATGATCCACGAGGTATTGGGGGTATTGGGTCGTCAAGAGGGAGGTTGAGGGTCTCCCGGACATTTGTATATTCATCTCGCCATTCTGCAGAATGCATGTAAGAAATGAAACTGTCTACACTCGTAGACACAACGTACCTTCTTCCTCTGCTTGACGCTCATACTCCAACAACTTTCCATCTGCTTCGTCCAGGTCGCCAAAGTATGCGGGGCCCTGATTCGTAAACTTTTTATAGAATGCAAGCGCTTGATTTTCTTCCTCTTCCTCTTGCTTTTTGCTCTGGAAAAGTTCTCGCACGCCTGGGAGATCTTTTGCGCGGCCAAAGTACCTAAACATTTTATCAGCAATAATTTCATGGTTTGGGCTAGAACTCGAAAGGACGTACTTGTATCCTTTTGTTCCAGGCACCTCCTTTCCATCATCATCAAGCATGGCTACATTCCGGCGATAATTGGCACCTCCCAGCGCAATAATCTGGTTCTCCCAATGTCGCTTCTCCCGCATCAACTTGTTAATCTCGTCGTTTACATCTCGAACTTCATAGTCAGTCAAACCAGCTATTGACAAAGATTCATGTCAGCTCGTCCAAATTCTGAGTCTCCTGCGGAATAACGCACCATCCTGAATCTTGGACACTTTCCGGCTTAGCTCCCTTAGAATTTCTCCTCTCCACCGCTCGCACTCCCTTAAACTTTTGCAGGCGCTCGCCATCTTTGGACGACGATCTGCGCGCGTCCCGAGGCCAAGTTCAGCTGCTTGAGCTTCTCGGAAACGGTACAACATCGACTGTGCTTTCTCTTCATTGCGGGCCTAGTTATTATGACAACGACGTTTAGTGCGATCTACAAAACATTCGTCTTGGTGCCTACCATGGTTAAGTATAAAAGTCCAAAGTGAGGGAAGTTATGATGTCAATGCCTTTGGTTGGCCTTCGACGCGAAAGTTCAAACGTTCAAATCAAGCAGGCCTGGAGTTTGGAGGTCGTATAACCCTAACCTTAGGTACAATTATATGACCTTTTTGGGAACCCGGCAATTGAAATTCCCTTGTACAAACCTGCGGGCTCTACTGCGATACTATTACTGACCATGGACGAAATATCCTGCACCTGTAATGATCTGCCAGAGTGCCGTTCGCTTCTCGTCCTCGCAGCAGTCAAGACACCTCTTCCCGGAACCAGTCACGATACAACCATCAGATACATCAAGGTCCACTCGATCTGCGAGTTCTGAAAACCCTCCAGCTCTTCATCACTGTCCTCGCTGTCCTCTGCACCCAGTTCATCGTCAATCTTATCATCATCTTCAGTTGCTTCAACACCCTCTCCATCCTCGTTGTATTAGGGCCTCATTGTATACTGTACTGCCTGGCAGCCTGGCTCGGACGCCCACTAGTAAAATACAAATAGTGAGCATGGTGTATCATATTATCCCAAAGTGACATCGGACAATTTGAGGAGAACGCCGCATCACAAACTCGATTCTCGTTATTTTAGCCAACGAGGTTTTGGAGGGTCTCGCGTATCTTGAACTTCGGAACGCTGGAGAGATAAGACCAGTCTATTTCAGTCTATCATCACTGTACTGACGCCCGCCAGTAAAATACAAATAGTGAACAGGATGCACACCGTGAGACACCCCAAAGTATTTGAATTCCAATGATCCGCTTACTAGTACTCTTCTGCATCTTCATCTACCTCGTTGGAGTCATCCGAGCTGCGCCTACAACAAATACTACTATTACACTGTGGGTAGTGCACTCACGGAAATCCAGTGAATGGAATCACTGGATTCCCATAGGGATGCCTACCAGAATTCAGCGTGTCGCTCACTAGAATCCAGCGATTTCTATATCACTGAAAGGACCAATTTGACATACAGAATTTTCAGCAGCGTCTTCATTGAAATTTGAGTGAACATATCATTAAAATATAGCGAGAGTATCACTTGAAAGAACTGAGGCTATCGCTGGAAAAGATTGATACCGTCACTGGAAAAGATTGATACCGTCACTGGAACAGACTGAAGTCATCGCTGGAAGAAATTGAGACCATCACTGGAAAAGACTGAGGCCATCATTAGAATTGTCCAATCGTAATGCAGCATTAGGGCAGTGCTAATACGTTACAGGCAAATACAAATAGACATCTAATGCATAAACAGAAAGACACGAAGCAAAGTACAGCAGTTGCAATTGATCAGTGAGCTCGAAACGGCGAGCAGAGACAAAGGGCCGAAGATGAAGAGCCAAAGACAAAGAGCCAAAGACAAAGAGCCGAAGACGAAGGACCCAACAGCAGAGACAAAGGGCCGAAGACGAAGAGCTGAAGATGGAAGACCCAAGAGCAGAGACCACTTTGAAGAACAGAGATGAAGAGCAGAGATGAAGGGCTGAAGATGAAGGACCGAAGAGCAGACGAAGACCCGGTGGGGGCGGATGGCTCATCTGCGTGACTGAAACAGACAAATCATCAGTGAGACAGCACGCATAGAAAAAACTTACCCTTCGCCTTGCTGGTCGTGCACGTGAAGGTTTAGGCCGTGGTACCGGGGTAACCTGGATGCTCTCGGGCTAAGCGAGGAAGGAATTCAAGGGGAAAGTTGGTGTGAATAAAAGTTCAAGAGCGCACCAGTTCAGAGAGCTCTGATTCGTCGTCGTCTTCATATGCTGCATCATCATATGATCCAGGAAATTTTGAAGGACCCGCTGTTGGTTGCGATTTGGAAGCAACAGGCTAATGTGTAATGACACGAATATGAGCTAAAGTGAACAAGACAATGTCAGTGTAAGCATCGAGAAAGGACATACCACTTTGCATGCGCGCTGCTAGATGATCATTTGAGCCCATGACCGAACGCAAAACATGATACTACACACCTTGGCAGCAATCTTTGCAGCTAAATCGTCATGCATCCTCTGTTCCTCCTTTCCCTTCTCGATTTCATCATTCATCTCCTTGTGGAAGCGCTCGACCTTCTCAACCCGTTTCTCGGCAGCCATTACACAGTGTTGGCGTGTAATTCTTTCAATGCGTGAGTCTTCTTCGGTCATTGGATGCAAAGAAACACCTGAATCAGCGCTAGCAATCATCTCTTCATATGCCTCTTCTAGACTGCATTCAAGGTCCTTCGATATTAAGTGGATAGCGACCCAAGGTATGAGGTAGTATTCAATATAGACCTTGAAGTCAAGGGAGCGAAGGCCTCGTTGGAAATCTGTTCATGGTCGAACATGGAAAATATCGCAGACTGGATTATCGCTTTTCCTTTCTCCCCGTAGCTAACAAGATGTCATTAATGCAGGGTGATGTCACGACGCAAAGAGTAACTCACTATCCAGGACGAGCGTGATTTGTAACCATTGCCGGTATGCACTGTCTGCTAGTGATGGCCAGCTTGGAAAATTCTCGTTTGGCGGAGTCACTTTGCAGACCTGTGGAAGAAAGATCTTCAAGAAACATGTCGTTGAAAAAACTGTAGCGCCTTGTGTTCTTATCGTGAATCATGAGATTCAACTCAGCCTCCATTTGGAGGACTCGATCTGAGACGGTCTCCCAGGTGATGATAGTTGGCCATCCTCGTGCTTTGGCGCGTTGAATATTGAGCTTTTCTTCACGCAGTTGTCGAAGTGCTGCGCATATCTCGAGCTCCAGCCGTAGACCCTCTGATGTCAAACAGCGGTTAGTGTTCTTGAAAGAATTCCACTGTCGAAGCTGTTTGACCAGCTCAATATTGGGGTCTGCCGGCACAAGATCCCTGCAGTTATCGTTCAGACAGACCAAGGGGAGGTCAGCAAACTCATAAGTGTCATCATCATCATTGATGGCAGTGTCAATCTACGATTCAATGAGTTCAAATGTCAGCCAGTGGCGATGATAAATCACTAAACCTTGAGATGTGCCGCAGAGGCTTCAGTTGCCAGTGGTTTAGGCTTGGTCTTGGCACGAGTGCTGCGAGGAATAGGCACAGCTTTTTGCTTTCGGCTGGTAGTTGATGGACCTTCTGTTGCAACCTTCGTGGTGCATGTGTCTGATGAGGATATTGGCTTCGACTTGGTGGCAGGTGGTGGGTCTGGACGGGTTGGAGTGGGCAGCGGCAGGTCTAGATGGCGAGAAGGAGCCTGGGTCATCCTTGACTTTGGAGCTGGCTTTGCACGAGCAGGAATAGACACCTGCAAGTCACGGTAGCTTTGAGTATTAGTAGTGTAATTGAAAGGTCTTGAATACTC